TTTAGGACAAAGCGTGCTGCTCGTCGCTGGACCGCCTCCAACCTGTCAATGCTCTTCTGGGTAAATGGGTCCCAGACTGAAGATGCATAATCTAAAATCGGACGGATAAAGGCTTTATATGCTCTTTCTTTCACACATGAGTTGCCAATCTTTAGATTTCGCCTTAAGAACCCCAAGGCTTGGTTTGCTTGGTTACATACATTGTTAATATGCTCGTCCCAGCGGACCTTTCTTTGAATGGTAACACCTAGGTACTTTACGGAGGAAACTTGCTCAAGAATATGGCCGTGCAGTTTGTATTGGTAGTGTAGAGGAGTACAACTTCTAGAGATTGATAGTGTCTGGCACTTGGCAGGATGAAATTCCATGTCCCAGCTCATCTCCCACTCAGCTAACAGATTGAGATCCTGTTGTAGCTGGTCCTGGTCAGATTTGTTGGCGATCGTCCTATACACTGCTGTGTCATCTGCAAACAGTCTTGCCTGTGATGTCAGTTTCTCCGGTAGGTCATTAATGTATGCTAGGAACAAACAGGGGCCCAGGACTGATCCCTGGGGGACCNACTTGAGCCATGTGAAACATCTTTATGTTCACCAAGGGGATGCTACATAATAACTATGTGCAGAAATGATACCGCAGAAACACTTACTGAATCCCTAACATACTTTGTAAAGTACAGATTGATGACATCTTGTTTAGTTCTACTCCACAGCATTGGGAAATCTCGCCCAAGTGTATTGGCTATTCTATTCACGGCATGTCTAACACATAATGGTCAGACCGCGTTGAAATAGTAACGCCCTTTGTATTTCAACTGACAGTCATCACATTGGCAGTAGAAAACCTTTTGGAGCTGCACTTAACTGCCAAAGCAAGAACATGCTATATTGATGGGGATTTGTCTTACATCATATTTATGTATTTATTTATTTAGGCATTTTTTATATAGCGCTTACCTTAAAGCTCTAAGCGCTTTACAATTATTAAAAAACATGTAAACTAAGTAAAATAAAAATGAGACACTAGGATAGTAACTACTATACTATATAAATAATTAAAATGGCTATAAAGGAGGACACTTTGGCACGTTTTGGCCTATACTACAGGATCAACCCGAGACAGAAAATGAGGCAGGGCAAGGAGGGTGCATCACAGGTCATAGGCGGACCTAAACAGATGGGTCTTAAGGGACTTTTTAAAAATGGACGAGGTTTCACAATGACGGATATGGAAGAGGAGCTGGTTCCTTCATTGTTGTGGTAATGTTTATTGTATGAGAAATAGTAAAGTTCCCGTTAATATATGTAAAAAGGGTTTATCAGTCCAGGAATAAAACGCTTTATGTCGAAGTGTCTAACTTAAAGAGCTTGGTTTCAGAACTGACATATCGTCTTAACAGCTGGAAAAGTATGTGTTGCGAAGCTCAGCATTTTGCTTCTAATTTTTGTAAAGAAATGAAACTCTCTGGAACGAGATGAAGCAAAACGCAAAAGAAAGAGTCTCCATAACAAAGAGTCTACATAAAAAGCAGATTTGTCTAAACAAGATGAAAAGGATGAATCCCATGAAGAAGCATATTTGAGAAAGTCTGTCTGCTGTGCAATATTGAATACTTTTTTATTTTTGGTGGACTTGGACTTACTTTTCATTTCAATGATGCAGTGAACCTTTCTGAGAAGTTCAGCTTCCCCTGAAAGTGCTTATCAATTCTTCAAGATGAACTCAAATAAAAATTTAAAATATCCTGGCATAGAAATACACCGATGATATCAGTATAAATCTTGTAATGGAGTCATTTGTCATCTGTTCATCAAGCATATTTTAGAAAGTGCCAACAGTTTTACTACGTCCATTGGAAGTACTGAATTGCCTAAAGAAATACCTTATGGAAGGACTTTTTTTCCAAAGATTCGTCTGCCTTCCTATTCTGCTAACAATTCCTTATACTGTCAACTCTGCATAGTTTCCATTCGGCAAACTAAAGCTGATAAAAAATAATCGAAATTGTCACAGGGGCAACTGGTATATTTTGCATTGAGTTTGATCTTCTTGTAAAACAGATTAATTTTGATGATATGATTCGTAATTTTACCAGAAAAAACGTTTATGAAAGCACCTTTCTTTAGAATAATATAAATATGCCATTACATCGCATCTATACAGACTATTGTGAGATTTTAATCTATCTAGTATTAAATTCATTGCGTTTGTATAATTTTCAATATTTTTATATACTAATGTTTATTACTGTGTTTATTACCTTTTGCAGAAGAACTTGTCCTCTTTTGATATATTTGAAAGTAAGTTTCGATGTAATGAGTCATTTATAACAATTGGCTGTACGTGTCCATGTGTAGATGAAAGGGATCCATTTTTGATCTTGTTCCAGCACATAATAGGTCTCTTTTTGGCCCTGGACTTCTAGCTTGTATGTAAGCGTTTAAAGCATCCTCTCTATAGAGGACGTCAATAAAGCCTCTGAGATATCTGGTCGTCCAAGACATCTGAGAATTTTCGTGACGTCTATCAAATACTTTAACCATCTAAAACGTCAGTATAATGCTATCTCTATGTCTTGCCCATGTTCGAATATATTGACCATCCTGTCGTCCATCAAATTTATAATCTCTCAGAAATTTTATAAAACATACTTCTTCAAACTTAACACCCCCCCACCACATCGATTGCTCCGAAAAGCATTTACTTCAGTCCATGGACAACCTTTAACTATGCGTGTAGACCAAAGCTTCACCAAACATTTCCGAGGCGGTCCATTTCAGTTCTCATGTATCTACTTCTGACGTGGCCAGACCATTCTTCCCTAACCGGTTGGGTATCGAACGTGTTTAACAAGTGGTGGGCAGCTGAGAAAAGGGGAGTGCATTTCCATCAGTAATGATAGTCATTCACTGTTGTTCTCTATGGTGAGAGCTTGAATAACTACTTCTATTCCTTTCCATTATGTCTTCGGCGTATGGATTCGAGAGTAATCGATGTATGTGTTTCGTTAATGAATTCAAGAATCTAAGTTATTCAGTATCGTATTTTAAGTTAAATTAAAGAAATGATGGAAATAGTTTGTTTTGTTTGTGACAATAGACAATAAAAATACTTATAGATTAGCGTGTAGCTTTATTCGTTGTTATTGAAAGAAAAAGATAGGCGTGTAGGAGAGATACAGATGGTGGGTAAAGGGGGAGGGAGAAAGGAAAATACAACTTCTACAGGCTTTTTTTAAACATTGAAATTATTAAGTGCACCATGTAAAAAACAACAAAAAATTTAAGTAGGATCCCAAACGGATCACAATACCAGTGTGATCCCGATCCCGTTGTTATCCCGATACCAGTGGTTTCCAGATACCGGGGGGATCCCAATGCAGAGACGTTCCCGATCTTGTCAAAGTAATAGGCAAGCTGTCTAGGTGGGGGCAGTATGCAGTATTTTTAAGACGAAATCAGACTTGTACCTGGAGACAGTGATCGGAGTAGGATCAATTCCAGGAGTAGAAAGCAGGACAAAAGCTGTGTGTGTTTGGGTAAAAATTTGAAAGAATGTGTTGTCATCGGCAATGATTATATGTGCCACGTTTCAGCTCGATAGGTTGACGGGAAGCGGGTCAATAAGCCGTCTGAAGATTTTGCCAGCCAGCCACGAAGCGAAGTTAATGTAAAGTATTTAAATCGTTGCCGTGATAAGACCTTTTACTCTCATCGGTCAAACATGTTATTTTGACCCCACATGGACCCAGCCTGTCAGCTGATAAACTTAACAACCGATTGTCGGGAATTGATCCTAAACTTTTCCGCAATCTACTCCCCAACTCTTAGCTTGTCTTCGAAAATAAAATTCTAACAGTCATTTTAATGTTAGATGTGTTTGATCCTTTTACAATACACACTGTTTATAGCACACACTGTTTATAGCACACACACACTGTTTACAACACACACTGTTGGCAGCACACACTGTTGACAGCACACACACTGTTTACAACCCACACTGTTGACAGCACATACTGGTTAAAACACACACATTGTTTACAACAGACACTGTTTACAACACACACACACACACTGTTTACAACACACACTGTTTCACGACATCATGAAAAATATTATTTTAAAGCTAGCATCACTGTGAAGTAGCACGTACCTACACCTTTTTAGAACCCCCAAGAAGAATCCCAATAAATAAACAACATGGCATTGTTGACTCCGAGTAAGCTCTTTATTCTTGGTGTATGCTATTTTTAAGTTGCAATTATATGGACATGTCTGTCAGATCCAACACTATGACAATAACACTGACCACCTGGCACAACACAGGTCCACAAAGGTGCAAAGAGTTCTTCATGCTGCATTTGTTGCGTAACTTGTAATTACGTTGCAAGATTACAGTCTTCTTCTTCTTTATTTTGAGGGCCCGGGATCAATGAATTGATCATTCTGGCTCCTTTGCTATTTTTAAAGATACACGTCATAAGATAAGATTTGAGATTCTTTATTGGTCCAAATAAATTTAAATGTGTTGTTTTATGTCGAACTGCAGAGCTACCATCCTGGCGAAGTTAACAAATAATTTATTTTTTTAAAATTAACGAACACGGTTATACTTTGTGCGGTAAATTTTCACTCTTGAAAATTGCCTTTTAATATTTTTGCGACCTACTTTTTCACTGATTTTTACCCCCACAGAATAACGAAATAAACCGGGCTCTGTAGTTTGTGTTGAACTTGAGATACGAGAATATGTTCATGGCACAGTTCAGATTTTGCAAAATGTGCCTGAGGTTTTCGACGGCAACAAACATATACCCGTGTCGTCTCATGTCATTAAACTCGGGTTCCACCAGAGATGCGATCACGCGGGCGATGACCGGCGCATTGCACAAAACGAAAATCGCCGAAACGCTCATGACAGCTCTGGTTACCTGGTTCTCACTTCTGAGGACTTTGTGGTCATTGTTCGGTTTAAACGAATTTCGGAAATTCACGGATATGTTGAGGTTGTGGATTAAAACAAAGAGGCAAAAGCAAACTACTAAAACTGATGCGAATGGGAGAACTATTCGGTTGCCAACATCACGAACTGTCGTGATGATCCGTCTATCTTTTGAGAACCACAGAACCATCGACGAAGAATTGGTTATTGGATCGAAATTTGCGACAAGACTTTGACTTGCTAAAAAGGGGAGATTGGTCGCTAATGCTAAACATGTGATCATAGATAAGATCACCAGAGTTCTCGACCTCGTGAAGGCGTTCCTAAATTTGAGTGGCATGGTCACACAGCAGCATTTCTGGACGGCTAGAAACACCGTAAGGGCAGTGGAAATATCAAACGCCATTGGTCCGTAAGATGAAATGAGATACGCCACGGGTACGAGCGGCGCTCTTGAGCTCAAACCCACGTACGCTGCGAGTCTCAGTAATATCTGTGTGAGGAAGAGCACCGCATAGGCCAGGTCCGCAAGGGTCAACACGAAGAACGTGATCCCGAAGCTGTCACGGAGACCCAACAGTAGAAATACAGTAGTGTTGGCGATGTTGCTAAGGACGCTGAACGAGAGTATGATGACGTCAAGGATGTAAACCACAATAAGAATAAGAAGCTTCAGTTGACTGTCTGTGATTAAAGTCTCGTAGTAGTAGGGGCCTAAGGGTGTGGTGCTGGACACTGCGTAGTAGGAACCTACAGATGGGGTGGTGTCCATGGTGATGAATTATAGAAAATAATTTCGCTTTTCAAGCTGTGTGCAGCGAAAATTGTATTTTTTTATTATTTTTTTTCAATTACAAGGTATTTGAGTTATAAAGACTATGGCGTTCGGATGCTGAAGCTCCACTGCAACATAGGCTACGGAGAATACATTTTTTTTTTATATTGAGAGAACAAAGAAGGGCACCCCGAACAGAAAGCCAATTTACAAAGCGATAATGAAGATGGGAATGTTCTGTTATACTGTCTATCAACCTCAAACAAAAAATTCCATTGCCAGGCATTGCCTCCGGTCCGCTAAATCAAACAATAATCAACAATAATTATGTCGACACAAGACCCGTCATCGGTGACGCTCCGTACTAACATAATAGCTTTCTATTTTTAAATGAAAATGTAGTGACTAATTGCCTCAAATTACGGGGACGATTGCCATTTAAAATCCATTTATAATTAAAACATAATCATGCCAGTTTAACTATTATTTATAATTGTTTATTGGTCTAATACCTCGTGACGTTTTGCTAGGATATTGACTAATTAAAAAGGACTGCTTAAAAATGATGATCAATTTATTATTAAATATATTAAACATTTTACTAGTAGGCCTACCTTCTACATTTTTTTTTTTTTTTTGAAATAGCGATGGAATGGTATTACTGATTACTAAATAAATAACGTATTAATATATTATATTTTTTACATTAGGAACTAAAAGAAAGTTACATTTTTTATTTTTTTTTTTTTTTTTGAAATAGCGATGGAATGGTATTACTGATTACTAAATAAATAACGTATTAATATATTATATTTTTTACATTAGGAACTAAAAGAAAGTTACATTTATAACAGCAACTTCACTGTCGAATACTTGGTGACGATTAGTTTATATTTGAGGAAATTATTTAAATTATAAATGGGGTGAACAGATAACAAATACGGTCATTGGGATTTTAGTTTTTAAAAAAGCGAAAAGTTAAATAATGAAGATATGTAACGATTTTTCGACAAATAAGATATAGACTATTTACTTAATGATGAACTAGAAGCTATTCTTAGGGGCCATCCATAAATGACGTCATGCAAATTTTGCCAATTTTTTACCACCCCCCCTCCCCCCATCGTCACAAATTGTCACAAAAAGTTAGACCCCCCCCCCCTCAAATATAACGTCACAAATCTCTGCATCCCCCCCCCTATAAAAAGTCCTTGTGTCCACTACTGTCCTTTACAAACCCTTAAGAAATTCACCTCCCATGGAGAACTAGAAGCTATTCTTAGGGGCCATCCATAAATGACGTCATGCCAATTTTGCCAATTTTTTACCCCCCCCCCTCCCCCCATCGTCACAAATTGGCACAAAAAGTTAGACCCCCCCCCCCTCAAATATAACGTCACAAATCTCTGCATCCCCCCCCCTATAAAAAGTCCTTGTGTCCACTACTGTCCTTTACAAACCCTTAAGAAATTCACCTCCCATGGATATCAAATTACTGCACCCGCGACAGAAACATTTCACTAGATCAGTGGTTCTTAGCCTGGGGTACAAGTACCTCCCCAACCTTGAGGTGTGGAAGACCAAAAATTTGTATTCAGTGGCGTAGCTAGAAGGGTGCGGACCGCACTGGTCGACACCATCTCAGGGGGTGACACCAAATTGAAAAATAACGTCATTACAGAGCACACACTGATTGGTCGAACCGAAATTCATAAAAGGATAACAGATAACAGGTTCATTTTCCACCCATGTAACCAATCAAAATGCGTGTTTCGTTAATATTAAAATGTCAAGGTTGGTGCCAAGGCAATTAGATGACCGTATTATTGGGTCAGAAACACACCGTTTTGATCATGTTTCAACGCCGAATGAAGTGTTCGTTAACTTACTTTTTTAAGCAACAAGAAGCTGTAGTTATCTAAACTCTGAGAAATAGAGCTATCCTTTGACAACAATGGGCGATTCTAAGTACAAGTTAAAGTTCTGAAATACATTCACCTCCTGATCTTCATTTAAATTTGGTTTGTTCTTGTATTTTTTATACTGTGGACTAAGTTTAACAAGAAGAAATACATCGTGGGAAGAAAAAAAAAGGGGGGGGGGGGGACACCACGAGCTTACCGGACCGGGTGCCACCAACCCTAGCTATGTCACGGCCCGGGTGCCACCAACCCATATACTGTGGACTAAGTTTAACAAGAAGAAATACATCGTGGGAAGAAAAAAAAAGGGGGGGGGGTGACACCACGAGCTTACCGGACCGGGTGACACCAACCCTAGCTATGTCACGGACCGGGTGACACCAACCCTAGCTACGCCACTGATTGTATTTTACTACCATTGCTAGTTGTTGCTGCTTTAATTTTTTTTTTTTTAAATGCAAGTTTTTATGAATTTTGATTCGCAGATGTCAGTGCTGAATTTCAGTGATTTTTTGCCCTGTTTATAAAAAGTTAATTAAAGAAATAAAACTACGATAACAAAATTATTTAATTATTTTAAATTTTATTACAGTATAATTTTTACGGATTGGGGGGGGGGTATAAAACGGAAAGGGCCTGGGGCGCTGCAAAAAAGGTTAAGAATTCCTGCCCTAGACTAGAGCATTGACTAAGATAACCCCCACCCAGTGGACAACTTGTTTTTTCCCGCTCCACCCCACTTACCCTGTCCAGATTTAGCCATAAATTCTCACGACTGTCATTGTAACTACATTCCGATTCTCCACTACTGGGCATCCCGTAACTTGATCTGAGGTCATTCTTCGGACCTCGCATTCCTACTGTAATATTTCTCTCCGCCTCAGTGATAGTTTTAAAATAAAATAGCTATAATTGTTTTGTTTTTTAAATAATGTTGAAAATGTCTGTAATTTAGTGTTATTAAGTGAAATTCTTTACTACAACATTCCGCTTTTCATGTGACGTCACATGGCCTGAGACCCCCCCCCCCTCGTNTCACAAATCGTCAAAAAAAACCTGCCCCCCCCCCCCCTTTGCAACATAGTTCACGTACTCAATGGAGTAAAGGTTAGGACTATTGACTAAAAATACTAAGGATGCAATTCAAGAAATTGGAATGTTTGTAGCTTACCATGACAAACGGCGATCAGTACATTTCCTGTATCCCGCAAAGCCTCTAAATTATTTTTCAAAATTTATGTACTGAAATGTAATCAATAAAAGTTAACGGTGACAACTCTGGGTTAAAAAAGTAAAGCCTAATAATATCAATGATGGGAAAAGACCAGTGGCGTACTTAGTGGTGCAAAGGGGGCTACCGCGGCACTTTGGGTTGAGCATATGGGTCTAAACATATAAAACATATATAAAACATATATGTAGCATACATACGTACATGTGAGAGTTAAGGAGGAGGGTCTTACTTTTGTGGCTTCGCCCTGGGAAGCATTTATTCGAGGCTTACCACTTCCCTCCCCCATAGCTCTTATCATCCAATTATGCTTATTCTTCACTTTGAGTTCAAGTCAGCCTTTTCAAAAATACAGCGACTTTAAATTGAACAAAGTATTTTATTTAAAATTAACATTTTTTTTTTTTTTACAAAAATCATTTATTCAGTTCGTCCTCCCTGCCTCAGCCATCACATGTGCCAATCAATCTCTGGGGCTGCAGGGCGCCTCGGATATCTAGGGGGCTCAAAGTTGTGATGTGAAAAAAAATATATATTTGGTTACAAGGGGTACAAAAACAAAAGGTAGCTGGCAGCTGGGGGCCTCCAAAAGTCATGTGACGGCTCTGAAAGAAATTTGTGTGTGTGGGTAATCAGATGCGTACCTGTGGTTGGCAAGACATGGTGTTTGCCACAGCCAACACTTAAAAGGTGCACAAAATGGCGAGTACACTAAGTTTGTTTTTTTTTAATTACCATTCTTTTTTAAAATTTTAAGTGAACTAACGAACACTACCAGAACCAGAACTTAATAAATAATTTGGATTTATGAAGCGTTCTTTAGGGAAATCGATAATGTTTTGTATTTCATGTTTACATTAAGACTTTTTAAAAAAAATAATTAAAATGCATTATAGTTAAAGACAAACCCTCATTTGTGGCACAACCTCAGCTAAGTTTTTTTTTTTTTTTTCTTTTTTAAATTTTTTAAATTCTTTGTTTTCACTAATATTGTACTACTGCTCCCGGACGAAGGCTTCTTGCAGACGCTTTCGACGTTTTGTTTCGTCTTTCTTCAGGTTTTCCCCCACCCTGTAATTTATATTTAATTTTGGAAGAAATCCTGCAGGTGCCTGTTTTTAATTATACTCGACATCTCTGAGGTGCAAAGAAATGCAAAGTAAAAACTAGTTTACTAGCAAGAACAATACGAAAATGTTTATTTCAAAAGTGCAGTTGGGTGATATATTAATATATTTTCTAAACAGAAGAGCTTGTCACGTGACTTTATTTAGAATTTTCAAAACGAGGTCATGTTGAAAAATGGCCGACCACTAAAAATTAAGTTCAAAATAAACATTATTTGATTGTTTATGTGTTTTATATAAAGAGAATGTTAATTCAAGAACCCGTTCAGGTAAATAATAGTAGAATTTTTATTCTAACGCTTACAAATCTGTGTAAAATTAACTTAGGCCCAACATTTTTTTTAACCAAAGGCTAAAAGTTGAAATAGGCTCTCTAACTAAAATTTAAATTAATTAACAAATTTGACAAATTAGTATTTAAAAAAAGAAGACAAGTCTACTAACTAAGCAGACATTAAGCAGGAGTTCTTACTATACACTTAGTTTTCGAAAGAAATGTAAATATTAGTAAATAATAGACCCTAAATACTTTTAGGAGTAGGCCAAAATTTTAAATTTAAGAAAACTTCAAACTGAATTTAGAAGTGACAGTGCTCTGATTTTATTATACTTGGGCCATTCGTAAAGTATGTACTTGGCAATCCTCCGAAGTCCAGTCCCAAGTTATTTCCAATGATTACTCCTTACTTAAAAGTCTTAGGCATAATTTTGTCTTGAAATTCATGTTTGCGGTAGTGGATGACGTTGGATGGATGTTGTTGGCCGTCGAGATGCACAAACACTCGAGCGTATTATCACTAATCACGTGTTACTAGGGACAACTATCGTCACGGGCGCTTGGCGAGGATATGAACATGTCGGTCAGCTCAACAACGGGATTGATGCTTACGCTGTCACTGTGCATGCGCGTGAATTTGTTAATCCAGTAGACAGTAGACCAGGACGTTCACACATAAACTATTGAAGGACTTTGGATGCAAGCGGAGCGTAAACTTCGCTATTAGAGTGGTACTAGTCGCGGTCTGTTTGCCAGCTACTTGGAGGGCCTTTCAGTGGCGCAACAGTCACAAGCAGAACGTTTTCGGCTGCTATTTGCAAATGCTATGCACCAATTACAATATTTAGTATTTACTGACTGGTTTGTAAAGTGACAGTTATTTGCAAAAACTATGACTGACATTTCTGCTGCTTTTGAACAATACACACTGTGCATTGCACTTTTTTTACATACAAAATAATTTGGGACCGGACTTCGGAGGATTGCCTGTGTACTTTAATACAAAATTTTTAAAAATTGAAATAATTTTTGTAATAACTCAGTTAGAGCAAATTTCAAATTAAAAAAGGAAACCAGAATCAACTTGTTAGGACAATAATTAATTAAAGCTTTCCCTGACCAAAATAGTTTTTGCACACGGCAAACTCTTATGAATGACACTCTGAGTACTCTGAAGTAGTACTATGATACAGCCATTATGTAAGTGGCTGTGAATGGTTGCCAATAACAACGTCTTGCACACTGTAAATTCTGATTATTTATAATATGGACTCTACCGGGTTTTTAAAGCTCAAACTAATACATTCAAGTTTAAATGTCTTCAAAATGCATTCTGAAACACAAGTTATCAAATATTTTGATGTAAATAATTGTAATAATTTAATATTTCCTAAGTATCGGCAACAAAAAGGGGGCGTGGCTCACGCCATGTCGAAATTAGGCTAAGCGAACTGCATGACCTACTGCGAACCCGTAGAAACATGGCATCTCTCATAAAACAGATGTCGCTGTGAAAATTGGCATACATGTAGATCAATACATGCCCCAGATGCATAAAAAATTTGTTAGTGACATGTCTTTTACTTCAACTTAATTTTAATGGTTGAAGTTGCCTTGTATTCACCAAGGATTTTCTCAAAGCTGACTGATTGTAAATGGAAAAAGAAATTGATTAAAATGTAGGCCAAGATGTCCTCTAAAGCGAAAGGCCGGAAGAGGAACACAATTCTGGGATATAGTAATTATTTTATGAATGAAATAGTTCCACTATAAAAAAATTAAAAACTCTGATTTTCGTGCGCCGACTCCTATTTCCCATACATATTTTTTAGTAGTCTCCCTTGCTTCATCGAAGTCCCTACATAAAGTATGTCCTGCTATTTTTTAAAGGCTGCGGCTATTCTGACCTTGGGATTCAAGAGTGAGAACTTGGGTTTATTAAAAAATATTTAAAATATTATTGTTGGGGTTGTAATACAAAATTTGGTATCACATGAAAGATAATTGAATGAACTATATGTTTGTAAGCTTACTTCTTCAGTTTAACTAAAATAAACTGCCACAAATGAAATCCGAACAGCATTTAGTCTAAAGGGACTCGGGTCCGATTTGCCGCTTTTTGGATGTGTGAAGTGACACAAAATCTTTTACACCACCCCCCCATGTGTCACGTTTACTTAGGGACACCCCCCACCCCACACCCACACACACCCCCCCCATAATTAAATACTTTAAACTACCTAAAGTGAAATTTAGATGAGGGAGATGTTTTTATTAGACTATACCTAACTGTCACATATTCTTCTTCATTAGGTCAATCTATACTATAACTAAAGGCCTGAGCCATTAAATTCTTTTTTTCTCCCTTACGCCTGTTAATTAGCCAATGCCTGCTTATGGTAACTAACTTTAACTAAGAAAGTTTGGACTTCAAAACCTTGAAATCGAAAACATTTGCTCAGTGAAGAACACGTCACTAAATGATTTGTCATGTTTTAAATCATTGAATAGGCAAGGCATGCAGAATCAAATGAATGAACTATCGTAGATTAGATTGTGCTTCTGAACGAACTACGCGGTACATAGGTTGTGCCAACTTGTGCTTCTCTCAGATGGCAAAAAAGATGCTTTTGTTGTTAATTTTTCATAAAGGTGTCTTACCCCTGATTAAATAATTATTTCAAAACTCTACCACTGTGAAAAGTAAGAGATTATTGTAAAAATTTAATCTTTTCCTTTCTAGGCTGCAATTTGGGATGCACTAAATAACTATTCTTATGCTGATGCAATATTCTTAGCAGAGCGACTTTATGCTGAAAGTAAGTCCTTGCATTATCTATTTTGTACCCAATTTTTGTATATTGTTTTAGTTTTTAACTTAATTTAAAATCACTCAATATGGGATTAAAAAAATATCCTTGCGTGTGAGATATATCTTAATTTTTTAAAAATGTAAAATTTAAGTCAGAAATAAATGAATATGTTTGGCTTTTTTTTTTTACGTGTCAAATTTAAAAGGCATTGTCTGACATCTAAAGTTTAAATGTTCAAGCTAAAGCTCACTGACTGCTGATTATGTCTTTGCTGTTGCAAATTCATTTTATTTATGCCATTAGTTATACCCACTAGTTATATCCCAGCAGGTTGGCTGGCAGGTGTAGAAAAGGAGGCATTGATCTGAAATAAATTTGAACGTTCTTAAAATATGCCAAAGGTTTGACCTGCCATTTACATTTACAAAAAACTTATATACACTTTTTTTTTTTCTGCAGTAGCCAACAATGACTCTGTGCATTTGTTGGCAACCTGTTACTATAGATCTGGCAAGCCTTACCAAGCATACATGCTGCTGGAGAGAAACCTCTGCCAGACAGCCCAGTGCAAGTATCTCATGGCCAAATGTTGCACTGATATGAACAAGTAAGCACTCAATACTTCACTGTATAATTCACAGTTTCACAAAAAGATAATCATAATTTTCTCATGACAATGAACTTTGACAGTGTCTTTCCTAATACATGAGATGCTCCACCTAAATGATTAAGAAACTGCTGCTTGCAGGTAATGAGTCTGATGTACATCTTGGCAAAGGGCGATATCACTCATTTAATTGGAAACTCCATCACTGCTAATCAGAGCATATCATTAAAACCTTTATATTAATCACTTTTTTTGTGTGTGTTTCGTTCTTTCTGCATGGGTGTGTGGCAAAATATTCAGAAGGCTAATTGACTCACTTCCCGTCAACCTATAGGGCTGAAAGTGTGCACATAGACTAGTTGCCGTTGAAAACACATAGTATCAAATTTTCAGCCCCAACCTCCAAAAATCTGTTTTTCAAGGGCAAGATGAAGAAAATAGAATGCCATTGATTTCACAAAATAAAATTCCTGATAACTGGGCTAAATGAGATTGTTTCTTTATTTTTAAATATCACAAGTGCTTTTGGTGCGTAATATTTTCTTCTTTTTCTGAAATAGACTAGTTGGTGAAATAAATCTGTGGTGTAAAAGCAGGTGGGACTGTAGAATATTGATATAAACTAATATAATAAAAAATGCATATAAAAGATGTATTCGTGAACATTTTTTTTTTTTTATAAGTTGTTTGATTTTGATGACAACTGTTATGCAAAGGCAGCTCTCAGTGTGGGGAAAAAATATTGTGATAGGTTTTTTGGAACACATTACACAAATATTATTTTGTTGAACAATTTGTAGTTGAAATTTGTGAAATGAAAAATTTTATGTTTGTATTTTCTAACTTATCCTGATTTGCAAATAATTTTCTATATTATTCTGTATTTGAAGGTATGCAGAGGCTGAGCGTATATTAGCAGGTACAATACTGATCAAAGTAAAATCCCATGAAGAAATAGAGGCTGAATTCGGAAGTCTTGCTTGCTATGTGTTTGCCTTGCTTGGTTTTATTTATAGGTGAGTTTGAATGAGCCTGTATATAACCAGGTGCTGCTGGTTACATGATTATTTTTATGGAAAAGTTGGTGTTGTGAGTCAACTTGTATTACATGAATGTCTAGCTTGGGCACATTCCACTCATGTAGTGACACAAAAACATCTAAAAAATTCCCTGTTTAAAAAATTATGGTGTACATTTGTAAAATTAATTTATGAATAGCAAATATGATTTATCTATTCTTTATATTTAACTTCGATTAATTCTTTTATAAACTTAAGTCATTGTAAATAAGAAAAACATCATGTCTGAAAGCAGTTCCATCATCGTTCATTATTTTTTTTTCCAGTAAAACAGAGCGTGTTCTAAAAGCCACACAGTGCTATCGAAGGTCACTGATGCTAAATCCCTTGTTATGGAAGTCTTACGAGATGTTGTGTGCAATGGGTAACATATGACTTTAGTTAAAACCCCTTTATTCTGTGATTTATTTTATTTTATAAAAGTGTGTGTTTTTTAAATGGATCCCTTTAATGAGTTTTGGGAGCTTGTATCATAAACCTCTTTTAATTTATATAATGTCACTTAATTTATATAATGTCACTTTTAAGTGCTGGTTTTACTTATAACTGTTTAACTGTTAAAGAAAAACTGCATTCCATTTTTAGATTATTTTTCATCCTCCGTCCTCCCCTGTAGGTGAGATTGTAAAACCTGAATCAGTATTCCAGATTCCATCTACAAACTCATCTGGCCCTGTCGGCCTGACCATCACATCTCGTTGTGAGCCTATGGGTGTGGTAGAGCAGATAACAGATGCATTGGAGAACAACATTGTACCTAGTGAAAATGTGAGGGGGTATTTTTATCATTTGAAAAAATGTATTTATCTCCCTGAAGAGATCGCTATAATTACATAGTGTTATGCCCCCTTTTATTAAGAGTTTGATATCCTGAAGAGATCAATATAATTACATATTCTTATGCCACCTTTTATTAAGAGTTTGACATTGTTGTAAAGATTAGCAAACGAAAAAAGGGGCAGTATTTAAATAATCAAAAATTCTTTATTTATTAATTTGATTGAACCACCAGCTGGGCATGAGATGGTGAATTGAAGTTTATGACATTTAAAAAGAATATTGGATTTTTTTTTTTTTTACAAAGTTCATCTTTAATTTGTGCTATTATTTTTTTAAAAATATATTTTTTTACATTTATTTCAGTTATTGGCTCCTCGCAACATATTCCCCAACCAAACTCCAGAAAACATTCAGAACCTAGCAGGGCTTGACACCAAAGCCCCACGACCTAACAAGCAGCTGTTAAGACAAAAAATTACACCAGAACCCTTGATGGTTCGCAAACGAACAGGTCCCACTAAATTATTCTCTGATTCTGTCCATCTTTCTCCAAGGTTTGTACTGTTTATTTAGATAGTACTTGTTCATAAAATATCCATAAAATATATGCAATATTTATTTATACCTCTTGAATATACATTATTGAATATTCTATATAAGTAGAAACCAATTGGATCTACTGTAGATATTTGTTTCATTTATATATATATTTGTGTATGTATTTATTATTTGTATATATGTGTGTGTATATATTGCATTTTACTGGCAAGCTAGTTTATTTAACACATATTTACTTGTAGGAGATCTTTAAGCTGACTCCAAACCTTCACATAGTTTAAGAGATGCACGTGAGCATAAATTAAACAGCACCGACTCATTCTTCCTTTAGCACTTTGTATGTTTTTTCTTATGGAAATCTTTTTCTATTTCAGTTTTGGGTTGTTACCTGTTGAAAATGTTACACCTGTGTCAGGCAGTTCCACACCCTCTTTTATATCTCCTGTTCCTACTGACTCTCAGGCTCTTGAGGTGCAGGCACCAATTAAAACAAGAGTAAGTTAGGCGGTTGCCATTGAATTGGGTCATAGTGAAGTATGACTTCCTCTTCTTTTATTTTTCTTTTTTTTAAATTATTTTTATTAGCTCTATTATTTAGATTTGAGCACATGTTTGGCTCAAATATAAAATAGAAATGGATTATAATTTTTAAAAATAAAAATACTAATTAAAGAATCAAATTTAGTTTGTAATAATCTATTTCATTTTAAATGAAATTCTGTTTGTTTATTTTGCCCCTGCAGCCAATGACGAGGCGAACACAAATAAGAAAATCTCCAATACTCAACTGGTCAAATACTTTAAAGAAAATGAAAGAACAAGAGCCAGTGTAAGTATTCACCTTAACTAACTGGTCACAGATTTTAAACTTGATCATTTTGGTATTCCCTCCATTACATTGTTGTAAGTCCATAGTTTAATCTAACAAAATGTAGCATTGTGCTGGACAAAATATTGCAGTCGCCTGGACAGGACATAGCAGTATGCTGGACATAACATAGCCATCTGCTAGGGAGAGTTGATTGTTTTTAAAATTAGCATAACATAGCCGTCTGCTAGGGAGAGTAGATTGTTTTTAAAATTAGCATATACCTTCTTATATCTCTTGTTAACAGCAGCGCACCCATACGAAGAAGTTCTAGGCTGTTTACGAATTCCAACTCTAATTCAAGTGCAGTGAAAGTAAGTTACTAACTTGTTTCTGTATTCAATGTATATTGGGAGTTTTCTCTCTAACACAGCTTTAGATACCTTGTTAGTTCTTTGCTAATTTTGCATTCTTCATCTGTCCTGTTTTTTGCTAAAGAAGGCTTTTATGATGAAATGTTCTTTGTTTTGTCTCATCTTCTTTTAGGTTTCCATGTAATTTAAGTGGAAGATTTTATTTTTTTTATACTTTATTGTTATCTGGATTTCTTTTTAACAGGAAAACAACAAAAGCCAAACAACAGGCACGTTTACAGGGACAAAGGGGGTTAATCGGCGCTCCAAACGAACCACAAAAACTCCTCAGGAACTTAATGAGATAAATAAAGGTGAGCTGTTCAAGAATAGACTGTTGCTGTCAGGAATTTTGTTCTTATGTCAGCCAGAGACCTGTTAGGTTGTTGTTGTCTTTTTTCTTGTTGTTTTTATTTTTTTTATTTATTTATTTTTTTTTTTTGAAGAACAGTTGGTACATTGCAAACATGGGGTAGAGTTTTATTAGGATTCAATGTTTTTGAGTAAATATTATTATTATACATAGACCAGCATTGCCTGGCAAGCTAGTTTATAATATAACACATCTTTACTTGCAGGAGATCTTGAAGTTGATTCCAAACCTTCATCTGGCAACTCTGAGGCCATAGAACAGATTGTGCAGATGCAGCAACAGTCACTGGGTGAGTGTGACTTGTGTATATTTAAGCTCATCTTCATGGACATTTAAATGTTTTTCTATATCTAACAAGTCAGTGGCTGCAATCCTTACAAGTTTTCATGTGTCTGTTGCTTATTTTAACTTGCACCATTTCAGGAATTTAAAGACATTAAGCATGTCACAAGCTAATGTTGTTGCCATGTTTTCCAGCTGGTATACTTCACCTGCTGAAGAATATCGGCAAGGCCTATTCGTCACTGTCTCGCTATGACTGCAAGAGTTCCGTTGACCTTTTCTCAGAGTTGCCAGAGCACCAGTACAACACTGGGTGGGTCCTGTGTCAAGTTGGGAGAGCCTATTATGAGCTCACTGAATACCAAAGGGTGAGTGCTGCAGTTAAATAAGTGGCAGATCTAGATTAATGGTCTTGGGATTTACGAAACATCTGCTGCACTCACATTACTATTTAAGAATCATATTAATATATTGTATGATTTTGTTTATGTTTCTCGTAGCATTTTTTAAAAAGTTTATTTCATATTGGTAGCAGCGTATTGCTGAAATAAACCATATATATTCATTATTTAATTCATTTTCAGCATTTACTTGAAATGAAACATGTATTTAATATGCTATTTTTTAAATTTAAGAGCTACAGCTAACATACAAGATCTCATCGCATGAGCCAATAGTGCCTATTTAGGGGTTTTTCTGCATAACAGATAAAAACATAAAAACAAACTACCGTTACATCTAGGAAGGAAACTCATTCATAAATTGAGAACTGCCTGTAATGGCAATTTCACTAATGAAACAGTAAACAACATAGTAACACAAACAGTAAACATCAGAATTTAAGGGAAAAACTTACTTTACATTTCCATTTCTTTCATTTATTAATAAGGGTTATCATGCAGCAGTTGAATTTGCATTGAAATTAAAAAATCTTGATGGCAGCATCGGGTGCATGCCATTAAAATTTAGAGGGGGGGGGGTGGAGGGGGGGGGAAGAACCACAACACAAAACTGCCTTAGATGTTTTGGAATGGTGAACCTCACATCAAATTTAATTATCTTTTTCTCTAACATTCTTCCCAGGCTGCCAGGGTGTTTGAGGAGGTTAGGAGGATAGAGCCCTATCATATTGAAGGTCTAGATTTTTATAGTTCTGTTCTCTGGCACCTTCATAAAGAAGTGGAACTTTCCCTCCTGGCACAAGAGCTCACAGCCATGGATAAAAAGTCAGCGCAGGCATGGTTCGCAACTGGGAACTGTTTTAGTTTACAGAAGGAACACGACGTAGCCATTAAATTTTTCCAGCGGGCCATTCAGGTAAGTAGATGAAAGGCTGTCGTAATCCTCAATAAATACATTCTCATGTGTTTTTTCTTCACATTTTGGGGTACTTGCTTATGAGACAATAAAAGGAAAATTGAATGTTTGTAATAAAAAAAAATTAAGAAACAGTTGCATTGAAATCTTGAATGCCCTAATTGGGGTCCATAAAATTAGAAAGTGTTAATAGCAGAATTTTGGGAGCCGTGCGATGACATCGCTATAGTGTTGGAGCATTATTGTGGGGTTGGACTGTATATATTTTATTCAAATACACAACCAGGAAAGTTTTTCTTGAACTTCACCGCAGTATTTAAACTTCACCCAGATTCAAACCATTCTCCATCAAGTTTGAATCTGTTCCATTGAAACATGATTTTATTTGTGTTCTGACCAGGTGGACCCTGGCTTTGTCTACGCCTACAGCCTCCTAGCCCTAGAGTACATTTACCTTGAAGAGTTTGACAAAGCCCTGACATGTTTTAGGAATGCCATACGGCTGGATCCACGGCATTATCAGGCCTGGTAAGCAGCCAGTGTTTGTCTTTAATGAGATTCACTCTGGCTTGACTTGTGTGATATCATATTATTCTAGAAAAGGCTGTTAACTTTGAACCACGCCATTATGTTTTCAAAAGTCTTCAACAGGATAAGTAATGTGAGGGGTTTTGGTTTGGTTAAAAATAAACATCATGCTCTGTCAGTCTTATTTTATATATTTTCATTGTAATTATTTCAAGTATTTCAATGCTTTTCGTTGATTAGGTATGGGGTTGGTATCATCTATTACAAGCAGGAAAAGTTTAGCCTGGCGGAAGTCCACTACCGCAAAGCACTGTCAATAAACCCTCAAAGTTCTGTTCTCATGTGTCATGTTGGTGTGGTAAGTTAAATATTCCATTAAGTTTTTGTTATGTTAAGATAAAAAAAAATTTTGCTGGACTAAACAGATCTTAGCCTGAATCCTCTTGGTCTAGGGCGGTGGTTGGGAAAAACCACTACTCTTTAATTGGAAGGATGCAACTCTTTTGTTTTACTAATCTCTAATGACATTTGAACAATCCGCCCCGCATGCGGCTTACAAAATATTTTCTCAACAAATATAACTTATAAAATGGCCCAAAGTCAAAAAAAAGTTGCTGATGCAGACCCCTGCTCTAAGTGGTTGCAAAAGTGCCCATACACTTAATAAAGCAGAAGACTCGTTACTAATTCCAGCCCATTTTATTCATACAGATTGACAGCTAGTTAAATGACCCATGTGATCTGTCAACACTTACAACACTTGAACAAGCAACAATGACTCTCTTTTTTTTCTCCCCCACAGGCCCAGCATGCTCAGCAGAAGACAGACCTTGCACTTTGCACACTCAACACAGCCATCAAAGCTGACCCCAAAAATCCACTCTGTATGTTCCACAGGGCTTCTATTCTATTTGCCAACGACAGACACAAAGTAAGTAATGAGCTGTCGGCATTTTAAAAGAATGTCTTTGCTTGTTTGATAAATCTTTTTCAGAGATACAGCTTTAGTTACGCTGCTAATTGTTGTTTTTTTTCTGTACCCGTTATTAACTTTAAAAAATTATCTTGCCCCAACTGCTGAAAAAACAAAGTTACTTTGTAACATCTAAATTAAAACAATGTAACTGATAAGTTTAAATTATTGGACATATCAAAATAGACTTAAAATTAAATAACTTAGACTGGACCCTAATATAAAATTAAAGTGTAGCAGATTCAACAAAATAAAACTAAACATTAACCTGATTTGAAGGATAAATATTGAATTAACCGCAATTTGTGTTTTTATTTTTATTTTGCCCTAATCACAAGTGCTGTTCTTGCCCTAATCATAAATGCTGTGGATCATTTCTTTAATTGTCTTCTTTATTTTCCTGTGCAGGAAGCTTTGGATGAGTTGGAAGCCTTAAAACAAATTATACCCCGTGAATCTCTAGTCTACTTTTTGATGGGAAAGGTATGTTCTTTTCTTTCTCTAATCATCAACATACACATTTCTCTATGTAACAACAATCACTAACACTACCAGATGGAGCTGACTTAACTAAACAAAATTCCAGATAACTGTTCAAAATGAGATTCTTAAAAATACTGCAACTGCGTTTGGTTTGTTATATTTTCTTTTGTTTTATGGAAATAGTCCCAAATTTAATTTCGTGTAATGAATCTGCTGTATAAGGGAGTGTGAATAAAGTGTGCGGTGGTGAACCTTTGGGCACTAATTGGGATTCTTATAAAGTGCGTTCCTTGAATGCATATTTTGTCAAGTACCTTTAGTGGATGTAAAGCTAATGCATTATGGTGGCTATTGTTTAGAGGGCTATTGTTAGCCTTTGTATAGAGGCTGGAGTTTTTTTTTTTACCCCTTATCTGAACCACTGAGAGCTTTTTTTATTATAAAGATCATTACCTGTATCATCATCGTTCCGATCCGGCTATTGGCAAATAGAGACAGCTATTCTTGGGGAGATGGTTGACCTTAAGTAAGAAAATCCTAAAAACGGACCCTGGTAAATGGCAGGCAGTTAAAAAGATGGGCTGTCTGCGCTAACCTGATGAAGAGAAGGGGGAAAAAAAGCTATATTTGTCCATTGGATGAATTTAACTTTGGTATAAACCTTTGGTAAATCTGGAGAAGATCATTGTTATTGTCACTATAAACATTGTATCTGTGCTTGTCTCAGATGAAACATTGGAGATGTTGCGTGTTGTTTTAGTCAGTACATTCAGGAAGCACACAAGTGTCTGTTGTGTGATGAACAAGGTCATCACCATAGGAAACATCTTTAATTTATGGGTTCATTTTGGAATTCATTTCACTTCCATCCTTATTTCAGGTCCATAAAAAGCTGGGTAATACACATCTGGCCATGATGAACTTCTCGTGGGCCATGGACCTGGACCCCAAAGGATTAAACAATCAGATAAAGGAGGCGGTTGATAAACGTTATGTTACAGAAGATGATGACCCTCTAACAAGGCTGGAACAAGATTCTGGTAAGATGTTCATTTTATTCCTGGCTTATCTCCTGGATAAATGCTTTCTCCTTGCTTAAAAATTCCTTTTTTTAAAAATCTTTTGTTCGTTTTTATTTAGTAAGTTTAATTTATAAATCTGAAATACATTTTGAGAACTTCATTTATTCCATTCATTGCATGAACTGAATACAATGAATGGCATAGATGATGTTCTCAAAATGTGTTTCAAACTCTGGATGTAGTAGTTTCTTTAATTATCTTATTTGTGCATTTGGGGTCTCAAAAAAATATTTCTTAATATGCATATGAGTAATCTCCTAAAAAATTGTTCAAGAGGTCTGCAGCCTTTTCGATATTAGCGTGCCAAAGTAAGACATTCAGGTGGCCAATTACTTATAATTCTACCATTTGAGATGGATTTTTTAGTCATTTGTAATCATTTCTCTGGTCTCCTGTGTGCAAATGAAAATCACTACGCCTGTTGTAGTTTGCTGACCTCTGGCATTAACTAGTACTAGAGGTACGGTGCTCTCACTAATTTTAGTAGATCAAGTGACTATGGTACCTTACTTCTTTTACAGTTGCTAAGTGTTAAATCAAGAAAATCCCTTCAGAAATAAAGTTTAAAAAATTTAGTTCCCTTTGCTTTGGCTTGAAGTGAGAACAATATCAAAACCTACAGTAAAATATGTATCCCATCTGCCAAGCATCAATGGTAGCTACTTATATTTGTGTGAATCTCTCAAATGTTAATGGAACAATTTCTTAATTATGAAATACTTTAGGAAATCTTGTCATCACCACTGCATACCCGTTATTAAAAGTGCTGTATTTCTCATGTTGTGTCACACATTTCTTATTTCAAATGTTCGTCCCCAGCTCTAGAAGGAGAGGGGGCGAGTGCCCTTGAAGGTGGTGATCTGGATGCTGACGACACCAGCCAGGATGACGTTTCCCACGGAGGTAATGGTGGGGTGGACTTACTCGACATGCCAGATCTCCAGGCCATTGAAAGCGATGAAAGTTTATGATGAGGTGCTTTAGTAGGTCAGTGGGGTGAGGTAGTGTGAACTTGCCCGCCCCTTTTACTGTGATTGACGTTTTCATAAGGATAACCATTGAATAGGGACGTGCTTCACTGTGTGATGTTTTTAAATACTGGGTGGAGAGAGAGAGAGGAGCTTTGGACCTGACAGAGTGAAGTCGGTAAAATTTCCCAACCAACATGAGAACTGTGAGGTTCTACTGGCTACTACTATGGATAGCAACACTTCCATGGAACAAAGGAGCTGAAGTGGAAGGGGGGACAACTATACTGAGAATTCTTAGCTTTCTTGGTTTGGCTCACACAACCGTGATGAGTTGAGATCTTATGCCAACAAACGGAGTGTGGTCAATGTTCATCAGCTAACTTTATTATGCTGAATTTTGTTCATTTCCACTTCCATGTGATGCACTAGCTTTCATTTCCAGCATTTTCTACTCTGTTTTTTTAGTGACGCAATATACTAAAAAAATATCTTCGTTTTAGCATAACTTTTTTAAAAATAAAGTTTACTGATGTACCCGGTAGCCTTTGATATGACCCCATTAATTAAAAGTGATCGCTTTGTTCGTAAATAAATATAAGAAATTACATGCAATGCACATTGATCATCTTGAAGTTGGTAGCAGCTGATTTCTATTAAAAAGAATTATTTAATTTTGATTAAAAGTTTTCCTGTTTTTTTATCTCCTAATTGATAAACATTAACTTATTTATTTGTGATTGTTTTGTTGATTGTTTTTTTGTCCATTGCATTTTACATTCTAAGGGTACAACATGACAAAGTCACAAATTTGCTTGTTTCCCCTGTTAAATAATATGTTTTAAACCATCACTGCCAAGTGAATCCCATTTTCATTTATTTATATCCGGATGAGAGACGTCAAATCCAGTTTTCAGTGATGTTTTGAAGTTTGTCGGCACAGCATGTCGCTCTGTATAGGTGGATTTTTGTCAACGCTCCCGACCAAGGAATGGTTAGATACAATGTGTGTAAGTGAACATCCAATAATAAAATATTTCTCAGTGTTGCATGTTAGAAGAATCACAAAAATTTAAATAGTTGAATCTTCCTTTTCCAAATAACCAAGTTAATGAAGAGAATCTGACAAAGTTTCATTGCAAGAAAGAGTCTCATCCAGCATCAGGTTTCTGTTACTATTTAAATCATTCATAATTAAATTAGGGTAAGCCCCCATGATCAGAAACTATTTTAGTAATAGTAGTTGTTAAAAAAAAGTTTAGCTAACCCATTGTTGCTAATACAACTATTTATTTATAACATATTTCACCCTATATTCCATTTTTTACCAAGCCAATTATACTAGAGTACAATAAGTTTTTCTTCAAGGCTGTTGTTTTTTATTTATTTTGACAAGTGCAACCAGACCACTTTTAAAAAAAATCTTTTGTCATGTTGAATAAATTAATTTGTATTTGTTGGTACACTTTGACTCTTGATCAACATGCAATGACTGTTCGCTGTCAGGACCTCTAATGTTAACAACACTTGGAATCTAATTTTGTAAAATTTATTTATTAAACTCAATCAAATGTTTTGAAAATACTGAATCTGTCCTACCTAACACACATGTTTGAGTGAATGAATTCAAAATTGTGTTTTATTTTAATCGCAGAATAGCATTAACTGTGCTGTCATTTTTCAAAATCCTATATATTCAATTGGGGGTACCATTTAAAGGCATTACATCTTTGCTTGCTTAATGGAATATTTGTTTCTTGTCTTATGTTCAAGATTTGTTTTCACCATAAATCAATGGGGACTATATTTTGTTACGGTCATTAAAAAGTTGCATTTTTTAAATACATATTTTCCCATTTTTAAAACGGTATTGTTAATTTTGAATTGTCAACTGTCCATCCACTACATTGTGAACTCCAGAGGTACAACCGGTGTAGATGGCGTACCGGTACGAACATCCCTCTGAACTCTCTATTCAGTGATCTTGAGGACAGTTCTAAATGCATTTTGAACCATACACTGTGTGTTGAGGAATATATGGCTCTTGTAGTACTTGTAGTTTTTCCTAGCCACCCTTGACCAGCTGGCATGCTTTCTGTATTTGTCACTGTAGTCCCCACCTACCTTGAGTTTTTATTCATAAACTGGGTTGAAATATGCAGCAAGCAAGCCGTTAGTAACAAAATGTGAGAATTGTTCTACTTCTTTAACACAGCATATGTCTGTCAAGGGAACCAGTTTTGGTATAAGATAAAGAAAGAGCTACCAATGGGTTTTCTTAGCGCTTTCTTAGTTCCTGCACTACAATGAATGTTAGGATGTGAGCTTGAGAAAATATCTTTGTCATTTAACTAATCAGAAAATGATTCTTAAATATAATAATTTTTAAAATTCATATAGATCTAAATGTACCATAATAAAATGGTTTTGAGGTCAAAATATTTAGGGACATGTTAAAGAATATGTGTATTTAAGTTAATCAGTTTAGATAAAGATAGTGCTTTTCTGCACATAGACTGGGTTGACAATAGTTATCTGATACATTGGAAATGAATGCATTGCTCATTACTGGTACTTGGTTACTAGATTATTTGTATAATAAAAAAACAATGATTGAAAAGAGCAGGAGTCCCATACTTGAGCCTCAATCTACTCACAGCTTTTATCATGAAAGAAAAGTATTTATGACATTCTAATAACTAGATGGAGCTCTTCAGTGATTCATTTATATTTTTTTATTCCCCACCTCCCTTTTCTCCAACAGGATTGGTACCATACAGTTGTATTTGAGTTTGTTCCTTTCTAGGCAGGCTCCTTCAACTTCAAGAGTTCTCACCCTGTGTAAATATTTTTTGCCATTTTATTAAAAAAAAAAAGAGTACTTTCTTTTCTCTTCAACTCATGTGTTGTTTTTTAATCACCATTTTACAATGTGTTCTTGCTTGCTAGCTGGTTGGCTAACCATACTTTTGGTTGGCTACTCCTTGGCCCTCTGGTTTGATTTGAGGTTATCCCTCTTGGCACTCTTCTATATGGCTTTGTAATAAATAAAAAGTAATAGACAGGCCCAAGCTTTTATGTGTGTCCACTCCGAATTCGACAGACAAATGAATTTTTAAAGATTCATCAATGCAAGTCTTACCGGTTTTTTTTTTTGGTTTTTTTTTTGGGGGGGGGGGGGGTTTTTTTTTTTTTTATTTAAAAATTTTTTTATTTTTTAATTTTTTTTTTGTAGGTTTTTTTTTTTTTTTTTTTTTTTTTTTTTTTTTTGGGGGGGGGGGGGGTTGTTTTTTTTATTAGTTAAAAACATTTCTCAGTAAAGTAAACAATTTTGCTGTTACTGTTATGTTTACTTTTTACCCAGGATTGATAAGAAACATTAAATAGTGTCATATTTAAAAGTTTCAAGCCCCTGCATTATTGGTCAGATGATTGGGAGAGCATGCCTGGAAAGTAAGTTAGCTTGAAAAAAAAAATATGTGATTATTTATGTGATCAATTTAGTACTGTTGGTTTGTTTTATTAATATTTTTTTTTTTCAGAACTGGGGACATTTTAGAGCAGCTTTTATGCACTTACCGCCTGCCATATCTAGCAGATTGTGGGGGGAATGTATTTAATGTTGTTGATATTTTAGTATGGTATTTAAGGCAGTGAATGTGTATGAATTAAGACTTCAAAATCTTTTTGTTTTGATAACCTTTCTGTTATCGGAATGTGCATTTTTAACAGGAAGTACGGTAGTTAAAAAAGTGTCAATGCAGAACATAAATGTTAAGTACGATTTTTTCATATGGTATCTGAATGTGTAAATGTGGAGTATAAAGGTAAAGCATCTTTTTTTTTCATATGTAAATGTGGCATATAAAGAGGTAAAGCATTGATTTTTTTTTTCACATCTTAATGTGCAGATGTAAAGGTGAAGCATTGATTTTTTCAGATATGCTACAGATAGGAAATGGAAGGACACAAATATGTGAACATGTTTGATTAGAGTGAGATTTTAGGATTATGAGTGTTTTGATATCTTTTGGTTGGATCTTACACTTACATGTGATTGAATTACATGAATGATAGTGTATTTTATTTTGTGCATCAACTTTGAACATTTTACAAGCCACTTGAGTTGAAGTGTACATTCGGTGTGTAGATCTATCCAGTGCAATTCCAATAATGGAAACAAAGGGTTTGTATACTTGTAACCAGTTGCTTAAAATGTACAGAGGCCATGTAGTGTTAAGCTGTAGGGCTGATTTGGTGGTGTCCAATGGTGAAAATAAATGAGTAATAAATGCCTTGTTATTTTACTCTCTTAGTGCAGTTGTCTGTTGTTGTTTTTTTGTCTATAATTGTTTGAATGTGGCAAAGCATTCTTTAGGGCCGATGAAATGATGTAATTGGAATTGTCTTAAATGTAATACAAGCAGTTTTTCATTGATGACCATTCACAATTTCAGTTTATAGAGAAAATCAAACATTTTATTGTGTTTTAAATTAAAATTAACCTTTTCCTAAAGTAGCTTGCTTTCTCTTACCCCTCTCTTTTATTTTACGTTTCTTAGCATATTTTAATAAAATTTACATATTTGAAATCTAATACAACGTATTTATTATTTAAACATGACAACTTGCCTTTTGGGTCGCATCATATACGCAAAGAAGATTAGGCAGTTCTAGAAATGGTACTCGTTCCTATATCAAGAACTGTCTACCGGTACAATTACATTTGGAATAATTGTTTTGTAGAGTTCCCACACAAAATAGGAATTTAATTTTGTAGTGTATTTTAAGAAAAAGAGAGAAAATTCACAAACCCTTAAAACAAAGTTTTTCATATAAATCCTTTATAAAATGTCATAGTCATCAATGGGGGGGTGGGGCTGAACATTTGACTAAACATATACAAGAAATGCACTTTACAAGAATCCCAATTAGTGCTACTCCCCCCCCCCCCCCCCCCAAGGTTCGCATCCGCACATTTTTCAGCCCCATGAACTATATTATTATTCCAATGACCGATCCACTTTTGCACTGCAGATTTATTTTAACATTTCAGAAAAACAAAAGAAAATATTACACACTTGCGATATTCTTTTTTAAAGAATCTCATTTAACGCAATTATTGTTAATTTTATTTTGTGAAATCAGTGTCATATTTTCTTCATCTTCCCCTTGAAAAACAGGAAACTGATTTTTTGATGTTGGGGCTTAAAAATTTGATAGAACGTGTTGTCATCGGCAAAGGGTCTATATGCCAAGTTTCAGCTCTATAGGTTGATGGTAAGAGGGTCAATTAGCCGTCTGAAGATTTTGCCAGCCACGAACAAAAGCGAAGTTAATGTTATTAAGGATTTATAAATAGGCTTCTTTTCATATAGTTTTTTTTTTTTAAATGATGCTACTTTAAAATACTGGTACTTGAAAAACTCGCAATTCGAGAAAAGTTAAATCAATTTTTCAGATGAATTATAAATGTAAACATTTTGGTGTGATTTATTAGCTGGAGTCTATGAAAGTCATTGTGAGTATAGAACTAGAAAATTTGCAGTGATATCTTCATTGTCACTAGAGCACGCCTGCACAACATGCGGCCCCCGCCAGCACCCAATTTGGGGCCTGCTAAGTAACAAAATATTCTTTATTATACTATTTTTTTTTAATAGCTCCCCCCCAATCCTATTTTCGGCATGCACAAGTTTTCATAAAGTAGTATGGCCTTACATTTTGAGTTGTGCAGGCCTGGACTAGAGCAATGAAAATCTTCATCAGATATTTAATATTTTAGATCCATTTTTACTTTGGTATTTAAGGCTTAATAAATACTGATTCCCTCACAACTTGAATAGGGACACATTAAAATAATATATAAATAAACAATGATAATAAAAGGTCACAATTCATTTGACAGAAGATATAAACATTTATTTATCATTTGATTTTAATTTCAGCTTTGTATATTTCAAAGTTTGAGTTTTGCACAGCATGGAATATAAATTTAACCTAAGACTGTACTGAAACTTGACAATAATATTGTTTATATCAGTGGTTCCCAACCTTTTTGACTTGAGGATCCCTTTTTAGAATCAATTTATATGAGTTCCCCCTTAAGGCTAGGCTATGCCTTACAAATGTATGGTCTTTAGGTGTAGTGTTACAGGGGGAAGGACTGGCCTCGGAGAAGTCCATGCAGAGCACAGGTTGGGAACCAATGTTTATATTATTCAGTTGGTTATTATTACAACATACAACTGAGCCATATGTGATTAAAAAGAAAATTACCAATGACATCATAGCAATAGTTGAGGGAAAATATACATTTTATGGTTCTCCAGCACATAACTTCCCAGGTACACGAAATATATTAGAATCTTGACCTTTTAATATCACTACGTGCACCAGAATTTCTTGATTTTAAAAATAAACTTTCTTAAGGTTTGAATGGGTTGAAATGCAAACTATTTAAGACAGAAAAATGACCACGGAGGTAAACCAGTTAAGTTTGATTTAAAAGGTTTCATGAGGAAACTAACTGATGCAATTATGTCTTATTGGTCAAATAACAGAAACTTGTGGGTAAAACAAAGGTATACATTTTTTTGGTATACCTCTGATCACTTTCTAGGGTAACATGTAAAATCTCTTATTCACTGATTAGGAACAATTTGCTCAATTTATTAAAGCTGGAGTCCCTTAAGATTGGTCATTGGAGAAGTTGACTGGAATTTGCACCCATTCATCAGTGTAATACATATATTGATACCAACACTACCTGGTCCTACACACAGCCTTTTGCTGTACCCTGGGAATGGCTTTTTCATGTCAGTATTTCCATATTAATATTTTGAAATCATTTTCCTTAATGTAGAATTTACAATTGAAAATCTCTAAATAAATTATCCTCATAGTGGATAAAAATTAGAAATAAAAAGTTACATTTAAATGGCTTATTGGTTAAATAAACTCTCCCACAATAAATGGCAGCCTTTAATAAATTAAAGTCTGAGTTTTTTTTGTTTCATAACAGTTTATAATTAAAAATGATGAAATACTGAAGATTTCTTCTCTCAATACTAACTAAATCCTGTGACTTAAAGTTAGATGGAAAAGGAGGATCACTCTGAGGATCATTTGGATGTTTCTTCAAAGAAGCCAAATTTAGTTTTGTTTTTTTATGAGTTTTGTTGTGGAATTTGATTATTTTATCATATTTATCAAAAAGGCAGTGAACTTGGAAATGAACAACTGATGAGTTAAAAGATTTGACATTAATAATAGAAGACATGAGAGTTTGATTCAGATCTAAGTAATCATCACTCACAGTTCACATTAGTTGCTACTGAACAGGACTGAATCATAAGAGGATAAATTACTACCTTGATAAAACAATTATCCTGTATTATCCTGTTGCACTACCAACAACTATCATGTACAAAAGTATGAGTGACCATCACTGACCAAGATACTGCTGAATAAACCTGGTGACTTAAGTTCATTAATAATTTAGCTATAATGATCAATAATAATTTTAATGAACCGCTCATGTTTTAGCTACCATTTTCCATAAAATAACTGATTTGAAAATTTTACCTTGTCAAGTCATGTAGACCTGTATGTAATATAATTCAAGTCTAAAACACTGGCTTACCACTATACTACAGATGATTAGAACAATTAAGGGGTTGGAATTCAAGCTATTTATTTTGTAAGTCTATCACTAACGCACCCAATAATATAAAATTAAACTGAAACCTGGCTATGACACGATAATAGGGTTCCATAAAATTTAATCACTTTACTAGAGTTAATGCAGGGTTATAATATTCCGTCCAAATAGCATTGGGACTGTTAAAAAGGGAAGGTGATTTGGTTTTATAAAAACAGATTTAAAAAAAAATCTTGTATGGTTTTAGAACTATGTGGTGTTGATGCTGGAATAGTTTTAGTGGATGCTTTATTGTGTTGAATGCATAGTATTTAACGCTTTTTTATTTCTTGGAGAAAAAATTATGTGAATGAATATATGAAATTTTGAGGACTATGCCATGAAGATGTTAAATCCAAAGTCGTGTTATAGCGAGGTAACACAGTAGAAGGGGGCTGGACTGCAGTCAAGCTTAAGTAGATAAAATATATAGAAAGGCTTTTAGACATTAAGTGAAATAAATATACTGGTACTTACTGGCAACAATAATAAGTAAAACAAACACTCATTGTTTATTACAATTCTCACTTTTGAAATAATTGAAGTACACCAGTCATTATACAAGTGTTTGACCCTGGTCAATTGTGAGCTTCAGGTCTTATATAAGAAAACAATGTAGCCAGTTCAAAAAGGTTGGAAACCACAGTTGCAATGTAATTGATTAAAAAATTAGCTTTTTATTAAGGTTTTGAATCCTAGGTCTGACATAAATGGAATTAGACATACTGCTTGAGAGAGAAATTATGCTTCAGAGCACATATTTAGTGTTAAACCAAAAAACTAGCAGAGTTATCAAAATTAAGTGACACCAATGGAGTAAATATTCACTTGGATAACATGTATAAAGTTGAAATCTACTTGCTTATATCGTAGTAAATGCAAGCTAGGCACAGAACATGAATGCAATAAATCTCAGCGATGATTAGTTGCCATTACATTTTCCCCACTTAACTTTCTGCAAGGTCATCAAAGTTTACTTTGGATTCACCTTATCCAAAAAAATTTATGCATATGAAATTGTTAGTATTTTAATTATTGACTTAAGTAGATGCGACAGTAGAGCAACAAAAACATGGAATCTACATTCTAATAAACAAATTTTGTGATCTAATCAATAAGAAAACAAATAAAAGACTGCAATTTAATTATTGTTTTTATTATTACGTTATCAAAAAATGAATCCACTGAAATATAGGCTATTTTGGTGCAAAAGATCACAAAAATTGTTGGTCTTACTGGAATAAAGACCATATTTAGATTTCTTGATTAGAACAAAGAATTGCAACTTCTTTTTTTTTCCTCTCTAAATTTCTACATTTCCTCTAAAACAAGACATTATCAAGTCACATAAGTTTACATATTACAAATACAATGTGTCATATCTATGATTTTAAAAAATTTTAAAAAATTTCTTCTAAAATGAAAGGAAAGCAAACAAAAGAAAAGACCAAAACCTATACCTGTTACAACAGAAAATATCTTTTAAAAATTGCATTGATTCATCTCATCAACCTAAACAACATACAAGCTCAAGAAATAATCAATAACCTCCAAAAACACAACATTTTTCTTTTTTTATTCTTCAAATTGTGAACACTGTTCTACTTTAAACACAAAGCTACATCACTTTTTTTTTTTTTTAAAAACCCAAGTTTCAAGTTTAAACAAAAAATTTAGATACTGAACACGTCCATGACTAAATCTAAATGGTTACTGGTATTTCAAAATAGAAATACATCCGAGTTGCAATGAATCACTTTGTTCAAGCTTTTTTGCCTATTCTTACTCTTCTACAAATTTAATGTATCATTTCATGGCATGGTAGAGCAGAGATAAATAAAATTCATTCATAAAAATTGTATGCATATCTTCCATATTATACTAGCACAAGTATAAAAGAATATGTCTTGGTTACAAAACTCAGGATGTAGGGGCATGGTAAGCTTGGTAAGTAGAGTACCACAGTTCACCAGAATGTTTTAACGACCTGCAAAGAATAAAACCATCAAGAGTTTAAAATATTGAGTAAGCAAGTTGTGCGTTGACAGATATTTGAAAAGAAAGATAATTAGTGGGTTTTTTTTACTTGGTGTTGGATATTGATGAATGGATACTCTGTAATTTCTTGACTTCTGAAGTTTTAATGAACTGAAATCATTAGCTACCACTACAAGCCATCAACATAGGATCAGGCATTTTGCAAAGTTGATATCTTATGGAGTTTAACTATTAGCTTTCATTAGTGCAACAGCTCTATATTTATAGAAAAATTTTGTTTCATTATTTGAGTATTGAGATGATGTTTTCAGACCTGTTTACCCTCAAACTCTTAAAATCGTACAATATCATCACAAAATCGTTCAATATGTTATATTTATAGTAAAAAAAAACATACAGTGTATACAATCTATACACCTCAAAATTGTACATTGTACACCAAAATCGTAAGAGTAAACAGGTCTGTGTTTTTGATGTCATGGGCAAAGAAACCAGAAGAAAGTAGAGAGAGATAGATTTAAATTGATTTATTTAAGATTTATCACATTGAATCACAGTGGCTACCTTTGATCTGTTCGTATTAGGAAGAGAATGAAGTTATATGATGTCATATCAGTTATTTTTTTCCAGTTGGACACATATTTATATTGTGAATTGTGACCTTTCAATGTGATTAAAGTTCATAGTGATGAAGTGTCAAATGCTCTGCATTGTTATAGTGCTTTCATAGCAATTAGCTTAATTAATAGTTATCAGACTGTAATAAACACTGTACTGTTACAATTAGCATTTTTTAAATGATAATTGAATAAATTAACATGGAATTCCAAACAGGAAAAATTTATTGCCATAGTAGTGTGCATATGAATTATATTGCAAATTTATATTCACTTATTTTCTTTATTATGATCTGTCAATTAATTCCATTTTTTTATATTAATAATACACAAAATTCCCATTATTAAAGAAGTACTTGTAATTAGATTTTAAAAATTGCTGAACTTTTTTTTTTCTTTTCACTATTATTTGTTTATACATGTTTTCTGTTCAAACTACAGGACAGCGTCAATTTCCCAAACAAAGAGTCCAGGGGTGTTTTGGATAAACGAATACAGTTTGGACTATAAATGTTAACACAAAGAAAACAAAATATTCTCATCTTTCAGTCATACACAGAAGATGCTTTTAGTTACCACTTTAATATTTTATTTAGCTCCATGGCCCCCTTCTCTGTAATTAATATTAAAAAACTGCCTTTTTTCATGTACACTAAGTACTTTTTTTCCCCTCAAAGTTTTTATGGCTCCCAAGAAATATACTGTGGCCCCCGGGGTCCCATATGACCCAAGTTAAGAAAAACATTGCTTTATTGTACATTGTTTTAACTATACAGCACGGTATACAGGGATCAGCTGATTGATGTCAAAAACAGGAATGGAATTTTTTTTCTGCCTTAAGAGTTTTGAAAAATAGGATGACTGGTGCTTAGAATAAAATTCTTTGTCTATGAAGACATGTATTCTGTGATTTATTTTAAATAAAAAGTGATCACATTAACCCAGTCTGGTCCCTGCATGTAGAGTACATATCTAGATTTTACTCGGGTTTGGAATTGTTTTCTGGTGCTCCAAGCCATGTGAATTGCGTACGATAATAACAGTAATACAATAATTCAAAAGACAGACTGTTCAGATAACACGTTTCGAATAATCTGTGTTCCACTGTAATTTTTTTTTTTTAAATCTCTGACAAAAAAAAAACAACACCTCACATTGGCTGGTTGGTTACAAAAGTGGCACTCACCTGACTATGTCTGCAAAAGCAGTGCCCAAAGGTTTCACTTGATAGGAGATGTTATGTTTCTCACATAGTGACTTAACGAGGGGGGCAATCTGGTGCAGGTTATGACGTGGCATTGTTGGGAACAGGCTATTTAAAAAAACAAAACAAATAAGGGCTGGTGCATTAAGGCTCCATCTTAACAACAACACTAAAATATACAAGCTTTTTTTAAATAACACACTTTATAATAATTCTACACAGAGGCTAATTCAAGAAGTCCCTGCCACAAATTCTGTTATTTTAAACAATTTAAAAGGCTGCATTCTACCAGTTTGATAATGGTGGTATTTTGTAATGTCTTTGCAACTGTTACCTTTTTTTTTTTCAACCACAATCAATTCACTGTTGTTTTTTTAATGACTAATACAATTATCAAGTATCTTTCATTAATCAAACAGGCTTGTTTTAAATATTCTATATTATTTTCTAAGCTTTCTTACTGATGCTCAATCTGAAAGTTGAGGTGTCCTGTAAACCAGTCATTGAAAAAGCTCTTCTCAACATTGCAAGTAGCCTGCAGTTGAAGAGGGAGCCATGGCATAGCTTTGTCCTGATCTATTTCCATGGGGACATGGTTAGACTGAGCCACCCAAGTAAACCAATGACTTTCTAAGCACCTACACATTAAAATAAGAAAGGAAAAGATTGAATAAAGATTCATTAAATATAAAAAATCAGTTCCTTTATATTTGTTTGTGATGCTATGTGAATAGGTATTGTGTACATAATTCTATGTTTGTTTATTTATTTTCTATTTTAATACATATTGTATTATTTCATGGCATGGTAAAATTCACTTGTAAAATTTTTATTGTATTGTAAAGTTCTATTCTGAGACTATATTGTACTTTTTTTTGAGAGTTCCAGTATAACTAAGTTTGTTTAAATATGCCATAATTCTAGCATAGGAAGCATGGCTATTGTAAATAAAAAGTGTTTATTTTAAAAAATTGAGGATGAATATTAGTATTAGTTTGACTATGAATGGTAATTGGTATTATAATGGAATATTAAATGCATTACAAAACAAATTACAGTGAAAAAGCATTTACTTCCAAACTGCTCATAAACAACAGATACTTCAGTTTATTTACTATTTTAACAGTATTGTACGATTTTGAGATGGTAAAGTACTATTCTGAGACTATATTGTACAACAGAGAGTTCCAGTGCAGACCTGTTTACCCTTCAACTCTTAAAATCGTACAATATCCTCACAAAATCGTTCAATACATTATCTGAATAGTACGAAAAACATACGGTGTATGTAATATTTAGGCCTCAAAATTGTATATTGTACGCCGAAATCGTAAGAGTAAACAGGTCTGCCAGTGTGACCAGGTCTGTTTTAATATGCCATAATTCTATCACAGGACTCATGTTTATTTTTTAGTCCTATAAAATAGAATAGTCATCAGCCTAAACAATGTCTTAACTATATGAGGGACTCTAACAAACCGAAGTTGAAATGTAATATAATGTATCTTTCAATTAAATTATTTTGTATAAATAATTTTTACTAATGTTGGATCTGTAGGTCAGAAAAAGTATAAAAAAAACTGTAATGTAAAGGTCAAACACTACATAAATACATTAATAAATGCAACCAGTTGAAATCAAGACATACTGTGTGTGGTGTGCAGTAAACTTTAACAAGTTTATTAAATCATTTAATAAAATGTCTAAACTATTTGTGCTAATTGCTGAACATAGAATGTCATTAGGAACAGGATGGCCTTGGTTGATCTCTATTTTAAATTTCAAGACTCACCTGAATGTAAAGTAGAATGCAATAGCTTGGCCAATCCCCAAGATTGGTGTGTAAAGGTAGAAAAACTTAATGAAGAAGATCGTTACCATCAGCAAGTCCTGTAAAAAGCATTGATATAATTGATTATATTATACTTTAACCCTTTACTGGGTAGAGCGCTGATAACGTCTTTACCACTTAAAGGGCAGAATGCCCAAAAGCGTCCGTGACGACTTAGTGTTTTTTTTCTCGTGACCTCCGAGGCTTTGCAAGACTTCCTATTGTTTACATCCGGCTTTTCCGATAGCTAAATAGAGTAGGCGCCAGTTACACGTATTTAATCGATTTTTTTTTTCGTTTTAGGGGTTTAAAAATTTTTTTTTTCTAAATGGATTTTGCTGATTATTTGCCGAGTATTCAAGTGATAGCGGAGATTTCGCTGGATTCAATTAAAGTGACATTTAAGTGTACGAATTGACTGTAAATTGGAACTAGATGTTTACATTATTAGTAATATTAGTGAAATCAGCGTAGTAAGCAGTGTAATTTGAGTGTTGAATTTTACAAACTTCGATTTTTATGGCAGTGTTTGTAAATAGTAAATAGATGACTCACAATCACAAACAATCTGTTGTTTTTGCAAATATTTGTGTTCATATAAGGATTAATGGCAGCATGTGAGTACAATTATAAATCTGCATTCATTTTCCTTTATTTTGCTTTTTATTTCACACAAATTTGTTGACTAACAACCTTAAATTTGATTTTTTTTTTGTAACGTAACCCTAAATTTTACTAAAAAATGGAAAAGTGGTGCCCGTTCAGAACATACAAGAGGAAGTACCTCTCCCCCGTAAAGGGTTAATAGAGTTTTTTTAAGGGGACCAAGTCCAAATGTTAAGTTATTAGAAAATGGGCTGGAAGGGGGGGGGGAATATGTGTATTTATACTTATGGTTTATTTCAAATTGTACATAATTTAAACGAAAGAAATAAACATGTTTCAGCCCTTTTTCCCTAATTTTAAAATAGATAAATATTTGTAATGAACATAAGAATAAGAACAATAACAGTCACTCAATTTTGGAATATTGGGACTTTGCCCAATTGATTAAAATAATTGTAAACTGATCCTGCCATAACACAATTGTTTTGGTAGAGTAACAATGCTGTAATTACAAGACTGGATTATAAGCCTTCTCATAAATCAAAGGCATATTTTTATATTTCTAGCTTTTATGGCAAGCTTGAAAGCCTTGCTTAACATAAACAGTAAGACTTACCATCCATGCTCGCCTTGTAAAAATGTATCTAAATAACATGATCTGAAAGTATACTGGAAACAGAAGGGGTGGTCCAACTAGAGAAAAAGAATAAAATGCAGGATTTTAATGCTACAATTAAGTACAAGATCTTCTTTAAATTATTTTAAACTAAAATTGATTTAAATTATCAAGAAATAAAAACAACTTAAGGCAACATTTTCAAGAATCTTAAAGAAAGAAAGAATTGTTTTTTTTCCCTTGCTGCTTATCTTTGGACAAAAATTCCAAATTTTATTATTGGCCAAAGACTTATTGATACATCTCAACTCTATATACATCCCACCTTTCACCCAGTGAATGGCATTGTCTAACAACTTATTAGCAATTAAGAATTATTGAGTTGTGTTAAAAGTTTGTTTCATTAACAGATGAAAAATAAGCCAGTACCAAACAACTGCACTAAATAATTAAAAACAAATGCAGTTCTCTTGCATAAAATGAACCAAATTTCAAATAAGGTCCGACTTACGAAGAAAGAAATAGTAGTTCTGCCAATTGTAAGGCATACTCTTCTTGTACTTCTTGGCCACCTGAACAGGCATGTTGTCACCCACAACAAACAAAGCTTCCACACGGACATCAGGGTCTTTATCAATCTGAAAAGCAATTCAAATTATACATAAATTCAATGACATGACACACAAGATAAAGATAAGAATCTGATCAACACATGGAATGCCATCACTTAACTCTCACCATCGCTACTTTGAAATGCATTTATATATATTTAGTATTTGAACAGTAGGTTGTGTTGATTGATGACCCATCAACACATGTCTATATCAACAGCATGTGTGCCATCATCTCATAAATGAGACGGAATACAGACATTTGTCACCCTGTATTATGCATGTAAACCCTGTATTATGCATGTAAACCCTGTATTATACATGTAAACTTAATATATTGTAAATCTAACAATGAAAATTAAACAACCCAAAAAACAAAGTTTTTCGTATAAATCCATTATATGCATTTTTTTTTTTTGCATTTATGTAATTGAATTTATCATTTATTAAGAAGCTGTTATGTAAATGGGTAAACTTCTGGCAAAAAGACATTTCATGTTTCCTTCAATTCCCCTTCAAAAATAGATTTTATTTTTACTGCATACCCAAATACATTACAAATACAAGGCAAACAGCAACGGCTACACAATCTACACACCAAAACACGCACCCATAGTACAACTCGTTAACATTCTCTCCCCCCACCCCACTCTGAAAAAAAAGAGGAAAATTTGGGGGTGTGGGGTGGGATGAAAACTTGATAGAATGTGTTGTTGTCCAGCAACAAGTCTTTGTGCCAAGTGGGTCAATAGCATTACAAAAATTTTGTCAGAAACACATAAACAAAAGCGAAGTTAATATAAAATATTTAGAAAATAAGTAGAATCATTCTTCATAGATCAAACGGTTTCCTGGATATAACTTTAAAGTACATTTAATTCATCCTTATTATGTAAAAATATTGATCAAATTAAACTAGTCCATAATTATCGTTTAACCCTTTTATGAAGTTTATTCCAATAATTAGCAGACCTATCAGTGTATACCACAGGTGTCTGGGAATGGTACATAGCACTAGTAACATTGATTAATTAATGGTACATACCACATTAGGCTTGGCATGATGCTGGTAATGCATGTGATTCCACCATGAGGGAGATGCACCCTGTATGAAATAAAATCTGTTTGTTTTAGATTGTGTTCAGGGTTTAAAAGTAAGCTAAAAATAAAAATCTGTATCATTTGTACTTTATACTTTTAAATGGTGTAAAATTATGAAAACAAAAAGTATGCAAGTGTATTCTTTTAAACAGGGTAAAAATGTACCAAAAAAATGAATGGCTTAATCGCAATGGCCTAATTTATTATTTAAATTTTCACTAGGCTGATTTTCAATAAAGATTAATATTAACTTCATAATAAATTATGATGTTTCTATAAGTTAAATAATCTTTTCATTCATAGTTGTTTACTGCAAATGATATCAGAACATCCAAGAATATATCTAAGGTATAAATTATATATTCCTAATCTGTTAAATTTTCAGAAAATTTTGTTATCTTCACAGTTTTTAAAGTATAAATTGAAAAATTTATACTAATAATGTTAAAATATTTAAACAAATAAAATATTTATTCAATAATAAATAAAATAATATAAATAAATGAAAGAAATGATATTACATTTATTGTAGTGGACACATTGATGATAGAAAAAACTTGGACAAAGATGACAAAATAATAAGAAATATAAGAAAAATATAGTTAAAAGAAGAAAATAAAATTGTCTTTGCCTCTTTCCTTACAAATATCTATTTTAAGCAAAATTAGTTTTAAATTTTTTTACTTTTTTATCTGATCTGAAATTAACAATAGATCCTATGTAGATCCTATATCCAGTTGAACTTGCAGATAAGAATTAATAATAATTTTAAATCGGCATTGGTTTATTAATTATAGAATATGATTCCATGGCATGTAACCCACTCACAAGTTTATAGTTGTTATAGCTAGTTATTTTCTGGGTGAGTAAAAACTTAACTTCTAGCTAGGTGTCAATGCTCTAACAGATTAACTTATGTAATTCTGAACCTAGATTAGCAGACCCGTTTGGGTTTTGTTAAGCACATCTCAAAGGACAGATGACAGAAATAAAGCTATCCTTAGTATTAACAAGTCCAGCCTAAGTAATTGTAGCAGTGTACTTCTTACATAACAATATAATTTTGGTTGTTCATTGATCCAATATGAGAATTCAACAAATAATTTAACCATAAAGAAAATGTTTCTTATATGAATGATGATAAATAATAAGAATGTGCCAGATATAATACTCACCTGCTTTCTGACATATCTTAACATTACATAAGTCTATAAAGTGCTTTATTATCTTATTCTTATGTTATTTTCAAGATTACTTATTCTAGTGACTATGTGGAGGAAATAAACTTGAAGCGAAGCAAACTTTTAACAAAAATGGAACTACAGTGCAATTTTTTTTTAATCTAAAATATTTTTCTAATGATTCAATCATTTAATGAGAGTGGAAATAATTTTAAAATTAATCAGTAGCTAGTGGGGTATTTATTGTCTTTTGCCCAAGATAAAGGGCAGATGCAGATCCATATGAAATAAAATAAAAAGTACTTGTTTTACCCTGAGTAAAATAAATTGATTTTAAAATCTAAAAAAAAATATTGGTAATGCTTTGAAAGGTACCAACAAAATAACTTGTGCACTACATTCTGCCATTATCACACACTATGATGGTATGGGGGGAACCCTTTGGTCAGATGATTAGAGCATTTGCAATAGGTTCAATACTCTTGATTTATTACAGTCTCAGAATTTTACATTTGTGTTATCATAATGGCAAAAACAAAACTAACAACTATGACCCAAAGAAATGTTTAATTTGCCATTATACTATTTGGAGGAGTCTCCCGCTGGTGTAATTTAACCAGCTGAGGGGAAAAGAAAAATTACTTTCATTTGGTCTTCTTTCTTTTAACAAAAAATTATTATTTTTTTTTTTGTTTTGTATTGGTTTTGAATAAAATAATAACTTTTTTAAATAAGCAATTTGTTATTCCTCAACAGACCAAGAACTGCTCTCAAAAATGTACTTGTTAATATATTAAAGTAAAGAATAAGTTCTCGATATCATTTTGTTATTTTTAAGTTGATGCAATCTTATTGCAAAGAACTTGGGCAATACTTCATGTAAAGAGAAAAAAAAAAAATTCTCAAAAGAGCAATCTTCTTTTAGACAAAAAAATATTAAAATTGTGAACTAATGAATGGATCTGAAGTATTTTGATAAGATTTCAAAACAAATTTAGTTGGCAAGCTGGCTAAACAATGAAACCTAAATGCACAATCTCTGATAATGATTAATTATTTCCCACTTGTATTTCTTACATCCACATGGCAAAATAAGTTGACAGACTTAATGCACACACACTTGATTACCAAATAGTGAGAAAAAAAAATGTCTATTTACTAACATAAGCTCAGACTCCGTGAAATGACTTTAATCACACCTGGCAAGACAAATTATGCTATCAAGAATGAGAAAATAATCTAAAAATAAATCTTCAAAATTTCTGACTTAAAAAGAGATGTATGATATCAGGATTTCAGCATTATCCAAATAAAATGATGGAATTAGACAACAGATCAGCCAAAGGAAAAGGCAAGGACAATGCATAGCTGATATTTTCACACCACTGTCAATTCCTTAATAATGAAAGCAGTCATTTTCACACCCCATAGCTATAGTGCTAAACTGAACACACCAACACTAAAATTCAAGGTCACTCAATAATGAAGAAAACCAAAATAATTATCACCAAAATGTTTATAATTTATTTTTAGGTGATGAAAATATTGTCAAATTATTTTTATTACTCTATTTGTGAAAGATTCATTTACAACTTCAAAGTAAATTCCCACATACAAGAAATAAATTATTTGGAATTTAAAACTTTTAAGAATATCCAGATCTCAATGAAGCTCTCTCAGAGTCTCTAAAGAAACCAATATTTGTTTTCATGAAAAGGAAAAATTTTTTTGTTTAAAGAAACTTATGAAATAATAAAAATATTAAACACCAGTTTCTAAGGAGACAGAGAGCTACATTGAGATCTGGATACACTTAAGTTTTTTAATTTAAGATAATTTGTTATTTCTGGTTTGGATATTGTCTACTGCACAAGGCATTAAGCTGAAACGTCAGTTTAATTGTCCTGTCTTTTTATTTTTTTTTTTTTTTTTTTTTTTTTTTTTTTGAAGCCTATCAATATCTTGTTCCACTATTTATTTATTCAAGTGAGAACTTCACAATCAGATTAATCAACTTAATCCTTTCACATATTGCAATCAAAAAGAGTTTGTGTTCAAATCAGTAAAAACATTACACTGTGCATTTATCTCTAAGCAAGATGTGCCAAACAATCTAAAACATTTCCTTAAAATCAAGGTCACAAAAGCAAAAGCGAACAAAAAGCAAAATAAGCAATATTCATTATGCTAAAAGCCAGTAATATCGGGGTTACTTGTTCTAATCTTAAATTGTTACTTTCTTCTATTTACTACTAATTTTTTTTAAAATACAAAAACATTTCTAGTAACTTTTTAAATAAAAAAATTTACCTTAGATTAAACATTTTCTTGTTTTGTCCCCACCCCCTCTTTTCGCCTTGAGTGTCCTTTTTAAGATAATTTTTTTATTTGTTTATTTATGAAGCCTAGGCAGACAGAAAAGGAAAGATAGATTTCAAGTATTCAAAATCAAAAGGAAGTGTCAAGAAACAAGACAAAAAAAAATTAACACTATGACATGCACTGTGGAGGAAGAGATCATGCCAAGTATTCACATGAGAGTACACTAAAGTCTCAGGGCACCTGTATGTTGGTAACTCGTCCATTACCTTGATTATCCCGACAGAAAAATAGTGCAATACATGATTCCACTTAGAGTTTTTGAACACGGACAAGTGGCCAAAGTCATGTTGGATCCAGCCCGTCTGAGCCTAGACGAGGAAGAGACAAAATGGCCAAAAAAAATCTGGTTTATGTTTTTAACTGATCAACTACGATATTTCTTAGCCATGAGAGTAGGCTCTTCACTGGTTCCATCCTAGTCGCAGCAACATGTCAGGGGTCAGAAGAAACCTATTTCACTTGCTGCTGAAGAGATCATCCCACATTGTGTCATATTCACTATCTTTTATGGGAGCATCTGATGGCATGGAGACCTAGCTGAAACCATGGACCATGGAGTCCAGCTTCCTGAAAGTAACGACTTTTGAGTACAGAAGAGTAACAGGAAACAAAAATCTTCTTCAGAAAAGTTCTTGCCAAGACAGCTCTGCTAGCAGCCAAAACTGGGTGGAATAAATAATCAATGAAAAAAAAAACCCAAAAAAGAAACAAGTGTGAGTAAAATATTAACATGGGGTTGCTAGTGCATTAAGAGATTGGGAAAAAACATGAGAGCAGTTGAATGTTAGGATTTGTAAATCCTAATATCCAAAAAATTGCTCAACTAAATGTTCATGTGAAAATCTGGCCTGTATTCCAACTAGATTATGAATTGTTTATTTTTAAAGGTCCATTTGTTACGTATGAAAACAATGTAGGACACATTTTTATTAGTGATTAAAATGTTATTTATTTAAAGAACTTTTAATTTTTAGCAGGGCAGCAATTGAGTTAATTTTAAACAGTTGGCCAAGGCCCAAAATTTACAAAAACATTTTCAATGGAAATAGCCCAAAGTTTGAGTTATTGGAAAGAGATTTTTTAAGGCCTACAACAAGATATTAGCTTACTACTGTAGACACAAGCCCAAATCTGAGTATTCTTAGAATATCAGGTTTGGCTTTGCATTACAGAACAGGGGTTGAAACGGTTAGAGAGAACAGTAATTAGGGTTACAAGCATGTTGTCACAGTTTGCAAGACCAAGATAAATATATGATAAAAATTCTTTTGAGCTAAAATGTGGATGTTAATTAAATTTCTAGACTTGAAACTACAAAGAATGAAGTTGTCAAATGTTAGATACAACAAAGGTACTCAAGTATGAAAAGTTTTAGGCAATTATCCAAATGTCAATCATCAGCAATATCAATTATTAAATTCTCTGCTTACATCAATGGTTTAGCAACAAAAAAATATTTCATTTTCAAATGTTATTTTTATGCTAATTATACTTCAATGATTTTTTTTAAAAACTAAATGGTTACATATTATTCCTAATTATTTGTAAAAACACCTGATCTAAACTCAACTAAATCCAAAGTAAAACATTCTTATTTTGAAAACTGATGATATGATTGCAAGGCAAATTTAGCTAAGAATTATTCAACAAAATTATCATAAGTGACTTGTATTCTGTTTTGCTCTACTTTCCCTAAATTATGCTACCATCCTTAAATTATGCTACCATCCCAATAAAGTAAGACATTGTCAAAGTTCTGATATTGTCATAATTTAAACTTTGCCAAGATTTAACATATCAGTAACTTCTGGGTTTTAAATTTCCATAATTAAGTTTTATTTGTGACACAAGTTTCCATAGCAATATTTCATGAAACTGTTTTGATTTTGTAAGTTGATCTTATGTAGTCCTTTCTGCTTGTGTCATGTAAATTTGGCAAAAAAATTACCAGTTTAAGAAATGAATGCTTGTCTACTTTCTAATATGTCCCTTTATCATATACAAACGGTTTTTACATCATCATTCAATGCCCATGACAAAACCTAAATAGGGTTAGCAAAACAAAAACATTTTACATGCTTCTACAGGATATTCTTAGTTTGTTTTTTTTAAATATTTATCAACATACATCCATGCAAGCATTTTGTGAAACTTTTCAATTATTTATCTATAAAAATGAGCCCTTAAGAACTCACAACTGAAACAAAAAACCTGCCCCAGAAAGGTTTGAGCCCACCAACATACTTTAAAGGTATTTACTTTCATTATTAATCTATTAACTTATTGTTTGTTTGTTGTTTTTTGTTGGGTTTTTTGGGGGGGGGGTTATATATATTTTATTAAATAGGAAAACATGTTTTTCACCAAAATATTTATTTTAAAATGAATGGGGAAGAAACTCTAAACACATCTATTTTAAGAGTGTAGTCATTTTGAACGTTGAATTATCTACCTCATTTGTTATCAGCCTGTGTAATTTGAGAATTTAAAAAAAAAATTTTCATATAGTGATAACCATATAAAACAATCTCATCGCAAAAAAGGATTTCATAACAGGGGGTTGACAAATAATCTGTGTGTGTATGCATATATTCATACCAACCCATGTGTAGTTTTCCTAACTTAACCCTACTATACCATTTGTCAGTACCTAGACCACTCATTCCAAATCTCAATCTACATTTAAATATATTTTTTCAGTATGACAATCTAAAGACTTTAAAATTCTGTATAAATCCTGTATATATTTTAACTCTTGGCTCTTATTGACCTTCCCTGGTTAAAGTCTGAACATCCTTTGACCATTTTTAAATGCCCTCTGCCATACTGATAAAACGAATAATTAATGCAAACTATATAAATACATCTAATTGGAGCAGCAAGATAACCATACAACATGCAAACCAAAGGGAGCCTAGCTATCAACTAAATTAAAGTGCAGCTAGTAAAAGTAGAACAAAATAAAAAATGCAATGCATGAGTAGAATTGTTTTAAGACATAACCAGTTGTGATGGTGGATGCGTGCTGGACTTTTATTTTAAAAATAAACTAATTTGCTGCAAACCTACCAGATTCTCTTAAAATTCTCTTAGCTATAACTTAAGCAATATTCACTAGTCATGGTTAGGTCAGCCCAAGACACGTTAGGCATTAGGTGTACCTTATTTCCATCCACAATAAACAGTGTGTGCCATACTTTACCATCAAACACTGATGAATGTGGCATGTAAGACTAAATTCTCCATCGCAATAAATAATATAATATAAAAGATTTAATTGCTTTTCAATTTGCGTAAAAAAACTAGAATGATTTTCTAGGTTTTTCTGATCACAATAATAATTTACAAATTTTTATCAACATTACATAAAAATATAACTGTTTTCTACATTTCAAAATTAAATTTCAAAGCTCCAATAAGCTTATATTCAAAATAGTGTGTTTTCCTAACTTAAATAATTGTTGCATAATATTTTTAAAGAAAAGAAATATGCAAAAATCATCATGCACTTACATAACATTACAAACTAGCTGCAGTCATACTATACCCAGTTTCTTATGTTTTTTTTTTTTTTACAAACTATTTAGTGCCAGGGGATGCCAAAAGAGATTCAACAACAAGAAAAAAGAAGGCTATTTAAATTATGGAAATGAAAATAATCCTATTACTGAAAGGTATAAATGAAAACCCAACACAAAAACATCTAAATCCATGTGCTTCGTTATTTCACAAGTGCAAGGATATAAAAAGTAATGGACACATTTTTCTTTTGTTAAAAGGAAGAAGTATTTCCATAATAAAAAGATGCAAAACAAAGCCTGCACATCGATTGAACAGAAAGAGAGTCAAAAATAATTCTACCTTTAAGAAAATACCCTCACACCACCAGAAAATCCTCCTTTTTCACCCAATGAATTTCAACTAAACACAATTAAAATTGTACTTAACAATATAAATTGTATTTAAATTTAAGATGAATGACATTTAATGACTACCAAATCATACCAACATTGCAGCGAGCTTATAGACCTTTACCTATCTGTATATGGAGTTTCAAAATTTAAGATTGGGGAGGGAAAAAACATACAACTTTGAATGAGGAGCATATGTACTATAATTTCATGTTGAATACTGTGAATAATTTAATAATAAAGTATTAATAGCTTCAAAAACTTATTTGTTTAAAAAAATTTAAACACATCTAAAATAATAATCAATTTCACAAAAGCCCATTTCAAATGAGTTAGGCAAATCACAAAAACTTTAACGCAACCACTACATGTCTACCAAAGATGAACGAGATGACCAGCAATATGAGTGTAGAAACCAAAATAAACAACAAAATTTTTTTTAAACTATCAAAAGTACAAAAGAACTATGTGATCTGCTACTGCTAGGTACAATATTGGTAACACAACCAAGCAGGGACAGGCAGAAATACTGTAGTTACAAGTAAAGAAAAAAAGGAGCTATAATGCTATTTGAAATGTTCGGTTCGGCGGTTCGGTTCTACAATCTAATATTGTAGTTCGGTTCTACAATCTAATATTGTAGTTCGGTTCTACAATCTAATATTGCAAGTATTGAAACCATTAGGATACTTCTAATTCATGATCTTAGCTTCTATTGATAGTTTTTTAAATGTAATTGAGATTTGTATTTTATATGACAATTCGTTCCAAAGATTTTTAAATAGTTTTAAAAATAGATTTTTAAATAGTTTTAAAAATAGATTTTTAAATAGTTTTAAAAATAGATTTTTAAATAGTTTTAAAAATTAACTAAAGAGGTTTAAGCTATTTTAATTGACATGGCCATGGATTCAGTTAGTTTCTTGGGTTGTTGTTTTTGTGTATTCCATTTATGTTATAAAGTATATTACCCTACTATAGCTAGTTATTTTACTGTTGCTCTTTTCTGATGCCGTTTTTTTTTTTTTTATTTGGATCAAAATATAGATTAGAAGCAATATTTTTTAATTTTAGTTTTCTCACTATTTAGAAAATGTTTTAACCATATAATTAATGGGTTGTTGTTTTTGTGTATTCCATTTATGTTATAAAGTATATTACCCTACTATAGCTAGTTATTTTACTGTTGCTCTTTTCTGATGCCGTTTTTTTTTTTTTATTTGGATCAAAATATAGATTAGAAGCAATATTTTTTAATTTTAGTTTTCCCACTATTTAGAAAATGTTTTAACCATGTAATTAGGACCTAGTTTTAACATTTGAGTACAGAAAAAAAAAAGCCTGAGGCAACATTGATAATTGCTGAACTGTAGACAAGAACACAACAATGATAAAGATGATGATAATAATAATAAGAGTAATAAAGGTAACTCAAATGCTCAAAAGGACTGTACCTCCATCATACCCATAACAAAGTAATGTAATGCATGGTTCAATCTGGACTTTCTGAACACTGACAAATGACCACAGTCATGCTGGAGCCAACTGCATTGTGCCTTGGAGGACATTAATTAAGGAGACAATGAAAGGGTTATCATTAGACATGTGGGCAATAAGCATGTGATAATGAACATCCCTAACCTAGTTATGTTTATCATATTCACTGATACTGCATGGCTAAAATATTATATCCACTTTTTTAATAGTTGTATAAATGGGAAAATGCATATTCCTCCCTCAAATTTAAACTTCAAAATAAGGTTAACAATATTTTAAAAAAAACAAATTTAAACATAACTTTCATTACATAATTTAGATACTATTTTTTTAATATACTAAAAGATAGTACCGGGTAGCAAAAATTCTAATCACATGCTTACAGCTGCCTGGCTTGCTCCACCAAGGCACTTTAATGTTTAAATATTTTGTTATGAATGTTTTATAAAACTGTCTTTACATACAGCTGTAAAAAATTTTTAAAAAGGCTTATTTGTTTAGTGGCTTTTTACATATGTTTCTTAGAATAATTTGCTAATAATAAAGTTAGTGTATGTCATTAATTATGCGTTGTATGGTTCAGTAAGATTTGTGTTTTAAACTTGCAATCTAATCCTATGCAATTCAATTTCCATAGAGGAATTTCATTTACTTGAAGGATTCGTAATATTATAACACACAAAAGTAACTGGTTGTTTTGATGATATAGTACCTCCAGATTAAGGATTTAATTTAATTATTTTAACAAGCTTCCTAAACTTAATATTCTTCAATGTTCCTTTTTTAAGCCCTCTACCATATTTTAAATGTTTAATCCTATTCACATTACATTTATATATATATATACTCTTATTATATATATATATATATATATATATATATATATATATATATATATATGTATGTATCTATCCACAAACATACAGGTCTAATATCAATGTAAAAGAATACAAAAATCTTCCCTGAAATTTAAATATTCTTCAATGTTTCTTTTTTAAGCCCTCTACCATATTTTAAATGTTTAATCCTATTCACATTACATTTATATATATATATACTCTTATTATATATATATATATATATATATATATATATATATATATATATATGTATGTATCCATCCACAAACATACAGGACTAATGTCAATGTTAAAGAATACAAAAATCTTCCCTGAAATTTAAATTAATATTCCCAAACAGGGGAAATTTAAAACACCCTTTTTCATGTTGAACATCTGTATAAAAAAAAGTTACTTTTAGTAGTGAGTGCATTGCTAATAAAAACATAATCTGGGATATATAGAAAGATAATAATGTTTGAATCTAACAGCTACAAGATGTCCAAGCATGTCAGCTCCAAAATAATAAAATATAGTTACTTAATTCAGGCATTGGGAATCAATTTTTTTCTCAAATATTTTTTTTTAGTCTCACTGGTGAGTATTAAGCTGTGATCAATTGATGGGGGTAAAGGTAGGTAGTGTTAGGTTATGCCAAAACATATTGCCTGGTAACAATTTAAATAAAGATTCTGAGTGTGAATTTTGTACTCCATTATTCCAAGGAGGGTAGAGAAAAAAAAAGTGTCAGAATCACAAAGTATTTGTAACATTGTGTGAACAAGTTCCTGCTTGACATGACAGGTCTTGCAAACATATCAATTTTTTTTTTTTAAGGAGACAGATGTCTAAGTACAGAGATGTCTCATAGTGACAGAGATGTCTCTCGACAATAGTAGAGTTTAAAAAAAACTATCTTGGAAGCAGTTTACAGAAATGAGTAGTTAAGGTTTTTCGCTTGTTTCTTGGATAATAAATCTGTTAGTAACATGCAAGGGCACATGAATGTCAATAGCATTCTAAACAAAGGGCAAAACCAAACACCTACTAGTTAAGCAATGACCACTTTTGATTTAAAGATTTCTGTAACTAATGAAAGAGAGTAAAAGGGTATTTGAATACAGGATTAAGCAAGAATCAATGTTCATAGTTAATGAGATGTGCTTGAGAGAGATAATATATTTCATATCAATGTTCATGGTTAATGAGATGTGCTTGAGAGAGAAAATATATTTCATATCAATACAAAAATGGTTCGATTGTAACAGTTATTGTAATTTAATACATATTGTGGCGTGAAAAAAGGTTTGAAATATTGAATATATGGCAAAAAACCACTCATCATTCCTGTAATTAAATAAAATTTTAATAACATAATACAGGGGGGAAATGAAATGTTTCACTTGCATATTCAAGAATCTGCTAAAAGAAAAGCAATGTTAATGTGATGAACAGCATCAAGATATAAAAATATAATGTATGTTTGACATATTGCTTCAGTTATTGCTAATAAATGGTCTCAGAGCTTGGTTTCATGAAATTTGCACAAACCGATACCACAAAAATAAAAACCTGCATTCTGCTTCCTTTAATGCTTTTCTTTTCAAATTTCAACCTTGAAAAATACAGAGTCTATTAAAGTATTCCCTGAAGCATGGTTACATCTGTAGCCTGTAATAATAATGCCACATGCTACAAATAAAAATTAATGGTCATTAACACATGAATAAGACAACAATATTTACGTAAAACCTTTAACTGGACATGAATAGTGAATGGTTTGTTGTTTTATAGTGTGGTGCTCAGCTTAGTCTCACGGTATGTAATATTAAACCAAACTTTGGGAGATCCTCAATTTACCAATTCAAATACAGATATAGTAAGAATCAAATTTTTAATTTAAATACTAAGGAGTAAATTAATATATTGAAATATTTACTTCACAGAATTAATGGGTTCATAAGTTTGGTAGGCTGGTCAATAAGCTGGTTTGACAGAGGAAAGAGATTGGATCCACATTCTAATAAAAAAACAACTTTAAACCATATTTTTTTCCTGAGATTTGTGTCAATTAGCAAGTGTTACTTTCCTCAATTTAACAACGATCATGTGCAAGAAAAGAAAGCAGATACAACAAAATTTACACAATTTTCTTGTTCAATATCACTCTCTCTTCTACTGCACTCAAATTAGAAAATGTTGTCTGTCAGTTGTATCAGACACTCATGCTAAACTAACAAGCAAAGACATTAAGCATGAGTGTCTGACAATGCAAATTTTGTACTTTGAGTAAACAAAAAGAGATTCCTTGAAATACATGTTTGGCATATAACTTACTTTCAATGTCAATCTTCAAATTTATAGACCAAATTTAAAAACCAATTTCTTTTTTTATTTTATCACATCTGATTTTATAAATTTAAAAAATAGAGATATTTTAAACTTAAATTTCCAATAACAAAACTAATTTTCCCACCATTCAATATCAGAACTAGAAAAAATTTCTAAAAATTTCACTACTGCTAAACGTCAAACCCAAATTAAAAGTGAAAACTTCTTACCTCTACAGTTGTTATTAAAAGAAGTGAAATCAAAAAAGGTATCCATCCTGTACCAAAATAGTACATAGTAGCCCAAGCTGCCCAGTCTAAAAATAGGATGTGAAACATGTGTAGAGAGAAGAAAAGTATGCTGGGTTTAAACAGTCCCTGTGTTGAGAGAAAAAAAAAAGGTAAATTGATAGAGAAAAAAGGCAAAATTAGTATATAAAAACTCATCAATTTTGTGGCTTAAGAGTTTAAAATCATGTTTTAACTCAGTGGTGGGAAATTACCACCAGCACCAAATGTTTTTAAATTCGAAAATAAAGTTCACTATTAAATTTAGATTTTTATAACTGATTGCTGCACGCTACAAATATTGCCGACATACACGTGACACACCTATATTTTAATTGATTCTAAAACCTTGTAATAGCAAAGTGCTCAGAAAGGAAGCTTTTAACTGTAGTTCCATTTGGACAAAGTATTTTAGCTGAATAGAGAACTGAGAGAGATTTCTCATCATTTCATAGATTACAAAATTCATACATCGACAGTACCATTTTTTCTGCAGTCTCCCGTAGCTCTCTGAAGTCTTGCTCTATTGGTGTAACTATTCTTTGAGAATCCTTAAGACTGCCAATATGAATAGCTTTCATGTATTTCTTGACAAAGTTCAGGTCATTGTGAAATGCTTTGAATGCATCCTTGTAAGGAAAAAAAAAATTTGTTAAATATTATAAGCTACAAGATTCTAATTTCACATAGTAAGTAAGCTTAAGTAACAGAAATAAGTTGCTAGGAGCATCTTCCATTTGATTGCTAATAGGTTAGCATGTATGACAAACATTTATTTAAAATTCTAGCCTGACAAACCCTATGAATAAGAGGACAATTTATAACACAAATGCTTACTGTTGCATCTTGACCAGCATAATGACTTATGACTTTTGGACCACCAGGATGGCGTCTAGCCCAGTTAGTAATGTTGTAGACTTCCCCATCAATGACTAGCCACTTCTCCTCCCTGGTTGTCTTTTCCTTGATGACATCCCAGGTGAACTCTTCAAGCTTCCTTGAAACAGTGATTCCATTAGATTCACCTTGGCCTCCTTTCCCCATTGTGATTTTTTTCTTCTTCTTCTGCTACTAAATGTTTCAATAATTGATGTCTTACTCACAATGCCTTATTTAATCTACTAATGTTTGTTTTCACTCAACTTGGCATTTCTTTCAACAATTACTCTATTGTGAGCCTGCTGAAGGAGAATCAATAACATAAAAAATAAACCTGAAAAGAAAGGGGAATCAGCATTAGATCACATTAGAAATAAAATTATGGTTGTGCTTAATATACATGTGTCCCCAGCATGACAACACATGAGCTCTAATAATGTATGTTCAATCCTTATATAATATTCATTAATTGTATACCGAAAAAAGAAAGGTACCTAGAGATCAAATTAGAAATGTAAAAATATGCAAACTGACTTGGACTTATTAGTTAGCATCTACTACAGTGATCAGCAAACCATGGCTCCAGAAGAAATAGATGCTGCTTCTTTTTTTTCTTTTTTGAAAACTAATCTTTCAAGACATGCAGCTCTAAAAATATCATAAAAATAGCTCAATCAAAAATTTTTTTTTTTTAATTTGCCGAACCCTAAGCTAGAGCATCGCCCTTCCAATGAAAGAGCAAGGGTTATTAGCCTTTGATATCTCATAACCACCATCATGATATTAGATAAATGTTTCTTCTAGAAGAATTTATTTTATCTAATACTTGTCCCTCTTTTAAAGTATCTAAAAAATACATAGGCTTCACTTGTTAAATTCATTTAACCAATTGATCTTGTTTTATTACTGTTAATAGCTGTTTCATCATCAGGTATTTTAATCATTAACATTAGTTAATGAGATTTTGACATAGCCTAAATTCCCAATTTACTTCAAATTGGCAACTTTAATGCATTAAGATTTGTTATCTGCTCAATAGCTGCATTTAAATTACATAATTTTAAAGAATCACAATATTATGAATGTGAATACTCCACCCCGAAAATACAAAAATTATGGCTATTTTAAATGACTTTACGGTAAAATGTTAAAAAAATTAAGACAATGTTTTGCTTTTATAAATTAAAACAACTACCACAGTAACCTAGATGAAATATTCCAAATAAGAATTCATAAAAAAATTATAATTCCTTTATATAAAATAGAAATGTCTTCTTTTTACTACTAAATAAAACACTTCAAAATTTTAACTTTCTTTCAAGTGATTATCATCAAGTGTGCCATTCATTCATTCCTTTTTGTTAGGCCATTACGCCATCACAGGCTACAGTTGTTTGATGTAGCAAAATACCTAGTTGCTACTACTAAAGTGACTGAGTAAAGAACAAAATAATTTAGTGTCTTTAAGAGTAGTCAATCTCACATGAGTGGATTCTTTTATAAGGATGCCACAGTAACAACTATGAAGCCTTATGCATTATGGGCACACTATATACACTTATATAAAGAACATTGTCTAAAGTTTATTTTTATGCTGCATAATGTTATGGTGTATAATAACTTTTTGAACATTTTGAAAGTTTTGTAGACTACACTATGAGGGTATGAAGTTCAGGATGTGGCCCCTAATTAAGGTTGGGGTAAATAGAGCATAACAATGGGTAGTTCTTACATAGGCTGTGGGTGAAGCAGAAGCCAAGGTTTAAACACATCAAATGGCATCTGTACATAATACCCGGTACACGTCTGTGTAAATTAACACACTGATAAATAACAGCAGTGTGTTATTATTCTCATTATTACTTAAGTATTATCATTATAATTTTATTAATAAAGGGAAGTTCAACCTTAAATAATTCTTTAACAATGAAAAAAAATTCCATTTAATTTTTAATTGCAGAAAGTTATGTGACCATTTCCTTATATTTTGTGTGTATGTTATTGTGACAATAATGGCCCAACCAGCAACTATCAGATTGTATTAAGTTAAGCTAGGGTTGCGACATCAAAAATGGAAGGTCTGGAATAAGTGATTAGAAAAAGTAGAATGTGAGTTTATATCTTACCCCCCATGATCATATAAAACAAAATGGTTTTATTAAAACCCATCAATTTCTACCTTTGATCATGAGCGTTTATTTAACTACTATCTTATATGTTCTTATAAAGTTGTTCTATTGGGCATATTTATTAAGGCCTATGAAAATTTTGAATAAAGGGATCAATGCTTTGAAAAAATAGCAGTTTTTGTATATTATTATCAGAAAAGGGGCCACAGTGGTAAATAAAATGTTAAATTGGCCATGTGTAAAAAATAAAGGTTGAGAAACAATGCTCTAAGATTATCTAATAAATGTTCAGCCCCAAAGCAGCACCACTGTTGTAGCAATGTAAGGCCATAAAAATCTAGTTTTTGATTAAATACAAGTGAATCATAACCCCAATAAAGCTGTCCTGGTATTTTCAATTTGTAACTAGTGAGCATTTCCAAACGTAACATTTTGGAACATGGCCAAATGGATTACTGCTTTCATTTACTGAAAGCTAAAATCCTAATATGTTTAACATTAATTGCAGTGTCCTAAATGAGGTTTGAAATAACTCCAAACTGTAAAATAGATTCTTTTTTTTTAACTATTTAATGTTAATTATCAATATGCAATTCAGAATTACATCAGGAATATACATCTTTCAACCCCAAAAAGTAACATTCCTCCACTCCCCACATTTAGCTATTTTACAACAATAACCATATTACAAAACAAATTAAAAACTGTTTTAAGAGTGTAAACCAATTTAACCTTGAATGTGCTAACTGCACCATTATGGATTGGAATGCCTGAATTAGGCATTGACAGTAATTGTTCAGTGATACTCAACCTTCTCATGGATAAGAAAACTGAAACTGTGAAACTATGGCCTTATCTTGTTTTATAAAGATTTGGTCTCTTTCCTTAAATTTAAGTGATCCCTTTTTTTTGATCCCTTTATAACAAAAGTCGCATGAAAATAATAATCTAAGAGCAACACACAGCAGCAGCATTTTACTCCCAGTGATTCTATCAATACTTTTACATGTGAGAAAAACAAATAAATTCCACATCCTTTCTTTAGAATTACAATTACAGATTTGACTATTGTTTTTTAAACATTATATTAAGCTGTTGTCCAATGATTTCATAACACATAAGTTGTATCTGATTACAACAGAATCCATCTGGTAACCAGACGAAAATTTTTGTGCAGGATTGTGTACAAGGGAGTTAGCTTGTGCTGTTCAAACAGATAGCTTAGGACTGTTCAAAAAGGCCTAAGTAGTATTTGTATCGGCGTACACACTGTTTATAAAAAGAAGACATAAGAATTGTAGTCACAAGCCTCTAGAAGTTTAAGCCATGCTACTTACAAAGCATCAAATCACAGCCCGCCATTGAGACCCTGTAAGTACAACGTTTTTACACTATTTTATAAAATGTAGTTCCTCTCCATTTCAGTATATGATCAAGCCAGGCTTTTTCTTAGGGTATATCCTGGAGCAGCACCCTTTCCCCAATCAAGAAACACAGACAAAAAACTTTGCTCAGCAGCGGTGGCTCAACTGTTCCATGGATCATAACTGAATCTTATTAAAGCTCTGATTAAAACCTTAAAGAGCTTTTTAAACATTCATACTTACTATAAGGCATAAAATCTGTCTACCCTGTTTTTCTAATTTTTTTTATTTTTTTTAAACTTTAACTATTATATACTAGCTTTTATGCTACAATGAGTAATTAATATGAATAACCCTAACAGTCTGAGCGTGAATGGATGTGCACACTATATGTAGAGAATATTGACTAAAGATTAAAATTTGTTTGATCAGTTAAACAAAACTGATGCAGCTCCACTCATTGATTAAGTGTTTCAAATGGTTAATTGTTCTGAAATGGCTACTATCCAAATACCCAAGTTTTAAAAAGCAATACCCAATATTGACAAGCCAGTATCCATAACATGCAGCTTAGATACTAAGAATTTGTAAACAAAACAAGTGCATAAGGCAATAAAATTAATTTTGAACACATAACATTTATTTAACAGAACAGTTCAAGAAAACATGATGTTCAAGAAAACACAGCTAAACAAAAGAAAAGAAAAAAAAATACTCGTCATAATGACGTCACACGGTATGGTTTGTGTAACTCCAACTCAAGCCATGGCTCTATTGATTTTTTTTCTCCAACTTAGCTGCGGCGCCATGTTTTACCCGGCATTAAGTTCACCTTTAAACTTCACCCAGTTAGCTTTTATATTTCTCCGGTCACGTTATTGGCAATACTTTTTATCTCGGATTGGCCTTTTTTGTTTGTCTTCCTTCCTTTCACTTTATCGTACATATTTCTTCTAAAAATCATACGGTCCTCTAACACTACCCTACGGACGTGACCTTCCGAGGTAAAGGGGGTGTCAGGGTGAACGATGTTTAGTGTGACGTGACTAAGACCACGGATACAAGCAGTGGGAATGGCCCCGGCGGTGGGTTGGGGGGGGGGGGTTTGCAATGCGTTTCAAATTCCAAGTTATATAAACATCACAGCCGGGGGCAAGGGTTTAAAAATAAAGGTATTTTAATAAGGGTAGTGTCAGGGTGAACGATGTTTAGTGTGACGTGACTAAGACCACGGATACAAGCAGTGGGAATGGCCCCGGCGGTGGGTTGGGGGGGGGGGGTTTGCAATGCGTTTCAAAGTCCAAGTTATATAAACATCACAGGCAGGAGCAATGGTTTAAAAATAAAGGTATTTTAATAAGGGTTCGACAAATGACTAAACAGGAAACTAGCGTGGATTGTTATTAGCTTTTTTAAAAATTATTATTTTTTTAAAAGAAACTTAAATTCCAGTCCGAAACATGTTAAGTGGAACCAAACTTAATTACACATTCGTTCCCAGAGTGTCGGGCATATTTTACAGTAACAAGGGCCAGGACAAGAGTGAAGCAAACGTAGCCCCTGCCTCGGGTGAATAGTGTGAAAGGGCGCCAAACTTAAGAAAAAATGGTTTTTTAGAAATAAAACAGACCTATATCTATAGTAACACAAATATACCCTCCTGCACGGGGTGGAAATACCTCTAGGCTCGGCACTGATATAAAGTAAATTAAAGATCCTTTTTCAGAATTCTTCCGTTGTTTGGGTAACCTGGGTGTTGTTTGGGTCACCAAGAGCGCCCTGCCTAATATAGCGAGAGAATAAATATTGAGATATTTTTGAACTGCCTTCATTTCACAATACATTAATGTATCCAATCAACAACATCTAAACAAAATCCTAGGTCCCGCAGTGCACGATGAGCTAAATGTGATACATATAAATAAGCCACACATAATATTATGCTGATCATAAACATGTTAACAATTTTAACGAAAATAACGTATAACTACCGTTACTCACATTAAATATCACGAAGCACTAAGCGACTAGTCAATTTTAGGACTACACCACAGGAGGTATAGTTCCAAACCAACACATTTTAAATGAAGACATCTCAACTTGTGTGGGCATGTATAAAACCTTTTCTTTTCATGGTAAGAATGACCTAATCAGATCAAACACGCCACAGACTTCCAATACAATAAATCTAAACAGTATAACCTTAGACAGGGGGTGGGGGGGGGGGATCATTTTGTTAAAGCACAGCTCCGTTGCTGTGATCCTAGGCCGTGCGTGCTAAACTCATGGCACCTTTATGTTCCTTCCCAAAACCTTTTCTTTTCATGGTAAGAATGACCTAATCAGATCAAACACGCCACAGACTTCCAATACAATAAATCTAAACAGTATAACCTTAGACAGGGGGTGGGGGGGGGGGATCATTTTGTTAGAGCACAGCTCCGTTGCTGTGATCCTAGGCCGTGCGTGCTAAACTCATGGCACCTTTATGTTCCTTCCCTCTTAGTTACATGCGTTAGTGACTGCTATCATTTTTGTTTTATTGCATAATGGTATAAGACAAGTGTTCCCAACGCATGGGTCGCAGACCGAAATGAGGGGTCTGTCGCCGGCTGATACAGTGAAGCCTTTCAACCAATTTCCACTTTAATATGTGTCTTTCAAGTTTGAAAAATACGAAAATAATTACATCTGCTTCAACATAAATATGCGGTAGTGGACAGTGTTCATTCTTCTTCATTTGAGAAACAAAGCGAAAACAGAGGTTGACATCCACCAAAAATCAACCATGAATTTTTAAATTTATTAACGAGGTACAATTTCAAACATTACGATGTAATATTCAAACAATGCAAAATTCTCAAGTTAGAATTATATTGAATTATATTATACAGAACAATATTTTCGATGAATTTTATTTAACATTATTTTTTTTTTAACTTTATATCTGGCTCGCGGAAAATTTAGCTCCTATAAAATGAAATCGAGGGTGACTTTTCTACAGGGTCCTCGACTCAAAATAAACAAGTCTTTAAAAGGGTTTGGAACGTGAGGTATAGCATATCAACATGCATGTCAGCGGGAGAGTATTGCAAATTTTTATTAAGGAAGCAACGGACAAGTTGTGTCGAAGGACACAGACAAACGCTGTTTTAAGCAAACCGCTAGATGGAGTACAGTGGTGATGGACGTTTAGAATATGAGCTTGGTGAATCGCATGGAGTACAAAAGGTGAATAGTACCGGTACATGCGGGCTCGTATGCCCCTTGAGTTAGTGAGGTCTTAGTAAGTCGCACGAATTGCGCACAGATATTCATAATAACTTATTTCAGCTGTCTTATGCAATATATCCTCCATTTATTTATTTTTCTGAGAGATGATCTCAATGAAAAACAAAGTCTCTTCAAAGTCTCAGTACAGCAACGTCAAATGATATGATTACTGTCTTCAAATGATATGATTACTGTCTTCTCTTCGGCATAGCTTCACCCTTCTACATTGACACTTCAATTCGTTTACATCTGCCTGTGACCTGCTTTGATTTAATTTTCCATTAGCTTTCAAGCGTAACAACCCGACTATTGCGATTCAGCCGGGGAGAGGGGTGGGGGTTGGGGGGGTGGTGTTTAGAGCAATTGATATATCCAGTATACATAGAACCATATCAATATGGCACGAGTTTGCTCAGCAGTTCCCGAACTGGGTGGGGGGCACGATTTGTGATCTGAGGAAAGGTGCATTTGATATCATATCGTCCCCAGTGGAATTTGCAAACAAGTCTTGTGTAATTAAGATTAAATATAAATTGCATACAACATTCAGGGACAATAGATAAGACATTTTTTTTTAAATAACCAGAACTAGAGGGTTTGAAAACATTTTTTTTTAAAAATAACCAGAACTAGAGGGTTTGACTGTGGTAAAGCCATGATTAACAGAAATGAACAAAAGCTGTAACCCAAAAGAGTGAAGATTTTTTGGAGGCATAACCAAGCAATCAACCGATATGCTAAAAGTCTTCTTAGGACAATTCACAGGTACAGTATTCACAGAAGAAATACGCATTCCTGAAGGGAGACAACAATAATTAAGACAGCAGAAAAGGAGGTGATGTAGGAATCCATTTGCTTAATTGTTAATTTTCAAGACAATGAATCACACAGTGAACACAGATGAGCATGGAAGTCTAAGAAATCTTATCAGGTATTTCAGTATCGATTATCGAGAATTTTGGTATAGGATTAAGATACACAATTAATATATTCGGACAAGAATTGTATAATCTCTTAATTACTTTCCTAACATTTTAAATGAGGATGGCCCTACCCCGGTCATTTTAAGACAATGAGAAACTGAAGTCGGATAACACAGCCCATCACTTGCCAGTCAGATAAACAGCCCATCACTTTCAGTCAAATAAAACAGCCCATCACTTGCCAGTCAGATAAACAGCCCATCACTTTCAGTCAGATAAAACAGCTCATCACTTGCCAGTCAGATAAAACAGCCCATCACTTTCAGTCAGCTAAAACAGCCTATCGCTTGCCAGTCAGATAAAACAGCCCATCACTTTCAGTCAGATAAAACAGCCCATCACTTTCAGTCAGATAAAACAGCCCATCACTTTCAGTCGGATAACACAGCCCATCACTTTCCAGCTTTAATTGTATACTTCATTTAGCACAAATGCATTTGTCTTCAATTAGCACGCATTTTTTGGATACTGGTACCATAGAAGGAAACTTGCTTGACACCCGTATAGTGTTGACCCATTTTTCCTTAGCGTTCAACCACAAATCATAAGCCATAAAGCAAAAGTAATTTTTATTAATTATTGATGTTACGTACTGGCTTCTAATATGAGAAATTAATCTATTTTAATTTTATTGGCTCATTGTAAACAGTGCCTAACAAAGGACAATACCATAGAGTCAACAATATTAAAGATACGACACCCAAAACAGTTGCCAGTTACAATTAAAAAGATTTATTATGTCTTAAGATAATTACAAAAGAAAAGAAAATATAATGACAATCTTCAACTTACAGTATGCCAGATCTTGTACCGGTACACAGTTAATAGTTAGAAAATGTGCCAATGAATAATGATGAATGCGAAATGAACACATATAAGTATGAACACACAAATAATAATACACAAGGAATAATACACGCCTCATAAAGTTAATAATATCTATCTGAATCTCCTTTTCTCTTTCCAGAGCCTGTCAATTCTTTATATAAGTGGGTCTACCGACGCATAAGCCCTGCCTTTGAGAAGCTAGCAGCATTTCTAGAACAATCACAATCATTCTACAAAATACTATTTGGAACAGATTAATTATTTTTAGTGGCTGTCTGCATCAACACGACAGATCAAAAGACTAAGCCACACCCATCTGTGAACACAGCGTCTCATGCGGGGTCAATCAGAGCGCATGCACGAGAAAATTTATGTAAACAAACTCAATATAACAATTGACCTCAGTGTTCAAGCCAATGTAGACCAAACTGAACTAGTGCCAGATCACTAAAGTTTGTGAGGATTAATCTCACACCATGGCAAATTCAAAACACGGCCCAATTTTTAGTGTTCAATTCTTAGGGAGAAAAAGTCTGACTTTAACACAGCAGTTTCAAAACTTACACGCCACAGACAAGGTATACACGCACAAGTACTAGGAATATTCAGTCATCACAGGAGGGCTCTTAACAGTTACTGTGTCACATTGGACCAGACCTGTGTTGTTTCATTGTGGAATCTGTGACTAGAGTCCCAGTTGCTTTTATGAAAGGTGGAGAATATCCCAAGTTAACCCAGACTTGTTAAGCCTTGCATCAAGTGAGGTAGGCAGTCTTACCAACTATATTTAACAGAACCACAGATAAAACAAAGGACTAACATTGCTGCCAATCAAAAGTATCTAAAGTTGACAAGAAAAACTGTTAAATGTTGGCTACTGATAAAAGTAAGCCCTATCTTAATTTTATATAGTATCCAAATTGTATATACCGTTTTCTTTTAAATCTTGGAATCCTACAGCTACAGCTATTTATAGTACACATACATGTCCTCATTACCCGAAGCCTGTCAATTTTTTAAAATTTTATTTGAGTATAATCTCAAGCATAATCAATAAATCTATAGAGCTGGCTGACATTCACGGTTGGCTGACATTCACAGGTTGGCTGTCTTTCATGGTCTAACAAACATGACCAAGTTTTCAAGCCAGTGTTGGGTGGAGGTAGCTTATAATGAATAGTTACATAATGAATAGCTCACATTTTTTACATAACATGATATCTTTCCGTTTAAGGAAGGAGAGCCTAAGAATATTCCAACTTGAATTTGAAAAACGTTTCAAATCTGAATCCCACACATAGTTTTCAAAAGAAACAACCTTCAACTTTAATACTGACATGCTAAATAAATGCATTCGCTTATAAACAAAATGCACAGATTGCTCACAAATAAAACCACCTAAAAAAGTCTAATATTTTATTTTTTTTATTCAAACCATTAAACCCTTTTTTTGTTTAACAACACTACTTTATGCTGAGACTATTCAATTACCACCCATTGAAACAAAATATTTGAAATACCATAAAATTTACATCATTGGGCAGCTCTGACACTTGGCAACACAAAATATTCAGTAAAAAACCTACTCAGTACTAGGGTCGCAATTCGGGATCCTGACTCTCAAAAATAACAGAATCCGGACCATAATCGATGATCAAAAAAATTACTAAAAAGTATAAAATAAATGTCCCCCAAAACTTCAAAGTTGTTCCAGTCATATGACCAAAAAGCATGGGGGTGTCCATGAAATACAATGATGTCTTTATATAACTCACTATCATTCAGTCTAAGAACTCTGTTCTCTGTGAAACTACTCTGAAGTTTCACTATGAAACTAACTGAAGTTTCTCTATGTAACTTTACTTAGTCTAGGCTAGTATAATAATAGGCCTACTTATTGTTAATACCAACAGATATTGTTAATATTATATTGTCTTATACTTACTATTTTACTGCACCAGCCAAAGGTAAGTCAATAATTTTCTGATTTCACTATCACCTCTCCCACACTTTTGGATTTATCTATAAATTATAGCCTAGGCTATCATATTATGATACACACACATTTATATGATTTATGCATAGGCTATACTTATACTTAAGTCCAGAGGTTCTTAACACCCCTCCACACCCAAAAATGAAAAAATGCTAATAAAATTCAAATAACCTGACTTTTTGGGACTTTCCGAACCCCCAACACCGTCTCTTCCACCCCAGCTGAGGTCAGTATAGTATTTAAAAAATCACTGGGTGTGACTACGGGATAAAAAAAAATTGGGCTACATAATTTAAATATTTATATAACTTTAAATATTTGTGTTACTTGTCAGCGTCACCAAATGAGAAATGATATAAGTTAATCATAAAATCAAATTCATATGCTAATTATGGAATCGGATAAAACCTTAAAGGTGTTGGCTTGGGCTATTTGTCATACTACACTGCAAAAAATATGGTTGCTTTAGGCAACTAATTATAAGAGGATTAAACTGTGATAAAGCTCTTCAGTAGATTAATGAGAAACAAAATTAAGACATGGATTAATGAGGCACAAAATAAAGTCGCAACGTGATTTACATCATCCTTTGAGAAGTCACCAGGAGTGCTGAAAATCATAGCCATTGGGTAGAAAGGTTGTCGCATTGGAAACCATTTTAGAGAACACCTCAAACCTGTCCAACATCAACAAACAAATCCTTTGTCCTGTTTCTAAACATTTCAATAGTGCTAACCATAATGGAATATTGCACATTGCATTGCAGTTACTGGTATATTTTTTGTGAGTAATACACCCGATAGAATCTATATAAGAAACATATTAATAAAAAGATTTGGAACGTTGACTCCATATGGCATAAACTAATTCACAATAATAACTGCAATGTCTTTTGACTCCATATGGCATAAACTAATTCACAATAATAACTGCAATGTCTTTTGACTCCATATGGCATAAACTAATTCACAATAATAACTGCAATGTCTTTTTCCTGTTTGGTTTTTATATTGTACTAGTACTACCATATCATCCACTTTTCTTTGCCTTCGCATTTGTTTTTTTTAAAGTGATGATATGTACAGGGAGTTGAGCCCATTCTTTTTCTTTTCTTTCAAAATGTATTTTTTGGTATAGTAGGCATAGGTCAGATATTGATATAGATTAAAGATCTACATATATTAATCTTTTTTATTACTAAGTAACTATAATAATAATTATATTACATAAATATTAATGGGGGAGGGGGGGGTTTAATGATGAAAAATGAAGGCATTTATTTGCCTGATTAGCCAAAAATTTGACTTTGCGATTTGTATATTTTAAGTAATCATAATTGAAGTTTAACAATGTCACAATAAATGTATAAATATATTATTATTATTATTTTTGTTTTAATTTTAATAACACAATATGTTTGGGTATCAATCTTTATTAGATTAGTTGTCAGTTGTTAGTAACAACTAATCTAATACAATATGTTTGGGTATCAATCTTTATTATATTAGTTGTTAGTAACAACTAATATAATAAAGATTGATACCCAAACATATTGTGTTATTAAAATTAAAACAAAAATAATAATAATAATAATATATGTTAGTGTTAGGCTTCTAAACGTTACTGGTACTTTATTACTTAAACAACTGTAGTAGTGACAGTGATACTGATGTGATGGAGAAATAAGTGAATCATTTATTTTAAAATTTTCATTAATTAAAATTGCTTTAAAAATTTTAAAATGGTATCATAATTTAATACTAGTATAGTATAGTCTATGACTATAACTTATATAACAATTAACAATAGCACACATCACTACACAGACAGTGCTGCAGTAGTACAGTACAGTTAAAGGCCAAATAATAGCAATGAACTGCCTAATAATAGCATTATAGTTCTATAAGTGGTAACTTTATTTGCAATATGTGGCTGCATCTAAGTGCTTTACATCAATATGTGGCAATCAAAGTGGTGAATAAAATACGCATCCAGACACGACCTGAGACCGAATGGAATGAGCGACACGTTTATAATAGTTTAATAATAGTAATAGTTTCAGTTCCTAGGATGAACAAAACTTGAAAAAGTTCAATAGGGAAGACTGAAACAGGAACTAATTCAAACTCATGGCAGCGAGAATGAGACCAAATAAACCATGACATGCAACACAATATTTTTAAAAATTAAATACAGATGCTTACCTTCAAAACCAAGGAAGTTGAAATATTGTTAATGGAGTCGGCAACATAACCAAATCCCTTGCCACTTTCACTCGCATACCGGCATCGGAAGCATCAATGAAGTGGGGCGGCCACTGAACAGGAATTGAGTAAACCCTCGGATAGAAAATAGGCGCTGTAACTATTGCTATACAGATTCCGGTTACTAGTAATGCATAAGTCGTCAGGCGATGGCCTTGGCCAATGAAATGTAAGGAGTAAAAATAGACTGAAAATGTTATGAAAACATGAAACCCTCGTGCATTGGTGCTCGTGTACTGAAGTAGGCTGCTACAGGGACGTTCTCACTAGTCGGTAATAACTGGTCTCTATCCACATCCATCATCATTGACCGAAACACCCCATAATTTATCTAATAATCTTGAACGATACCCGTACATGTTCAGTTATCTTTGAATGCTTGATTAATATTGTTTGCTTTGCAGGTCCTATAATAGGCTATAACTTATAACTTAGAATAACTATCACCAGGTGGGCCGTGGCGAAAGGGGTCCGATGTAAGCCGCACCATTGAGTGGCTCAGGCACAGGGGCCTCAAATTACGCAACTTATACTTAACGTCTTTTAAAAGATCAGCTACCCACATTCTAAATTTCAAAATAAAAATATCTCTTAGAATTCTTGATTGAATCTTGTTCTGTTTTTCTTTCAACGTGATGTTTTTATTATTTATGTAACAGTACAGCAATTAATTTTTATTGTTTTTAAATTGTAAAAAAAAAATTAAAACCACTAGGCCTTTTTTGGTGAGGGGACTCAATATCTGAAAGAATGATGAGGCGTTACGAATGGGTACATATTGAGACTTTCGTCTGTCTCTCGTTAGCCGTTAGGACGTTAAAGTATTTCAATTTATTTGTAATAGAGCTAGCTTTGTGTGTAAGAAGAGATCCCCCAAAGACTCACTCTAAAACTAATCAATAGAGTGAAATACAATCAATTAATGCAGTGCTTCCAAAACCTGTGTAAAGTACCAACTTTTGGTACCCATGATATATGTTGGATTAACACACACGCAAGCCATTGAAAACGACCATTTAAAGATATGACACATATTTTTTTTTTAAATTTACATATTCTATTCGTTCATTTTTTATCTAATGAAAATTTTAGCTTGTTGTTCCTTGTTTGGGGATTGGCGATGTTGGTGCTCCCTAAATATAGGGTCTGCCCCAGAAAAGTAATTTCAGGATTTTTTTCAGGGGATTTGGGGAAAATGAGGGGTGGCAGAAAAACAAAACTTGCGGCTTGTTAAGTAGTTTATTACTGGAGGTACCACAATGCACAGCAATTTAAATAAAAGCTGCTAATTGTGGGGGGGGGGGGGGTAAAGACCAAAATGACGTCCCTGGTTTGCTTTTGGGCATACATTTATTTAAAAATTCCGTATTTTGGCCTATTTGTTTTTAATTAAATATATTAACTTGCGGCTTGTTAAGTAGTTTATTACTGGAGGTACCACAATGCACAGCAATTTAAATAAAAGCTGCTAATTGTGGGGGGGGGGGGGTAAAGACCAAAATGACGTCCCTGGTTTGCCTTTCGGCATACATGTATTTAAAAATTCCGTAATTTGGCCTAATTGATTTTAATTAAATATATTTACTACAATTTTAAAAAGCTTTGACAATGAATTCGCGTGAGTATATGAAACAAAAGTAGACTTCACAACCACCCCCACATTATGTAAACTCAATTTAAGAGTCACTGCCAAGCTTTGACCATCGATAATGTCTTTTAACTGGAATAGAGGAAATCATGAAATCAACATATTGAACATGACAGAGCCCTTCGATAGTTTCAAGGCTCTTCCTTACATTACAAACTGCCAACCAGGTCCGTGCCGAGGGAAAGTGAAGACTGAAAACTGTGCAAACTAATAAATAGAAATAAATGCCGTCTGGGGCGAACCAGTAAAGGACGACTTTAGTGCTCCTTGTCCTTTTAAAGTGCATGGGAGCTTGATACACTAATTCTGATCTTTATCAATAAAGGGAAATTACTCGCCTTCTTCTGTGCAAGGCTTTGTTGATGATGTTATCTCCCTTGTGAGAAAACGCTGTATTGTTTTGGGATCTAAGTTCAAGTAAAACTCGGTATTTTTTTAAAGGCTACTGTGTGAAGTGATTACATTAATTTCTTAATAATCCAATCAATACCAGGTAGATTAATTTTTTTTTTAAACGCACCAAACTATAGTAAAAATAACACAAATTGCAATCATCTAATTTGTACACAACTCTATATGAGACGACTATGAAATCTCTCTGCAGTGAATGGGGAATACTTTTTTATGTGGCTCTAAAACTCAAGCAGACTAATAAGAATATTCATTTAATAATGCTTAGACTCTTATTTCAAAATCAAGAATTGCATTTTGGAATATACCCGAATTTGGCGTTTCTTTTTGACTATTTGATCGTGGGAAGGAAGTTTTCAAACGTCCAAGGGAGGCTTTAAGGCACGCAGTGTCATACAACATAAACTAAATTCCCTTCGGTTGTGGCGTGCCCCAGGGTAATCATGTAGCACAAGCATATATTCAACCACGTGCTGTCACAATGACCAGCGTGAGGGAAAAAGTGGAAGGGGGGGGGGATACCGGAGACTGCCTGGCAAATTCAATGAATTATTCAATTCGTTGTTCCTTTCTGACAATTTTGAGGGGGAATTTCAGAATTTCGGGTGGGAAGCGCAAATTTATTCCAGTTGTGACGTCCATGAGGATATGCTATATGCTTTAGCTTATTTTCCCCCTTAAATATTTATCGTCCCCAGAAAAGTTATGATAATTTCAAAATGCAAGAATGCGTTTTAAGACAAACCTTAATATAGTTTTGCAAACTTCTACACATAATTATAGAGCAACGGTGAAGATGCCGTTAAACAATTTAGGTTCACTTGACCTCAGAGCCATTATGTAGACCATACAGCTGCCGAGGGCCTACGATATTTTAGGGACTTAAAGTTGTGATGTTGACATTTTTTTGGTTGTAATTTGTAATTATGAATTTTGAATGCATGGAGAACACACCTTAAAAAAAAAAACAAAAAAAAAAAAAAAAAAAAAAAAAATTTAGGTAGCCTTGAAATGTCACTTCTTGGCGACACTTCATGTGTTATACAAATATTTTGTATTACTAAATAGTAATGTGCCTTTTATTTTTTGTTTTTTCCTGACATCCGTCCGTCACAATGTGACGATGATGTGGGCTCCGCGGGACGAAATCCACAAGGCTTTTTCTCCAAGGATTATAAGGTGGTGCCCAACAGCAAATCGACTCTCTCCACGCCGCTGGATAACCAAAGGGAACATCATTTGGATGATGCAGCTTGGCACCAGTGGCGTCGCAGGAGTTGCCCCATCCACCCGGGGTGCTGGTGATGTTTTTGCTTGACTGGGCTTTGAATTCCAGCTCAGTTTAGACCACTCGGCCACCCAGCACCCAAGGGTTAACTATTTAACAATAAGTGACTTAAAAAATTTTTTGTTTAAACTCCCAAAAAGTTTTCCATCACAAAAAGGCAATTCCGGCATCATTTGTCAAGTTGGGCGCTAATTTAAAAAAAAAGGATTTAAAAAACAAAACAATTTAATTATAATAATTAACTTTTCTAAATATTTCGAAGTCTTACCACAGTCTATATAAAAAAAAAATGCGGTTTTGTAGATAAAGGTATCAGTGTTAAGACGGTGTTATTTAGGTTGCTGTATGAAAATTGTGTGAACCCCTTTTAGCCTTAATTACCATCTAAAGAAAGTTTTTTTTAGTGAGGTAGACTGTAATAAAGTAATGATAACTTTTCAAGAATGAAGTCTAGACGAAAAAGGCAGGTAAGACTAGTAAGAGTGGTTTTAACCAGGTTGATTCTTACAACATGGGCCCACCATTTAACATTTAGTACAACCAAGTTCTGCTTCCCACCGATTGGACGTTTCAAAGGAATAAATACATAATTTTAAAACTAAATTTTTTAAAAATTGATTGCCGACATTGAATTTATACATTTTGGTTTGTGAGCCTTTTTTTGTGTGCTTACCCCTTCAATAAAAAAAAAATATTTGGATTTACAACCGGGTCAAATAGAATTTTCTGACAAAGGAAATCTCCAATGAAGATGTAAGCAGCCTACCTGAAGTGACAGACAAACGCCTTAAATTTCGGCATTAACTAATAAATTATTAATATACTTTACGGTGCAACAATGGGGAGCCTAATGAATTCCAGTATGACCTGGTAGTGTGGGAATCGATCGTTCTTCATCAAACATTCATTAATAGACATCGAGAAAGCCGGTAATATGACACAAACAAAAGTAACTATCCTTTGAGGAAGTATTTTAAGCAAAACTATTTTAAAAAATAAAAATGTGTGGACGATAGACCCTAAATTCCAGCCACTTCATCACAGTTGCTTAAGATCAGCTCGAATTCTTTCCTTCAAGGTTAGGACAGAAAGATTTTTTTTTTAAATATTTTTTTTCCCCAAAAATGTTACAATTTACCAACAATGCTCTCCCAACTTTAATAAAATCAAACAATCACTATCTGAATGTAAGGAAATTAGTAAAGCAAAATACGGGAAAACCTGGAGGGAAAAAAAAAACAAAAAAAAAAAACAAAAAAAAAAAAGAAAAAAAAAAAAGAAAAAAAAAAAAAAAAAAAAAAAAAAAAAAAAAAAAAAAAAAAAAAAAAAACCAACTTTAAAAAAAACAAACAATCACTATCTGAATGGAAGGAAATTAATAAAGCAAAAAACGGGAAAAACTGGAGGGAAAAAAAAAACAAAAAAAAAAAACAAAAACAAAAACGAACGTGTCGGCAGGAAGACTTCATCGGCGAACAAACAACAGTAAAAACAGAATTAAATAAAAATAGCACTTAGCTGAGAAGTAGTATCCGAGAGGGCAGAAAAACAATTGTGACATAAAATACGTGGTTGAGAGATTAAATACAGGCAAAAAGGGGAAAGAAAAGAGGAGACGTAAGTCCACTGTGCAGCCAATATCTCCCCCTTATTACTCTAAATTTAATTAAATAATGTCACTAAAGGAAGTGAGGTGTAATGGAAATGATAGGTGAATTTTGCGCCTGAGAAACAGAACTTCACATTAGATTCTAGTGTTTCGATTGTTCTCATTTTAAAATATTATCTTGAACAGAGGCGTAGCGAGGGGGGTGCAGGGGGGACAGATGTCCCCGGGCGCCGGTAGTTAGGGGCGCCAAATTGTGCTTTGATATTATTTTATTGATGAAAATAATGGGTTTGAGAGTTAAAAAATAGAAAAAGGGGGCGCTTTAAAATGGATCTTGTCCCCGGGCGCGAATCTTGTCCCCGGGCGCGAATCTTGTCCCCGGGCGCGAATCTTGTCCCTGGGCGCCAAACACCCTCGCTACGCCGCTGTATCTTGATAAGAATATTTATCCCTCTGCTGAAAATGAATATGTACAGCGTAATCAAAACACATTTCCATTTATTTTGGATCAATAAAAGAATCTTATCTTATCTTCTTATCCTATCCCTTAAGGCAGTGGTTCCCAAATTCTTTGACTCGGGGCATCCTTATCAGAATAAATTATTATTTTTTAAATATTTTTTTTTTTACTTTTCATTACATTAATTTTGGCAATGTCGCCACCATTGCGACCCAATCATAGTCCTCGCACCATGGCACAATCAGAAACGATGCAGAGATCGGCAGTTCCCCATGGTATTTCATATGATGAAATAATGAATCCAAGATGTTCAATATTTGGTTGGTTGGTAGTGGTCTGCAGAGTAGAAGGTCCTAATATAGCTTTGTAAGTAGGCCTACACATAACGAAGAACTAACATCAAAACCGCCACGCCCGGGACGTCACAGTCACGTTATCGTTATGATGACAGGTCATTTTGAACTCACTCCAAATCGATCAGCCAGTATCTGAATATGTGGGGGCTAACTTTCAGAAAGTCTCTAGCGGATTCTGGAATACTCGAGAAAACTTCTCAAATTTTAAGTTCCAAGAAATCACTCGGAAATCTCCGCTACATTCAACTTTGCACATTTTCGTTACATGGTGTATCTTTGAGTTATTACATTGATTACGTTTTTATTTTGTTAAAATAATAAGAAACACGATAAAAGCAGAATCGAAATAAGAAGAGCGTTGACACATTTGATTGAACTTTATGCAGTGGCACCATCTAAAGCGGCCGCGGGGCCCCTGTTACTGACTTATACTTATTATATATGGGTTAAGCTCGCTTCTCAGGACAACACTAAGTTGTAAAATGGAAGGCCCAAAGAAAACAAAAAACAAGAAGTAGTTGCCCTAAGTACGAGGCGACGCTCAACGAGTGATTGAATCAATGAATATCGTTAAGTTAAGGTTTATGTGAACGATAATTAGCTAAATTATTCCAAAATTCAGGCCGAAATTGTATCATATGAGTATGAGTTGTTAGTATGTTTCTGTGGAAGCTATCCGAAAGATCTGAGACTGAGATCCTTCTCTGTTGTTCTGCAACATTCCAGGTCTCTTTTGGTCTTCATTGGCTTCAATTTCTCACATCTAAGCTAAGTCTAACTTTTCAAATTTATTTGAAACGGATTTCTCGGTTATTGTTGACGATGGGTCAAAGGTCCCTCCCCTTCAGCCTTCAATGATAGTCCGCATATCCGATCAGTTTTTAAAAAGCGTGAAATGAAATCCCTACTCCGATGTGGATAATTTCCTGCCATTTATCTCACTAAAAAGTTTGAGAAGTCCTGGTTTAGTCAGCTTGTGACTGTGTTTTCTAATAAAACCCTATTCTGCGATAAAACCCATGTCATTAAAAAAAAAATTAAAAAAAATAAGTTGCCAACCCCGTTAACAACATGACATGATGTACTTGAACTTGGCCCTGATACTGATATGTGTAGCGTATAAAAAATATGACTGTTACCCATAAGTTCATAAAAAATAGTATAAAATTCTGGATTTTTTTTCCCATTAAAAAAAAGGAAAATTCTGCGTAGAGTTAGTTTAGTTAGTTAATAACTCAGAGGGATGGATCTGGCGAAATATTCAATCTTTAATCTAAAAGTAGAAACTTGTGCTGTAGGTCACATGTGATTGACCCAAACAAATACGTCATACACTATAAATAGAATATGCGCAGGCATTTATTATATGATTTACATAAGACTAAAAATGATTAAGTTTTCTTGCATTTTGAATATGCATTTAACGTATATATTCTCAAATGTTGAATTTCTAATTCTTGATAAAATTAAGAGACTTTATTTAGTTTTAAAGTAAAGCTTTATCATTTTTGTAAGAACTATGTCTTGCACATTTATCTGATTGGTGACACGGTTTGTTTGGGCTATACACCCTGGAAGTCCATAGCTGATAGAAGTGCCATCTTGTTTACTGTTTAATTTTTCCCAAACTTCTTTTCATTCTAAAGAAAATTTTAGACGCTTACAAGATAAATTTTACATGTGTTTGGGTGCAATTAGTAAAAAATGGATGACGAGGGCCTTGTAGTAGCTGTCCGTTTGTGTGACACAGGTGAGAGAGAACAACCAGATCCACTGTGTTTACGATCTGAAGATTTGGCAACATGGCGACATTTCGAGACATTGGTGAGAGCATTACTGTAAATATTATATTTAATCTAGATATATAAGCAGTTCATCAATAAGGTTTTAGACGTTTAGGGTTAATCTATAACTTCAGCGTCGGCTATTCGGAAATCGTGTTTTTTAAGTGCTACTTTGCTGGTTATTCTCTTTTGATGAGATAAAATTATGTCACAACAAATCATCATGATATAATTATAATGGGATTTTGTTTTGTATGACATTGTTTTGTACATATTCATTTCAGTGCACACACACCCATATATATATACAATTTATTTATTCCAACACAAAATATTTTAAATTGCAAAATTTAAACAATTTAATGAATGAAAAGAATATAATATTTTGTAAGCAAACAGTTTGAGTTTATGCATAATAAATAATAATATTAGTTTTCCCTCAAAGTATCAATGAACTTCTTGAAAATAACATCTCCCTGAAAACGATTGCTGAAATGAATGCTGAACTTGAACTTGTGCAAATTTTAAGGGAAAGGTATTTTGGCAGTGTCTATATCTCCCGCACTTATTTGTCCGGCGACCAAGTCACATGACCGCCGGAAGAATACTTTATCGAGATATTCGTCCAGTGACCAAGTCACATGACCGCCGCAACAAAGCGGCGCTATATATTTGTCCGCCAGCCTTGTCACGTGTCCGCAAATGATTCAAAACTATTGTTAATTTTAATATCTATTTCTCTACCAAGTAATGTACTGAGTATCTTGCAAACAAATATTAGAAAAAATACTTGGGTATATTACCAAAACAAAGTGGGGATTAAGCAATAATGCATTCTAGAAGTAGAAGGAAGCAATGCATTAGAGGGAGAGAGAATTACAGTAATAAAAAAAAATAAAAAATATGAATGGTCAAAAAAAAATAATAGTGAGGGTGATGAATAGTTAGTATATGGCCGACTAGTTTAATATTCAAAGTCAAACACTTTATGCATCTCAGTGCATATGAATAAATTAACATGTTCAGCATTTATTCATTATCTAGGGATCGGAATATCAAATGCAATGCTACTTTTTTGCTGGCGACCACTTGCCACATGACCTGCCGCAATAATAACGCCTACCAGTCGTCCGGCGGTCACGTGACATGCCCGCCGGACGTATATCTCCAGCACTATGTGTCTGGCGCGCCGGGCATGTAGACACTTTGTAAGGGAAAAGAGCCCGGCTTGTGCCAAACTATCTTTTCAGTTTTGTGCATATCCACAAATTTTCTACATTGTGTGTATCATAGTGTATGCTTTGTTGATGGACCACGGTTGAGTAGAATATATCTCTCTATGCACTCCTGTAAAGTCTATCATGTCTATCTGACACTTAAACAAGAAAACATCGCCCAATCTATGCCACAAAAAACCCAGAGGCCCTCACACCACTGTCCATAATTGTATTTCCAGTGGAAATATTTAGTTTCATTAATTTCTATGACAATTCAACCTATCGTCAAAACCCCTAATCTCTGTTGCACATGCAGCCAGTCAGGCTGCACACTCTTCCCTCATGAAGTTGCACCAATCTTACACGAAACTGATATTTCTGACATTAGTCTCGCCTGACATCTGCAATTGTGGTATGTAACAACACCAGCAGTAAACTATAATCATAATTTGCTGGTTGCTGAGGTGACTTCCTGCAAAAAAAAAGTTTTCCCTTAGTGACTTTCTGAAACTGCACTTACCACAGACCCACCTGCGACCGTCCTTGAATGTATCTGTTCATTGTGCACAACCATTGCATATACAACCTCAACATTTCATACTGTTTTTTAGCAGGCGTCAACGCATGCACAATTGCAGTACTGATTGAGGGTCCAAAAAGCTTGGCAGTAGTTAAGACATCTGCCACAATTCTTCATTGCGTACCTCAGCAGCATAAAAACTTGCAACTGAACTAATGTTGTCTCACCTCTTTTTCTTCCCGCCATATCACTAGATTAGTAGCTTATTGAAATGAATTCTGCTCAATAACTTTAAAAGGAAGTGGAACTGTAAATGGACATCAATAAAAGAATAATAGAAAAACAGCATTTTTGAATAGCTGACTCTGAAGTGGTAGATTACCAACTGCAAATATGTATATTTTGTATTCTCTGATCTATCCCAAAATTGAATGCATCAAAAAATTTTCAAAGTACTTAGTTTTAGTACTCATAGTCGAAGAAGTAGTAGTATAGCAGGCCTATTATTTATCAAGTAGGCTTTGTAATATTTAATTTAATATTATTATTAATACATAGCCTAGGCCGACTAAATTAAAAAATTATTGGTAGTTTAGGCTTGGGTTATTATTACCTAGCCTACCTTATCAGCTATCTGATACTAATCAGTATTCTAGTACTAGTTATTAGTTAGCACTAGCCTTAGGGGGTAGGTGGGTATGCCAAGGGAAGGGTTAGGCTATTTGAGGAATTCTTAATTAAATAATTCATCATTTGTTCTAAAGACTTATTCAAAGTTAACTCATATTTTCCCTCTTTATCATCAGCTACGGGATATGTATCAGTGTCCTCCAGAAGCAATCAGAGTTTCTTATCTTGATGATGAAAATGACTGGGTATGATTTAATTTAATAGCCTGTTATCACTATTCATTTATAATAAACCTATGCCTGCGTTATCATAACACTACAATTAAATTAAATTTTTGTCAAAAGCCCGTAAATAAGTAAGCCATAAAGTTGTATTATCTAACAGAGTAAAGGTTTCAGTTTTATTGCTTGCATTCTTATTGTGTATCTTTGCTCTTTTGTAATTTTAAATTGCTAAAGTAAATGAGCACTTTTGTGTTTATTAAGCTACATTTGTTATTTGACTTAACTTAAAGACCTGTTTCACTATCTTTATTTTACATTTCAATTATTCTAAATTTAAGGTGGAACTCGGTAGTGATGGTGAATTAGCAGAAGCAGTCAAGGTAAAATTTGCAATGACGTCATAGATTTAGTTGATCAGATAATATTTCTAAGTTTTATTTATATCTTGTTTATTGGGTTGATCTTGGATAGAGTTTAAGCCCTGACAAAAAAAGGAATGATTTGTTTTTCTACATATAGGTCTTTAATACAACAACATTTTTTGTTTTCAAATTTCAACTGGGCTGCACTTATTTTGAATGTATATTTAGACATTTTTTTTGGCTTATTCAGTTTTTTTAACAACAAAAAATATTAATCAACAGCTGACCAGGGCGTCGGGTGAAATTTTACAACTGCAAGTAAAGAGAGGAGATGCTGAAAAGCTTATTCATATTGATGTTGGGGGCAAAAGCGAGAAACCACAAGGGAGCAATGCCGTTGTGTATGTCCCAACAACGGATCCAGGAGGAGATGTGTTTGGCCAGCTTGTTTATCCCCACCCACCTCCAACAAACCCAACCCAGGTGAATACATTCTACCCACCTGCACATGGATTCCAACCTTTGGTACTGGTTTATCCACATCCTAAAGATACTACACCATTACCAAGTGCACCAAGGGATGAGGAAACAAAGATTAATTCATGGAGGAACACTGGAAGCTTTGCCTTGAAAGTGGACATGGACTCCCAGGATAAAAGACCATGTCCACAGCAAAATAGCAGTCAGTGTCATGGCACAAGCCAAGCCAAAGAGCAGACACTTTTGGATGACATCAAAAGCCCAGCAGTAGTCAGCAGAGTTGAGCCACTGTGCTTGGAGCCCGGATCCCTGGGTCAGAATTTCTTGCCCAATCAAGATCCCTTTGAAATTCAGTCAGATGGCCCATCCCAGGTGGAGGATGGAGCCCACTCCCCCCTCATTCCAACTTTTGCTGGGAAACCATTGGTCAAAGGGGGAAGCAATGACCAGATAAAGACTCCAGAAGATGATGCCAGACCATTTGGAGGAGTGCAGCAGAGCAGAGTGTTGGAGTTAATGACCTCTGTGCATGATGCATTATCATTCAACACTTGGCCAGCTCCGGCAGGGTCCAACCCTTCTTATGCCATGGCCAAGTGTAAGGTGGTGAAGAAAGGTGCCGTCGACAGCCTCCCTCCTAAACCAATGCCAAGAAATCTCCTGATGATGGAGGGAGCACAGTCTGGGGCTAATGCTGTGGCGATTGAGATGCCACCAGAACCTGACTTTTTCCATGGGCCGTCGGTGAACAAAGATGAGGAGATAGCAGCCAGTGGAGGGTAAGTGACTACCCTGACTTTAAGATTCATTGTTTGTCAGAGAGACTTTGATGGCATTTGAAAAACCTTAGCCTTCAGCTCCCGTGAATTTGAACTTCAGATATGATAAATGGTTCTTTTAAAACTGAAGAAAATTAAATGAACTCCCCCCCCCCCGAAAAGATATAAGTACTTAATATTTTAAGATTTAATTTAAAAAAACAAAAGCTTATAATAATATCACATTTTATTCAAAGGAATCAAATGTCTTGTAAATGTATGTCGCATTTTCGGATCAGCAACTGGAAAGATAATATTTTATAAACTAAAAGTTATTTTTAGCATTGACAGATACATGTCTCATGCTTTTCAGGGCATCCTCAACGTCTGCTTCTGAGGAAACAGGGGAAGTCATTGCCCGGGCAGGTGATGATGCTGCAGCTTTCAGCAGAGAGGTAAGCTTCTATGTATTGTGTGTGACAAATTACCAGCCAACACGCGTTACAACAGTCACAAACCATTGTGTACCAAAACTACTTTTGACAGCCAATAGACAATGCAATTGATTCTGTTTGATTGCTCATTGTTAAATGTATCAAATTTTTTGTTTCTTTTTTTGGTGGCCTGTTATTGCATGCTGTTTTATAATTTGAGCTGCTCTTTGGGCAAATGTCTGTTATTTATAGAGGAGCAATTTTTGTGTGTGTGAATGGTTGATTTTACTCTAGCCCCTTTTAGCAAATTCAGTTCTTAAACAGTAGTCTTCTTCTTGTTAACTCCTTTAGTATGACTTAATGATAATGAAAATGAGAAAAAGAATTTTAAAAAGAAAAACAGTGTCTATTTAGTAATGGTTACTGAATTTGAACCATTCAAGTTTCTAAATTTTGTTTAAATATTAATTTCAAGGCTTCATTCAGTTCCCACTATGTTTGTTAATCTTATATAAAAATGATACATTTTGGATTTAAACAGTGGGAAAAAAAGGCAAAATGTCCTTTTAGTAAAGACATTAAAAAAAGGATTTGATGATTTCTGCTGCCATGTGTCACATGAAGTCAGTCAGGTCTTTGGTGTACTGAGTTTTGGCTAACCCACTGGTTTCCAGGAGCTCAGCATGCAATACTGTCTGGTCCAAAGTTCAACTGTTGATGCTTTTGTCACATTCATCTTTCACCAGCTCCAATTTGTTTATTCATTATACAAAAGAAAACATATTAATTTTTAAAAAAATAATAATAACAGCTTTTTATGTGTTGTTAAATTTTTTTAGTCACGGTTGACTCAAATGTTTGGGGAATAAAGCCAACTACCTTAGTCTGCTGAAATTTTTAGAGGAATAAGCCAACTACAGTAGTCATGTGCTGAACGAGTAGCAAATTGTTGTGTCTAAATTTGCAGCACTCTACTGGGTGTCTAAATTTTATTGAAATCCTCTGACAAAAGTTTTTTTTTTAAACTAATGCAATCCTTTCAAGACAAAAATAGCTTGTAACTCATCTATCAAGGATCAGCTTGTGATAATACCAGCAAGATAGCAGATTCTTGCAGAGTTCTGAAATCAGTAAGCTTCATGGAGATGAGTGGCACTATCGTCACCCCTGCTTCTTCTATTTTTTTCCCACTTTCTCTACAGATGAAATCGTCTATCCGAGAGACAGAGCCATTTGGTGTAGCCATGGTATCCAGTGAAGCAGGCGCCCTCCAAGCAGAAAAGAAATTAATCAAGAGATCAGATTCTAAAATCAAGACCACGTCTGCTAAAAAGGATAAAAGGGATGAGCTGGGGGTGGGGGCAAAACCAAAATCATTGGAGAAGGTTGAAAGGAGAAAGGGAGAGTGCAAAAAGAAAACAGAAGAAGAAACAAAGAAGAAGACTGCGTCTGGGGAGAAGAAGGTTGAAGAGAAAAAATCAGGGGACAAGAAGAAGATTACTAAAGATATGGAATCAGGGGAGAGAGTCAGGACCAAGGAGGAGACGACCCTCCAGTATAATGACTTTATAAAAGTAATGAAAAAGGTGAGACAGCTTTCTTGTAGCTTATGGGCAATAATAACAACTCACTGCATTGTTCACCAACCGTTTACACTTGAAAAAAAAAACGGCACCGCTACAGATTTTAAGAAACATTTTTTTTTAAAGTCATATCCCCAATGTCATTGTTCCATATTTGTCACATCCAAGAGTGTTCCAGTTTAATGATACATCTTTGCTACCGTTTAGCTTTAGGGTCTGATCAGAAAACTATAATGGCCTAAAAGTGAAAAAAAAAATAATTTAAAAATTATGTCTCTATTTGAAATAAAAAAAAAAAAAAAAATAATTCAGAAGAGAGAAAGAAAATTAATTAATTAATAAAGAAAAATATAATGGAATAAAAAAAAAAAAAAAAATAATTTAAAAATTATGTCTCTATTTGAAAAAAAAAAAAAAAAAAAAAGAAGCCAGAAGAGAGAAAGAAAATTAATTAATTAATATATTGAGGCTGTCAAAAATGAAATACTTAATAAATCTATTGATTGGGTTACTTAGAATAAATCTTTCAAATTGTAATGCGGCTGTATCTATGAAGAGATATTTGTAGATACGTCTATGACTCTTCATGATACCTTGAAGTGCTGCCATAAATGTTGTCATCTTGTAAATTTTTGGTTTGTGACCAATGCTCTTTGTTTCAAGATTTTAAAGTACACGCATGTTTATGTTCTTTTAGCTTTATTACATTTTTTTACCATTAAGAGTATCATGACAAGTATGTCAAGCACCGGAGGGGGAGTGGGGTCTAAAAAAAAAGGGTGGGACCGTTCTGGGGTGGGGGGGAGATGTTGATCTTCTGTGACATCACATATTTTTTTAATCACACAAAATAAAACCTACAATAGACAGTGATGTTGAACTTTCTTATGTGTTGGATGTATTCTGACAGAAGATGTTGAACTTTCTTATGTGTTGGATGTATTCTGACAGAAGATGTTGAACTTTATTACATGTTGCAGACCTGTTTACTCTTACGATTTTAGTGTACAATGTACGATTTTGAGGTGTATAGGTTGTATTTACTGTATGTTTATTTTTTACTATAAATATAATGTATTGAGCAATTTTGTGATGATATTGTACGATTTTAAGAGTTTGTGGGTTAACAGGTCTGTTTTTGGATGTATTCTGACAGAAGATGTCAGTTTTTAAAATTAATAGTGAATTGTGATTTATGTTAAATTGGACGTGCGCCCCAAAGATTTTTTGTCAGGTAAAAGAGAATCCTTCCACCATCACACCCTACAAACCACTCCTACCCATAGTCAATTGATACTGAAAGTTAATGAGCTATCTGTATATGTATAATACCACCCATGCTACATACATTTATAGCGCTGTATATGTATAAAAAACTTTGACTCTAAATGAATTTATAGTACAGCTAAAATGTTCAACATCATAATTTCTTTAAATTTATACCTGAATATTTCCATTATCGCACTGTCAATCTCTCTTAGAACCATATAACATTTTGTTCTTTGGTGAATAAGTTGAATGTGTTTGTGATTGACCCAGGTAAAGAGAGAGATACACAACAGTATTGTGAAAGATGTCACGAAAGAAACCGACAGTCTCCTACAGAAGGCCTTCATCAAATCTCAAATTCAAAAGTTGTGCGACCCCCAGGAGCTGAAGCTGAGGTTTAACACTGGTGAGTCTGGTTTTGACAATCTCTGGAGTGGAGTTTTAAACCTTGCGAGTTAGGTTAAACACCTCGTGAACAGAGTTTAACACATCATGGGTGATGTTTAATACTGTGAGTGAGGTTTGTCACACACTGTTTCTAATTTACACTCAAAACAAGTGATCATATATGTCTAGCATGTTCTTCCCAAGAGGAAGTTAAATTGCTGTCAAAATTTTTATCATATGCATTTATAGAAAAATGATATCTTGATCGGGTGAGTTCAGAATTAAATAGAAAGGCTGAGATAGAAAAGAAGATTTTTCTTTTTGAATTTAAGATTAGAATAAAAAATTTCATTATTTGTTTTGCTAAATTTGCTATAAGTTTGTTGTTTTTTTATTGTTACCATAGTGTGCTAAGGCATGACAGACTAACATTTTTTTAAGATCTACCCATTGGAATGGCAAAGCTATTATTTTCTTCTCTATAATAATAATTGGTCCGAAATGCTCATGCTTGTTCAGTCAGATTTGCTATCAAAATATTTTATGAAACATTCTGAATTTGTCTCTCACACCAGCACTTGTCCAGCATATTGGGATTTATTGCGACCAATGCAATGTTGAGATTCGTGGCATCAGGTACAAATGCGGGTAAGTGGATAACTGGAACATATTTTGGTGAAATGTTCAGTTAATCTTTCTTTGGGAATGGTCTTTATTATTTATTATACTATTTTTTAATTTTTTTTAACAATGCTCAAAGCAGACCTGTTTACTCTTACGATTTTGGCGTACAATGTACAATTTTGAGGTGTATACGTCATATATACTGTATGTTTATATTTTTACTATTAAGATAATGTATTGGATGATTTTGTGATGATATTGTACGATTTTAAGAGCTTGAGGGTAAACAGGTCTGTTAAAGGGCTTTAATATTTGTGAGTGAAGGTCTAAAATAGGTCAATGATATAAATACATTTTAAAGGTAATCTTTATAATTTTGATGCATTGAAACCCAACCTATTCATTCATTGCTTGCCAATCAGTTTTAAAATGTGTCTTTGTTTTATTCAATTTCATTCACCCTTGAATCTTATCTTGGAATATTTCTTTCATTTTGATCAAGTTTACTAAAATCAAGTTTTTTTTCCCCCTTCTATTGTGTGATCCTATGGGTTTCTCAGGTATTCCTTACATGGCATGTATAAATAACATTATGATTGCAGCAATTGCTTTGACTTTGACCTGTGTGAGGTATGCGAGGATGTTCCAGACATCCATGACCCAACACATGTGTTCCTGAAGTTGAGGTACCCAGCACGCAAGGCCGGCTGTGTGGGCAGCGAGAGGCTGCCACTGCTCCGAGAAAACATATACCTTGCGGAGAGGGAGGAGCTGGGTAGTGACGAACAGATTTGTCGGTTAAATGCACCAGAGTAAGTTGTTGGTACCTGTTCATTCTATTTCCTATTACCTGCATTTATGTCCATCTTTTTGGCCCAGATAACTATTTCTGCTGTGTGATTTCTCAAATGTATTTGTTTGAAAATAACTTTATTTTGATGTACCAGCATTTTCTTAGACAATAAACATTGGTCTTCATGTTCTTCTTCCTTGAACAACTTAAAACCACAATAATTGTCTCTTAATATTTGAACGAAAATGTAAAAATATATCAAGACAAATGGATATTAAGCACTCAAGCAATGTTTTTGTTTTATTAAAACTTCGTAATCTTGAGTGACTGTTGTGAAATATTTTGTTGTTTGGTTGTTAACTCAATTTAAAGATGGGCAAATTTGGATATATAAAGTTTACTCCGGCCCTGTGTTCAAGTTTCACAAGTTTTTTTTTTTTTTTTCAGACAGTGTGGTGTGTTAAGTTCTGTTGAATGAGTAAAGATTTATATTTAAGTTTGTTTTTGTTGTGTGCCAATACTGGCTGAATATTAACTATATGAGACCCGTTTAATTTTGAAAATATTCCTTAAATCTCAACAGTCAGGGTCAGTGTTGTTTGGGTGCAGATAATGCAGAGGAGTTCAACAAGAAGGCTGTAAGACATGGTCCTGAGACAAACAATTACAGAGTCCATGATTACCCGCCTGTGATCTATGACCAGGACTTCATAACAGAGGTGAATACAATCTATAACTTGTTGACCAGCTGCAGTCTCCCCATGTTTCGTTTCATAGAAGTGTTTGTGTTCTCCCAATGCATCATTTAACAATTTGCTGTCCTCCTTTCAGACACATCCTCAAAACACATTCAACCTTGAGATGGCCAAGGGGATTGATTCTGAAATGGATAGGCTGGGGAATCCAATGGAAGCCCAACAGGATGTTATCCGTATGACTAAACTGGTGGCTGCCACTCCAGTGACTGCCAATGAAATCTACACAACCGAAGGTAATATTTTTGTTATAGAGAGTCCATGAACACAAAGTCAATCGTTTTTATTGTTGCAACCTTACTATCCACTTTTGGGTATGAGTGATCACAAATTTTAATGGAATAAAGCTGACAATGCTAATTTTAATGACAACTCGTTGTGTGACTAGCATCTAATCCCTAATTAATCAATAGATTTAAAAAAGGCCCTTGTATCATAGTTGTTGATATAAATTAACATTACTACTTTTTAAATTATTTAAAAAAATTTTGTATTAGACTGACTATTCAATGCTACATTGAGATGTTGTATTTTTCTTCATCTTGCCAGGAGAAGTTGTTAGAGATGAACCCACCAGCCCAGCTGTCAGTGACTCCAGCAGCAGCAGCAGCATCATCTCCCTGTCCCATCCCCCTGGCTCCATCCCACTGGTGCCCCTCACAGCAGCTAAGATGATGATGAGAGGGGAAAATGAGGCAATAACCACTGTCACTGAGGAGACTGTTGAAGGTACTAATAACTAAGACAATTGCCAGTACATCATCCATATGTTTGCTTTATTAAAAATATGAGCATGAAGCAAGTTTCCAAGTCTTGATAAGATTTTTTTATCTTTTGGACAAATTTATCATAGAGGCAGTTTTTGATGTAGAAACAAGTTCTGTTCCTAGAGGTTGCTCACTATAATATTTTTTTTTTGGATACATTAAACCATCTAAAAATGCAATATTTATGATAAAATCCTATATGTTAGACGTCATTTATCCATATGAAAGACATTATATTAAATATCGAATGTGGTTTTTATCTCAATGATATACTAGGAATGCAAAATAAAAGTTGAAAACATGATAAAGGGTCAATAAGATGCATTAATTAAATAGTTGATTTTAATTAAAAGCAGACAACATTATTCAGTACATTAATAAAATCTTTAAGTGAATGTTCGCAAATCGAGAACTGCCTATATGTAGTTTTGTAACAAAAATTCTGCAATGTTAATAACATTTTAGGAGCTGAAAGAGACTTTGACAGTATCCCTGTGAGAAGACCATTGTCCCCCAATCAGCCCATCTTCTTTGATCTTGAGGAGGAGGACAGCTCCTTCCAGGAGTGGGACTCTGACAGCAGTGATGACTTCTGTATCATAGACCCCTCCCATGCCCCTGTCAGCAGGGATGACTATGAGGCCATCACCGATGTAAGGTTTTATCTCTGTTTAAATTTTAGCATCTTTTTAAAACAAATAACATGAAGCTGCTGAACATGTTAACTAAACAAGACTAAGTAAAACTAAACAAGACTAAGTAAAACTAATCAAGACTAAGTAAAACTAAACAAGACTAAGTAAAACTAAACAAGACTAAGTAAAACTAAACAAGACTAAGTAAAACTAAACAAGACTAAGTAAAACTAAACAAGACTAAGTAAATGGAAAGCCTTATGCATGATAGAGAGGGTTAATACATTAATACTTCAAAGACATAATCATATATCTGCCTTGTACCATACATCTGCTTTGTATCATACATCTGCCTTGTATCATACTTTTAAATCAGCCGAAATGTTTCATCAATGTTTTAAAAATTTAGGTTTTCAGTTTTTATTTACACATCTCTTTTGAGCACATTTATGAAGCATACATTTACTGTTAGATATTTAAATTATTTTAATATGCCACATTGAAACTTCAGAATTCATTTGTTTTTGTTTTTTTGGTGCTCTCAGGGGATGATGTAGACAACTGAAATATCCAGCTACTGTCAGGTTAATTTTGATATCTCGTATTTTAAAGAGCTTTATTTTCTTCCAGCATGAAGGTGATGATGAGACCGAGTCAAGACAGGGAGAGCAGCACCTCACTGAGGCAGAAGTTAGCGCCACTTGCCAGGACAACACTGCTGTGGTGAACACAGCCGTTGAACATTCCCCAAGCCCCAGCATTGAAGTCCTGGAGGTTGTGCAGGATGAGGCCGGTTGCCTGTCACCGCCCGATGTTGTGGTGACTCACAGGGAGCAGGTTGATGGTGAGCACGAGGGGGAGAGGGCTGAAGAGGCCGAGGGGGAAAAGATTGAAGAGGCAGCTGGAAGGGAGGAACAGGTGTCATGGGTGAACCTACCAGATGATGGACTTGTGCACAAGATGAATGAAGAGGAGAAAAACAGGTGAGTTGTTGAAAGCTCAATCACATCAAGGTCCTAAGCATTGAAGAATTCAATTTCCAGATCAACCAGTTGCCGTGAATAAAATAGCTGTTTGAAATTTTTCTGCACAGTTGTTGCTTGCAAAAGGAAAAGGAGCTGGCACCTTTCTAATTACTCCTCACTCGTCTTGTGTGCTCATTCTCACCCCTCAGTCATCTTGTGTGCTCATTCTCACCCCTCAGTCATCTTGTGTGCTCATTCTCACCCCTCAGTCATCTTGTGTGTTCATTCTCACCCCTCAGTCGTCTTGTGTGCTCATTCTCACCCCTCAGTCATCTTGTGCGCTCATTCTCACCCCTCAGTCGTCTTGTGTGTTCATTCTCTTTGGAACTGGTCATTGTTGATTCTCATTCATTTTTCTTTGGTAATGACAGCCAGGTTTAATGTTAAAATCTTGCAATGATGAGAATTCAATGTAAACTCTGGCAAGTAATGCAGAATTTAATCAAAAGTTAATAAAGTTGTGTTGTTTCACCAGAGCCTCAGAATTCACATACACATTTATCTCTCCCAATTATTTTAGATTCAAACAACTTCTGCGTGAAGAGATGGATAAGGAATTTGAAGAAGAGCTCAGAAAGAGGGCCAAAGATCTAGAGAGGGCCCTGCAGGCACAGAAGGAGGAAGAGTTTCAGTACATTCTAGAAGCCAAGGAGAGGGCGGCTGCCATTGAGAATGCATTTCTAGAGCAGGCAGCCAGGCAGAAAGAATTGGAAGACCACCAAGAGAGAATTTCAAGACAAAGTTCAATTAGAGGGGACCTCACTCCTACCCCATCTCTGGATAATTCATGTGGGGAATTCTCAGTAGGCAAGAAAGATGCAGATTGTCAGACGTAAGTAAACACATTTTACTATCTTCATCACCATGGTTACTACTGGTTTTGTCTGTGGCTTTCCTTCCTGCCCTTATCCAGAAGCTGCACATCTCTCAACACTGTGATCAATCGCTGGGAGTCGACGTTTACCAGACGAAGTCCTCAGTGTTGTGCCATCACTCAGTCATGTCGTCCCTCAGTCATGTCATCCAGGCAGGATTCCCTATTTGCTCATTCCCCGCCACCGTCTCCTGGCACTCCATTTTTTCATTGTGGGTTTAGGCTATTTTAGACAGAGGATTGTCATGTCCTGGGTCAGTTGTGTCTGTGCGAGGACTTTTATGCAGAGGATTGTCATATCCTGGGTCAGTTGTGTCTGTGCGAGGACTTTTATGCAGAGGATTCTCATGTCCTGGGTCAGTTGTGTCTGTGCAAGGACTTTCATAATCCTGGGGACAGACAGCATCCACCAGACCTTGCTGGTAGGTTCCACATCACGACTGGTTAAACGTATACAACCATGATGATCCAACTTCTGAGTCAATGATAGGGGTAACATTAAAAGGAGGATAAAGTCTAGGAGAAGAGTAGGGTCTGTGCCAGTGTAACATGACATGTTTTATACTTTGCTCTTAAAGGTTGAGGGGGGGAGGCAGCCTCCCCCCCAAGGGTCCAGTTATATCACTGGACATTTGGTCACACTTGATTGGGTCACTGTTGGTAACAGGGAGGACCAGTACAATACAAACAGAAGTACTTTAGTGAAGGCGCCCATTCAGAAACACTTAGGTAGGAGATGCCATACTTCAGAGTTATCCTGGAGTGCTACGGATGCAGCTGCACCGGTAGATATGGGCAGTCACCACCTGTAAACAGGAGAGGTGTTGTCATACGCATCACTGTTTTTTACCCTCCCCATTTTATCAATCTTTAAGCTAATCAATTATCTCCCTGTGCCATGTCGATCGATGCCTTAAATTATAGTGCTGTGTTCAATTTATTTTCAGGAGTACATCTCTTAGCCCCATCAGTTAATTATGGTGCTGTTTTCAGTAGTACGTCTCTTAGCCCCATCAGTTAATTATGGTGCTGTTTTCAGTAGTACGTCTCTTAGCCCCATCAGTTAATTATGGTGCTGTTTTCAGTAGTACGTCTCTTAGCCCCATTACTAAATTATGGTGCAGTGATCACTGATAGTGGTCACTTTTGATTAGTAAAAAATATATTTTTATGACTGTGTCAATTAGTGGTTACTTTTGATTAGTAAAATATGTAGCTGTATGACTGTGTAAATTTTCTTCTCTCCACTCAAGGGTCCCTGAACCTATTCACCCAGCCACTCACATCATTCACAATGTGGCCTCTGGTGTGTCTAAAGCAGCGACCACTGCTTACTACACAGCCAAGGATGTCTTCTATTCTCTCCAAGCCAAGCAGGTGAGCTCAGGCCATCATGGTTGAAATAAAAAATATGTTTAATCCTGTGTTTAAAAGCTGACTTCCAAATGTAAGAGGGCTGGGCTGCCATAAAATGGAGTGAGTTCATGAATGGCATCTTTGGGCTTTAATCTACCATGTCGTAAGCTTTAAAAAGCCAGTTTTTGTTTTTTCACCCAATAAGGATCAAATGTAATTAATACATTAAGTTAGAAATCTAATAAACTTGACTACGGTACTTAAATATCTAAACTTGACTGCTTAAATATCTATAATATGTCCTGTACATACTGTTTCATTAATTTGTACTTGCCTCACACTCACATTCATAACTTTAAGATCCAGCCTGAACGCTATTGACTAATTTATCAGATATGTTTGTCAAATTTTTAATTTGGATAGATCAGGCAATGTTTCTCTCTTTTTAGACTAATTGGAAATGTTTATCTCTTTTAGATCAATTTGAAATGTTTATCTCTTTTAGACTGATTGGAAATATTTATCTCTTTTAGACTTATTGAACTCATTGTTGGTTTCCTCTTATAGCAAGAATGGAAAACTCCTGTAGCCACCTACAAACCCCCCCAGTCTACCTGGCAACCCCCGGCCAGCACCTGGACCCCTCCGCTGGATGACTACATCCCTCCAACCTCCACATGGACCCCACCCAAACAGAACATTGTCTTGCCATCAAGCTGCTACGAGCAGAATGATGACCAAACGCAAAACTCTGACACGGAGATGAAAACTGATGCTGTGGATAACGCACCTGGTCATCAAACAAGCTGTAAGAAGCCAGCGACGGCTGCCCCACCTCTCCCATTGTCCTTGATGGACGTCCATGATTCAGTTGTGAAACGGGAGCTCCAGGGCATGCAGCGACTCATCGAGATGGGATTCGCCAACAGAGAGAAGAATCGACAGCTGCTCCAGAAATTTGAAGGGGATCTTGAGAAGGTGGTTCAGAGCCTGCTCCAGGAGGAAGGTGAAGGGGATGACCACTGGGCGTTGCACAGGCATTAATGGGAATGTGAATTCAGCAGGTCTGTGAGTTATATACAAGCAAGAAGGATAAACATCAATTTTACTTGAAAAGATAAGGTTTTTATTGTCTTTAAAAATTTAACAACAGAAGTTTGTAAAAGTGTAATGATTGCTTTTATTATTTTTTTTCACTTCAGCTTATTGTTCAATTGACATGGAATAGGACAAGAAAGTTTTTATCTGTACACTATATGTCTGCACATTGCTTTTGGGTTTGATTATTTAAAAAAAGTTTTTTATACAGAACGTTTATTTCCATTGCTTGATTAGCCACAAGAACTAATAAACTGTAACATGTATTTTTAACGGCTCGAGGCGCACACACTCGTCTGTCATCGGGCTACTTAGCTCAATCATATCGATTGTACTTATTGAGATGAGTAGTTTTTCTATTTCGTTATCTTTGCTATGTAGACAAAAATAAAGGAGCACTTTTCTCCCACTAAAGCATGTTAAGAAATTTCTATGATATATTATTATTATCATCAATAGTAATAAAATTGTATTTTGAGGAGCCAACAGGTGCTTTTTAAAAAGATTTGTTGCTACAAACCTGGAACATGTAATATTTTATTTTTGTTGAATGGTAGAATATATTACTACTGACACTTTCCATGTTTGTGTCATTGTGTCCATATGTACCAAGACATAACCATTCAACTGTTAATATTTAGCATATTATTATCCTTCACTTAAAGTCAAATACATAGATAGATTTTTTTCATGTAACTAGAAAATGTGTATATATTGATATTAGTCAAGTATGAAATTGACGAAGTGATGCATAAGTAGAGAAACGGTGAGTGAAAACGGTGTTTTTTTGTATCTGTTCATTGTATGATGATCCCAAATTAATGTCTACAAATTGAGGCTGACACATATTTTAAGTGTAACAATAGAAGTCAAAGTGTTATTATCATGGTGTTTTCCCAAATTTTCATTGTCTATTTTTTTTTGTGTGTGATACCTTTGTAATTTCATTTCTTCTCTTTTCTCAAGGCTTTTTCTTATTTTATTTTTTTAAAAATTGAGATAGCGAAATGAATACTTGATGTGTTTATTGAGTCTGTGAATGTAAACCATATCCAGATCGTGTGTGAATTTTCTTTCATTTTTTTTTTGTTTGGGTGCCTTCTTGGAGCTCCATGACAAAAAAAATTAAAGACTTTCAGATGGCCATAAATAACGAGATGAATTTTTTCTTATGTGGTTAAATGTGTCAAACCTTTTATTTCTTTTATATGTTCAGTGTCAGCTTTCTTTTGTTAATCCCTCACCATGTGTCATTATAATTGCATAAGATTTTCTTTGAGGTTGTGGCCAAGCTCCAAGGTGAATGTTAGCACAAAAGTCAATCAATGGGTACCCAGCATGACGTCAAGATTCTCTTGCAAGTCTTAAACAAGGTCACTGGAACTAATTGCAGTTAAAATCCAAATTTTTAAATATTTTTTTTCCATGCTGAAAATAATTTTTGAAAATATTTTAACTAGAAAAAGAGAACAGCCAATGAATAAGGGTCCTTGAAAATACTGAGAGCAACAGGTTTAAAAAGAAAATAATTTTTATTAAGTTAATAAAATTTGCATCACCCTTAAATATGGACTTACCGTGACTGTTCAAATGTACTGTATGTTAAACAAAATGTGTACATAATTCCCTGTCTTTCAATGGCTTATTTACATTTGTTGTGTGGTTTCATTTGAAATTCGTATGTTTAAGAGAAACTTGATTTTATTATGTTTTTAAAAGCTAAGCACAAAATGGAATTATTCAAACATTGCTATATATTTATAATCCAGCTTTTAGTTTATAATATAGATAGGCTCAGGGCTTTTTGTAAAAAAAAAAAACATTCACTAAGTCTAAAATTCTTAGTACCATTAAGCTATAACAGTCTTTGATCTTATAAACTTTGCATAGTACACGAAATTCCTTTCGAATTAATGACAGCTTCACAAATTTTTTCATGTTTTGTTTAGGGGGAAAGTCTTATGTTGTCAGGGGGGGGGGGAAGGGGATATATGATTGATGATGTATGATGTTTTAAACTAAATTATTAAATCTTTTTCTAGTTTGTCAAAATTAACAAATCAGAATTTTAGCAATACACAAGTTTCGTTGTCATTTTTTTTTTTTATTTGTCAGGGATATTTTGTCATTTCCTGATCTCAATTCCAAATTCCAGTGAGAATCTTTTAGTGAGGAGTAAAAGTTAAACCTACATGCATATTCCAGTCTTTAAACAGAACAATTATTGAATCTCTTTTTCTTTTTTTCTATCAAATAAACTGTCATCATTTGAATTTGCTTTGAAGATGTAATAAAGTGTCCATAAACAATATGATGAAAGTTTAATATTTGCAATCAATAATGCTATTGTGTTACATAATTACTTTCAGTGTATTCAATTTATTTTCCCCTTCATTTTCTTATATCCTAACCCTGTGTATCTGTGTATATTGACGTGTATCTTCATTAGGCTGAGGGTTAAAATGCTTGTTCTCTTTATGAGTGCAGGCTTCTTCTCTGTTGTTTCAATGTTTTTTTGTTTTTTTTTAAAAAAAGATTGTTTTTTTTGTGTTTGCATTCAGCCAATTTGTGACAATGACACCTCTACAGCAGTTATTACTCATCTTTTTATGGATTGTGAAAACGGCAATTTTTTAAAATGAAATTTGTTGAGTTTTTTTTGTAAAGCATCACATTACAAAAATGTTGTTCAGTCAAGGCCTCATTATGATAAAACCTGTGGTGAGGGGTTCAGGGATCTGACATATACAATAATTATTAAAAGATGCTTGGGTGCAGTTCATCTTGAATACTTCTCTGAGCAGTTGCAGTATTTGATGATTACTTCCAGACATTTTTTGTGGTTTGTAATCTTGACCATTGGTAGTTCACCTTGACCTTTGTATGCTTGGATATTGTGGCCAGGGCTGTCCATCCCATCGTGATTCCACAAATTTGCACATGGTGGGTTTAAAATCATTTAATAAAATTTTGTTTTCAAATAAAAACTGTACATTTTATTTTGCATGAGGACAAAAGTTATGCAACTGATGACAGTGAAAATCTGCTGTTGCGTTTTTTTTCTACACTCTGAGCTCACATTAAAATTGTATTAAAATGATGTCAACAGGATTATTTGAGATGTAGAATAAACTCATCATAATGAATTCAGAGGAGATAAAACAAATTAAATTTTTCAAATTGAATTGCTGTAGAAATTCATTATAAATATATGACAATAAAATTTAGTTGACAGCATACAAAAAAATTGCAATTTTGGTAAATATCACTTTTGAAATATAAATTTATTACAAAAATACCTTGTATATTACTTAACTAGAAATTCCATACAAAAAAGCTGCAATGTGTTTTTAAAGTAGTAATGTTCAAATGTTCAGTCCAAGTTACAAAAAGGTAATAATAAAACAAACATCTATTTTCACTCATGCATTTAAATTGACTATTGATTACCATATCTAATAATATTCAAATATGGATTTAATGGGTATGAATAACATAGGACCTGAATGAGAATCTAAATCTAAAAATATTTATTTATCAAAACCAGGTAGAAGTCTATTGCTTAACAAAAAATTAAAGTGAAAACTAACAAATATTTAAAACTACCTATAAAGTCCTTTTTTTTTTCATTCAAACTTTGATTTTAATTTAAATATGTATTTTATACATGATATGGTAAACAAAATATAAACATTCAAATACAAAGGTGAAGATATTAAATTCATAATTGCTTATGTATATAAATTCTTTTAGCAGTAAAATCTCTGAAGGCGAACAACATAGTGATTTTTTTTTGTTGAAAATATATAATCATCCACACTTATATTGCCTGGTAATAAATACTTCTAAAGTAAAAGGAGAGAGATGAATACAATTATTCAGTCAAAGGACAGGCGCAGTGTTACAAGTGTTACATCATGATTCTCTTCAAACAATGATATAGATATATTTTATAAAGTATTCTAAAGAAAATACATTGATATTTAACAAAGTACAAACCCATCACAATGATAATAATACTGCCAAATTGTATATGTATCTCTTCTTCTTCTTCTTCTTCTTCTATATCTTAAGGGCCCACGATCAATTTATTGATCATTTTGGCTCCTATGCATGTAGATGGGATTTGCAATGTTTCTGTTCCTGGTGTTGATGAGGAAATTTCACAGATTTCCAGTGCCACTTTGTGAGGGAATCATGCACTGGGGGTTTGAAGGCTTGAGGCAATAGACACAAATGTGTCTAGTGTAGGATTTGCAATGTTTCTGTTCCTGGTGTTGATGAGGAAATTTCACAGATTTCCAGTGCCACTTTGTGAGGGAATCATGCACTGGGGGTTTGAAGGCTTGAGGCAATAGACACAAATGTGTCTAGTGTCTCAGAAAGGATTGTAGCATATCCCCAAGACAAGCAGACCATACAACTTAAGAACAAACAAAAAAAGTTAATTCATACCAAAGAATATTAAGCTATAATTAAATTTTACAAAAGTTACCCAGGAAAAAAAGAATCATGGGAAATAAGCATGGACACACATTTTTTCTTTTTCATTTTTTCTAAATAAAAAAAAAATAAATAAAATAATAATAAAACACTGGCACTAGTAATGAGGACTTTCTCAAGATTTGATTGTATAATGTCTCCAACTTCAGATCTAACTCTATCTTTCTTTGACATAAACATTGCATGTTTTAAGTAGGGCCTGGCTGGCCCATTTGATAAGTTCAGTGGGAAATAACCTTGCTTGAGGTTTGAAGAGAAAAAAGAAATGTTATGAATATGAACTAGAGCAAATGCTGTCTTCAATGCTGCAACAAAATTCATAGTCTCATCAAGAATTAGACATTGTCATTATTATTGGAAAGAGAGACCAATTGAAGTAGGGAGTTGACTTTAAAATTCATTTGAGATACAAAAAAAACTGTCAAGGACTTTATAAACATTTGTAGGACAAACTTTCAATATAATATTTCAAGCCAAAGGCCCTAATTTAAAAAATATTTTCTTATACAATGACAGTAAGTTGAATAAATAAATGATTTGCTCAAACAACCCCATTTTCGATCTTAGCAATCCGACCTCCAATCAAATGGGCAATGCCTGCCAAAACTGCCAACGCAGCGGCGACCACATTCAGGGCAAACCCCCAACTGAGGTGAAATTGGTCCTTGGAAAATTCGCTGATCTTTGCAAGAGAAGGGTCAAGGTTAACAGTGGGCACTATTATTGAGTCCAGGATGGTCTTGAAGTTGGCAGCCATAATTAGGTCTCCAATAATAATAAAGATACCTGGTAAAGATATAATTAGTTTTAAATAGCAGGAACTATTTTATTTTTAGAGTATTAAGGAAAATAAAATTTCAATAAACAAGTCTACATTAATAAAAATTGAATAAATTTATGGTGCTATGTCACAGATCTGATGATCAAAATAGTTGTAACTTTTTATATTTACACCAAAAAAAAATATAATAATTTGGGTAGCCAGTTGCAGATAGTGAATAAAAATGAACCAATAATTCTATATTTGTATTTTTAGATGCTTTAAATTGAAGGCTAATTTTTTTTGTGTGTGATAAATAATAATTGTATCTTTTTAATAACTTGAATTTATTAGTAAGTTTTTGTTGTTAATATTATCAGCCATAATGCGATACACGTAGAAATCGAACCCCCAACTTTTGTTTTAAAAACCCCACTAAAATGCCAAGTCCATGTATAATGTCATCTGTTAATCTTGTCCATACTAATACAGTATGAATTAACAAAAGAAATATTTAATTTAAATATAATGGCAAAATCCTTTAAATTATTATAATATTTAAAATGAACTGTGGTCAAACGATACAGCTATGCTATTTTTCATTATTATTTTTCATCTTTCGCACGCAAAGATGACCAAGTCAATTTTCAACTTGATTAATTAAGCTGCATTTTGTTTAAAGTGACGGAAGAGTTTCTCAATTCATCAACCTCACTCTCTCATCCTTGCGTATTTGATCCAATGGCAAGACTTTGACAAGACAACTGGAAATAGACCAGGATGCAGTAGATGACCAGCAGTGTGTCTTGTGTGTTTCACTGTGCTCTTTATGCATTCTACGGAAGTTGTCAAAATCTCCATTGTGTCAATGTATGTCATACTGCCTACGGGACTCCATTTCTGAGCTTGATTTTAGAGTTTGACTTCTCTTAGATGAGTTGCCATTTATTAGAGTCCCATCCACCCAATGTGCTGGTGATGTGTTTGCTTTTGCTGGGAATTGAACTCGAGTCCTCTAGCTTGTGATTGACTCAGCTTACCCAGCTAATACCCCGTCAAAGGGACACTACGTACACTTCTAGTGTTAAGCCCAGATACAATGCGCGCTTGGTTGCTGAATGATTACTCGGTTGCATTAATAGGTCTATATATTGTTTACTGGTATCGAAAAAAATACTTAAACATGCCTATAATGCGAACCACTAGTTTTAAGTAGTTTTTATTACCAGAAATTTATCGCATTATATGCAATACCGTACGGTTATTATTTCATAACCATATACATTTCTTTTATTGAAATAGCCAACTATAGAAATGTGTAAAAGTCAAAATTCATATACGGTAAAAAGTATTTTGTCCCTCTTGTATCTTTGAGGCACAAGATGAATGAAGGAATTTTATTTTAAGATAGCAGAAAGAATACCTAAGGTTTAGTGAATTATGGAACTCCTAGAAGAATTAATTCTCTCCTTACCTGCAGTGAAACAGCCAACTGCAATAAAAATGTGAATGAGGCGCAACCGATCTCCTTTACTCTTGATAACAATATTCAAAATGGCAATTATAATGGATGCCATGGCTGCAATTACTCCAATAACTGCCATGGTTTGTACTGCTACGACCCATCCTGAAAAAAATAAACGTAAGAAGGTGGTTTAAGTAAGTCATCTAACTTGTCTCAGATTTGAACAGTTTTCAAAGAATTATCTAACGAACGGAACATAAGCTATTATATCCTAACAAGACCTCTGTTGCTAAAGAATAAATGGCTGAAATTAATATAATATCTATAAATAAAGTTTTTGATACAATGGGTAAGTTCTGAAAGTTGTTGATGCTACGGGTAAGTTCTATTGAGCATGTCTATACACCTTGTAAAGTGAGATAAGTAAAATCCATTTCAGCAAAATTGCTTTTGAAATTCACAAAAGACAAGAAATGTATGAACATATAAATCCTATTATCACCTTCAGTTTCCAGTGTCTTGGTGGTGCTTGTTATATCTTCAAGTGAGACCTCTGTTCCCCATTTTAAGCAAATCTCCAAAGGATTGTCTGTTAAAAGAGTGTAGGCACAAATCTCCCAAATCCCAAAGTTAACTTCTCCAGTCAGAAGGCCATAAACTGGAATTAAGCAAAAATATTTTTCATATTATTATATAAAGGCATAACTTTGAATCTTATTTTCTATAAATATCAAAGATAAACTGATGTCTTAAAAGTTATTTTGATTCCTTCAAATGCTGACTACAACTTTAATTTAATTAACTTTTATTTTTAATGCAAATTTCAACTCTAGTTCAGAAGTTTTAGAAATTAACAGACCCGACAATACATCAGGTAGTTCAAAATTGTCCTCATGAAGCTGACTGCGAAAAGATGAATTATCTTCCATCTTCTGATCAATTTTGGATGGGACCATTCTAGTAAGGTCCCTCTGATCTTTCTGGCAGTAATGGGGTGTTACGATACATATGATGTGAAGAACTGTGGCAAACACTAACAGCAGTGTGCCCATAAGGTTGAATAATTTTCCCTGATCCATTCTTTAGGGTCTCTCCTTGTAACTCTTCCTTCAGATTTACATGAAATAAGAAATAAATATCCTGTTTTACCAATTCCTTAGATAATAGTATGCATCCATGCATGAATATGGGGCACATAACACTTGTAAATCAACGAATAAACAAATAGACCAGGCATATTATAAGAATCATTTGATGGCGGGAGATAACTGGAGTGGGCGGAGAGGGGGGGGGGGGTGTAAGCCTAATAGTTGTAGTTAATTAAAATATAAAAATGTATCAAATACTATAGGGTAGCAGTTGAGACTCAGCAGTTACTTTGAGGTCTGTGAGGACCTTGACAGAAGCAGTCAGAAGGTGGCCCAGGCATCTTAGAGTACACAAATTATACTTGCAGTAATTTTGCTTCTTTCTAGTGCTTACAGAACACCCTCCTCCCAAAATGGCTAACATCTACCAGAGACACAATAATGTGACAAGTGCTGGAGGAATATATTTTTAAAATGAGAGACTTTTGCTTACAAGCATCACCTTTGAGAACTTCTAATTATATCTTAATTATATACTTTGCTTTGACCATAGTTTAATATAATTTTTTCTCATTATTTAAAAATGTAATCTGATTCTTCATTAAACTTCCAAGATGATCTCAAGAATACTTGTCCACCGAAAACTGGTACAAAAACTGTTACGGGTGGTTAAGTAAATATTTTCTACTAAATGGCGGGGGTTTGAATCAGTTTAGTCTTAGTGTATTTTATATTTAAAAATTGTTTATTTTTTAAAATTTATTTCATTATTTTTTAAATTAAAAAAACACAATCGTCTCAAGGGTGCTAAAAATGCCTTTCAATATGGCCATGGATATTTGTAACTTTTTAAACATTCACAAAAAAGTCATAAAAGAACCTAAAATTTTAAGTAAATAAATTTTAAAGTAATTATTTTACTATTTAGTAGCAAATAAACCAAATATTAAATTAAAGTTCAGTCCTTTGACTTTGTGTAAATTTGTTTAATTTAAATAATAATTAGATATACATGTATCATAATTTTTGGAAATTTCCCTCAATCTTTAATGAGATGCTTCTAATTGTAGAGAATAAATAGTTTTGATTAGCTAAAATCTAAAATATTCAGTCTATGAAATTTTTTACTGGTAATAATATATTATACTAATATATCTCATATTTAACTTATACTTATAGAATGGGTCTCATGAATCTAACAAATTTAAGAGAGTAGCTTTATCAAGGGAAATTATCCATATCATTAATATCTACTTAGTTGAATTGAATGTTTCAGTTAAATTATGATGTACTGAGTACTGGTAAGTCTAATATCTAATTCTAATATTATATTGTTAACAATTTTTATTGACCCCCAACCCTTTTTTTTCTCTCCCCCCCCCTCCCCCCTCCTTTCTCCCCACACAGAACCCACTGTATTTTTTTTGACAGATTATGCTAGGATAAATATATATTATATATATATAGTTATATACCTTTACTAGTTGGCCTATACTAGACTATACAAATTTAAATTACACCACATGTAGCAGGGCTACCACACCTTGTTATTATATTTTTCGAAAAACGCAAAAATATCTGATAAAAAATAAAGTGAAAATAAAGCAAAATAATATTTAAAGTAACAAGGCAAAAAATTAATTGTTTTAATTTTTCTTTTTTGGTTTTAATTTTTAAATCCACTCATAAAATAAATAAAAACTCTTCTGATTTTAAAGTTAATATTGTTAATTATTAAAAAGTTAATTTTAAAAAAATTCAATTTTCTATTTTTTTTTAAAAATTGAAGATTTACAAATTACATCCAGGTTTTGAATGTTTATTAAATGGGGGTGGGGGGTTAGGCTTCGAAACTTTATCATTATCAACCATAGACATTAGCAACCATACGAAAAACAGCACAAGCCAAAGAGTGAACGATAGTGTTCAATCAAGAATCCATGCCATAGTAAAATTTGATTATTTCAATACTTCTACAATGATTTATCATTATCAACCATAGACATTAGCAACCATACGAAAAACAGCACAAGCCAAAGAGTGAACGATAGTGTTCAATCAAGAATCCATGCCATAGTAAAATTTGATTATTTCAATACTTCTACAATGGGTTCAAAATATAATGCATCTGTAAAAAATCCAGCCTAATTTTCATCAATTAGAAAAAAATATTTGTGGATTGAAACACACGTAACTAAGATATTAAAAGTTTAGTATAGGCCTGCGTTGTAGGATTATAAATGAACAATTCCTTTAAAATCATTATTTTTTTTTGTTTGAAAAAATCGTTACAATGTAAACTTACAAGAAAAAATAAAAATACTTATTGTTTTCATCATAATATCAATCCATTTTAACTACAATTATTATTAATAAATTTTGCTTAATTGCTTTGCAAACCCCACTTCTAATGAACAAGTTTACAATAATAAAAATCATTTTTTGATGAAGAACCTTTTGCCTTTGTAAAAGGAATTCTGTGTTGATTAGCCTTGTAAGTTTTTTTTCCAAATGACTTCTATTACACATGTATTGTAGATGATATTTTTACCAGAGAATTCGGAGGTAATATTTAGTAGCCTAACTCCAGTGGATATTGATATTTTGGATTATAAATAATTTTTACAAATTGTTTTTTTTTTTTATGTGATAAACATTTTTTAAATGTCTTTTTCAATAAATTTCAGTCAATTAATGTATCATGTTTTTTAGGGGCATTAATTCAATCTATTATTACATTAATTAAATAGAAAACCCCCCTTTTAAAAAAAAACTCTTATATATTTTATGATCTTGGGAAATCTTGGGAAATTTGATCACCAAATCTTGGGAAATTTTAAAAAAGTTAGTGGCAGCCCTGACATGTAGTCTTTCTCAACTACCTAGAAAAAAGAAAATACAGTTGTCAACCATTTATTTAGCTTTTTATTTTCTATTATTTAGGAATTATAATGTCAAAGTGAATTGATTAATAAAGTATTAGCAATGACTTCAATGAATGAGCAATTTGTTTAAGTATTGTTTTTTTGTTGTTGTTTTTTAAAATCCTGATACTGATAATTAATAATAAACAAATTTATAGAATAGTAGGCTACTAAGGCTAATAGTAATAGTATCCTTTTAGATTTATTATTAATTATTAATATTATTATTATTATAATAATACATTTTATTATATTGTTATTAGACTTAGACTCTTAGACATATTAAAGTAATTTTTGAAAGTCAATTTATTATATACTGCTGAATTTAAGTCAGGTAAGCCTGGCTTTGCCAGTTATCCTTATAAAATTATAACGGTAGTCAGTAACATGTCTAGTATTAAATTACTCTCTCTTACTATAGTTAGGCCTACTATTATTAGTAACAAAACACGGTAACAGTAAGTTGAGCAAGTCAATTTTAAAAGCCGGATCTCAATATATATATATATATTTTAATGCATCGGTTTTGTAGAGAAGATACTAACTCTGAAACTCACCTATTAAAACGTAAAAAAAAAGTTTAAATCATGTATGTATGATACTCTGACTCTTCAGTATAAGTATGTCTTTCAGCTACTTAATCCATGGCTGTTGTTGAAGTCCGACCAGCTAGCGCCATGTTGGGTGGAACTCTCCCAGACAAGCAACTTGGTTCCTCTGATCCTCTTCGGTGGCCTTGTTTATCAAAACGCGTGCCTCCCACCTTAACCCCCCCCCCCCCCCCCCCCCACCTCACCCCCCCCCCCCCCCCCAAGCTGTGAGTTTTCATGCGCGGTGTTCTTGATAATGGAAGGCACACGCGGCTATGTACCCGCCCCTCTTAGTCATTGGCGAATTGGAAAAAAAAAAAAAACTGGCATGGGGATAGCCTTGGACCGACGAAATGGCAGAGGTTATGTACTGTAGCCTGTAACGGATAATGTGGTTTGATTTCAGAAGAGAGCCATGTACATGTAGACCAATCGCCTATCTAGTGATGGGATAATGTGGTTTGATGTCAGAAGAGAGCCATGGACATGTAAACCAATCGCCTATCTAGTGATGGGATAATGTGGTTTGATGTCAGAAGAGAGCCATGGACATGTAGACCAATCGCCTATCTAGTGATGCTGAGCAAAGACAAAATCAGGGTTATCCGAATCGGATCGTTAAAATCGTCATTTTTCATGTAAAGTATGGGCGCCTTGTACTCAAGGTTTCTTTCAAATGTATCTCGGGAGGGGGGGGGGCGACGACTTTACGCTCCCCTCCAACTCCGAAACCCATTACTTTCAACCAATTAATTCCATCAAAGCCTATTTTGCACCCCCCCCGCCGCAAGTCTGGCGCCCCAGTGCTATGTCTCATCTACCGACCCTTAGCTACGCCTTTGGCCACTGGCAACTGTCACATCCGCCCCCCCCCCGAAAATTTGAGGTCCCCCCCCCCAGGGGGTGAGGAGAATTTGTGAAAGAAACACTGGTTACAATATAGGACTGACCGCCATCTACCTTGCCGCCCAACACAAATTTACGTTTCAAGTGACTACAAACCAATTAAGGTACCGGTAACCATTGTTTGAAAGAGTGTCATCTTACTCCGTCAGTACGAAGTATAGATAGGCTTACCATACGTCGCGGTTTTGACCGGGATCGTCCCGGTTTAGCAACGAAATATTGAATTATGAGTATGAGGACAGAGGCAAATGTCCCGCCCGCAACCTATGACCACTCACTCACACGCCTCCTGCGAGAAAAAAGAAATAATCTAATAATTTCTTGATATCCGATTCAGGTAGATAATACTCTTAAGCTTTTGGTTTTGTGTGTCTTTGTTTGTTTTCCCCTTTTCCTTCACCCGCGAGCCTCTCGCCGCCCCTCTTTATTTCAGTCCCGTGATTCGCGACACGCTCTTTCCGCCGCGCGCCTTTTGTCGCGCAAGGCTCTTTCCTCTGAGGGAATGCTTCGCTGAGCCTCTATCTCGACTAACAACAGGTCGTATGCCTAACGTTTAATTTCGTCAATATCAAGCCAACATGTTAGTAATGTTGGGCTTATTCTTTCTAAAATGTAATATTCATGAATAGGGGAGGGGGCGCTGAAAATTAGACAAAACATCAGTGGCGTAGCTAGGTTTAATGCCGCCCACGAAAAACCCTTGTAGTTCGACGAAAATGCCGCCCCTCAGTATATAGCGGACCGCCCCCATTACGCTACGCCACTGCAAAACATGCAATACAAGTACCGGTAACTCAATTTATAAGAATCCCAATTAGTGCTCCTGTTCCCCCCAAGGTTCGCAACCGCAACATTTTTTGTCACGCCCCTGAACTTTATTAATTTTCTAATGACACACCTGATTTTTTGCCAACCACGAGCGAAGTTAATATAAAGGATTTAAAATATCTGTTCAGTGCAAAACAAATTAGGACAAACTGTAACCCACAAATTTAAATACCTATCCACTTTTTAAGTTAAAAAATTAGTCCACACAGGGTGTCATTACTTATTAGTTACAATTAGGTCAGTAAAACATTAGTCCACACACGGTGTCATTACTTATTAGTTACAATTAGGTCAGTAAAACATTAGTCCACATGGTGTCATTACTTATTAGTCACAATTAGGTCAGTAAAAAAATTAGTCCACACGGTATCATTTCTTATTAGTTACAATTAGGTCAGTAAAATATAGTCCACATGGTGTCATTACTTATTAGTTACAATTAGGTCAGTAAAAAATAATTTTATACAATTTCATCCAAAATCATAAAAAAATGGCTATTGAAACCAATGAATCTAGATGGCGCCACGGGCCACGGGCAAACTAGACTTTTGCACACCTTTTTGGTATGGCTCTTCTTACGAGCGGTTCTATTTAGCTACACCTACTGTTGGGCTATGGCTGGCGTGGCTCTTCTTATGAGTGGGCACTGTTGGGCTATGGCTGGCGTGGCTCTTCTTATGAGTGGGCACTGTTGGGCTATGGCTCTTGTGATGATGGGTACTGTTGGGCTATGGCTCTTGTGATGATGGGTACTGTTGGGCTATGGCTCTTGTGATGATGGGTACTGTTGGGCTATGGCTCTTGTGATGATGGATACTGTTGGGCTATGGCTCTTGTGATGATGAGTACTGTTGGGCTATGGCTGGTGTGGCTCTTTTGATGACTGGTACGATTGGGCCAGGGCTGGTGTGACTCTCACTGTGATGGAAAGTTGTCTTAGGGGTTGTTTACCCCATTTAACAGTCAAAAGAAAAAAACAACTCTGGCCCCAACAAGTCTAAAGTGTATTGAAGACAAAAATCATTTAATGTTGCGCTAAACTCAACAGTTCAAAAGATATTCTCGAATCCCGTCGGCGTCATAAGATTAATAAAATTTTGACACAATCTAGTACCTGCATATGAAATCGTGCAACGTCCGCTCATTTAGTCACACTGACACAACAATATACTGTGTATGCAGATACTTCAATATTTAATCCGGTCAGATTAAGACAATGGAAAGTAAGTTGAGATATCTCAAGATTGCTACTTTTAATGTAAGGTTTCTAAATCTAAACAAATTCTAAGACAGTATTTTGTTTATCACTGCCGATGACGGGCAGTTGCACAGGCAATTTTTATAGCCTGACGATGGAGGGGACTGTGTTTCTTGTGCTATGACATTTGCTTCCTGTAGAATGGTCAGTCCAATGGTCAGGTGTGGGAGAGTCACTGCTGCTGTCCCTCTTCCACGTGTGTGCCATGGTAAGGCTTTTCTAATCAAATACAAATTTAATCATTTTTTAAGGTTGGTATTTACAGCATTTATGTATAGAACTCCTGTTCATCAGCATAATTTCCCCAATCTCCCCAAACTAAAGCTTTCGCACCGCTCAAACAGCATAAAACTTTTCACAACACACAAATGAATAAAGATATCAAGATTGTATTACATTAATTTTAATTTGCTTCACTTTCCTTTAAAAAAAAATGTTGAAAAACGTTTCTAAATTTTTCAGTTTCATGTTTCAGTTGTTAGATCTAAAGAACTTCACAATTTTACCCCATAGCAAGTCTTCAACAAAAGAATGCATAAACTGTTATAAAGTATAAAGCCTCTAAACATATTTGTAAACACCACATAACAGACAGGCAAGAACAGCAACAAAGTCAGGGGAAACAACTTCTCAGCTATGTTATTTTCCTACAACAAGACTAACATAGCTTCTTCCAAAGTTTCCAGAAAATAAAACTAAGTGTCCAAATTCAATTCACTTTCAATAAAAGTTACTAACAACATTAATTTACCTCAAGTGATGATTTTTTTTGTTTTATAATAGATCCTTAAGATCACATAAATATTGATATTTAAATAGGTTTGGAAGAGTTAGACATAGCCAAGAAATTCTAAACATTAAGAAACAATACAAATAAATTAACTGCTTAGAATATTCATAAGTGCTGAAAAATTCTGGCTACAACACTGCCCCAATAAACACTACCAGTCCAGATAAGACATTTCTCTACATTCACATTAAAAGTTGACATAAATAACAATCCAAAGTAATTATAAAAGGAGATGTTAATTTGCAAAAAAATATAGTTTGAAAGTAAAATAAATGACAGGAGAAAATGCCTAGCCCACTTTACAAAATGTCATCCCCTAACCGTTCAAAAAATAACTTCTAACCCCCAGAAATGCATCAAGTAAAACCATAAATAGTAGGAATATAGCTGTACAATACAAATTTAACAAATCAACCGGACTAAGCAATGGTGAGAAAATGGCAGCAAGAGAAAGACCCTTCAACTTAATGCTTACGCGACCGGGTCGTTAAATCTTTCTCCGGCATCTACCACTTTCTGGTGATCACAAATCAAAGTGAGATGTGGGGGAGGAGAGACTTCGACTGGCAGGTAAACCAATACACACATGGGAAACATGGACCTCTTATATTCATACACAAACATGGAACAATGCATAGCGATATGTACAGGCCAATCGTGGAAACATGGTCAAAGCTAAGGAAAACAAAATTTCAATTTTTTTTTCCAATAAAAGGAAACTCAAACTAAACTATTAAAGAAATTAAATTAATCATTAATAAACTTATTTACAAGTACAAGTCTGAGAAGAGTAAGTCAACATTACGTGTGCACAATAAAACAAGCAAAAACATGAAGGGGTGATTCAAGCCAACAGACAGAAGCTTATGGGGTAACATTGTGAGTAATCTTGCATCAAACCTCAATGACATTCATTTCAAAATCCAACACAGTATTTGAAAGTTGTAAAATGCAATATAAAAAAAATAATTGTTGTCACAATTGGAGATGAAATAACAATGACCTTTTCAAATTCATAAATAGCTCGCTGTCATTTGGGATTTACAAAATTTGAAAATGTGAAGCAGATGCCTAAATGTACGTTTTTGACAATTTTAAAGAAGAAATCAGCATAACACTGTGTTAGAATTTGTTGTATTAATTCTTATATTTATTCTAAAAGCATATTTGTAAAAAAACAAATATTTTCCTTAGTATAATTAGCCACATATCTAGTTTCAAATCTTATCCAATATTTATGAATAAATTATCAATTCTTACATCAGTGCCTGTTGCTTAACATTAACTGAAATCAATTAGGATTCAGTTATTGTAAACATTTAAATAAAATTAATTTAACAAGTCAACGTTTATGAAGAGAAGAAAAAAAT